GGCATTAAAGGGAATCCACCAGGACGACCTGTCTGCTTCCTAATGCCATCACTGGAGAAGGAACAGTTTGGTTTAAAACAACGCTTCTTCCTGTTCACAGACAGATGGAGGGAGGGGAATGAGTTCACGAAGAAATATGTATCCGTCTGAAACAGTCTATCAGAATATTAGAATACAACAAATCAGTTTTGATGTGGACTTGAGAAAATGACAAGTTTAGAGAGCTAAGTCTAAAGGAATAAAATACTATATGGAGGCTAGGCAGAGGTTTCTGGGGAGGGGACACATCAGAGAAATAGGGACAGCTTAAAATATATGAACTTTATCTATCTGGTAGTCCTGCCATAAGTTGGACTGAAAGTTATTTATTGTTTCCAAGATGGTAAGGCTGTTAACTCCAGGTAATATTTTCCTGGCTTTCCTAATCAGCACAAACACTGCAAGCACTGGCAATTGAGACCTAGGAAGTACTGTAAACTATTCACCGGGGGTCTGGGTCTCTGCCAGCACTGCTCCTTTTCCCCAGGGCTGGTTCAATTTCAATATTGCACCCTCATATTTAAAAAAAAAAGATCCTAAAACCAATATCTAGCTACATTTGAAAGTTTCCTAACAAAACAAAGTGAAAAGTACCTTGCCATACAATTCAGATGAAATATCTGATTATCTTAGTATTTGCACCCTAAGGCCTAAATTTTATATATAAAAGGTTTTTTGTATAAAATAATTCTACAAACCGGGTCTTTTAAAACTAGTTCTTGAATTGCTATAATTGAGGGTCCAAGAAATTACAATAAAACCAAGTGGGAGAAATACTTATTTCAAAGAAAGAGAAAGCTCTTAGAATACTTGTTTTTGAAATCCTAAGCTTCCAAGGGAAAAACCCAACTACCCTGAAGTCATCATGTTGTGAGAAAACCAAGTCACATGAAGAGGCCCTGATTGATGTGACACCATGGAGAGACAGACAGAGAAAGAGTGTGTGTCACAGAGAGACTGACCAATGTTGTACCAGGGTCCAAGACATGTGCATGAAGAATCATCTTGGAAATACATTATCCGGCCCCAGTTGCCAACAGATGGATCAGCGGTGAAGTGCCGAGCAAGCTGTTATTACATTCCTTACTGGAAACATCAAGCCACAGGAGAGAAACCATGGACCCTAGAATATCCTCCCAATAAACAAGAGTTTTGAGATATGTCTCAGTTGTTTCCAAGTCCACTAGGATCTCAGCATCAGAGGGAGGAAGTAGAAACATTCCTAACTCTTGGCCAGGCATCTTATCCCTTGATGGAGAAGCCATCTGAGAAAAGCCTTGAACTGTGCGGACTTGAGAACAAACAAGTACTGTAAGAGTTGAGCTACATAGATATCCAAACAGAAATCAATAATTATTTTTTATAATAACTTCATAGAGTAAATGGTTTTACATCAACATCATTTAGCTATTGGAGGAACCATGAGAACCAGGAGTATTTTGCTCTAACATAGAGAGACAGATAATTAATAATGCCAGGGGAAGGGCAAGCATTGGACACTTAAATCACTACTTGGAACACCCACCTCCCATATCAGAGCACCCAATTGAGTCCCAGCAACTATGCTTACACCCAGCAGGTGATGGTTCAAATATCTGAGTTCCTGGTACCCATGTGGGAGACCCAGATGGAGTTCCAGGCTCCTGGCTTTGGCCTATCCTAGATCCAGGTGTTGCAAGCATTTGGGAAGTGAACTAACAGATGGAAAATCTCTCTCTGGCTGGCTCTCTTTCTCTCTCTCTCTCTCTCTCTCTCTCTCTCTCTCTCTCCCTTCCTCCTTCCCTCCCTCCCTCCCTCCCTCTCTGCCTTTCAAATAAAATGAAAGCAAGTAAAAATTTTAAAAATTATAATTTTTGGCACTGTGTAAAATCAAGAAATGTGACAAAAGACTGAGGAAGAGGCAAAGCTCTATGTGTGGTCAAACAAAATCTCTAGTCATCTAGAAATGAATAGCTCACCCTTGACACTAGCTTAGTATATTGAAAACAAAAAAGATAATTGTTTTTTCTGAAAATCAAAAAAGAGAAATGAACAGAGAAAATCATAAAAGCTGTATAGTAAATAATCAAGATAAATAGAAAAACTAAAATTGCTATAAAATGGTCTAGATAAACTGGGGAAGAAATAAATGGTGATGTACATCTTTAGAACTTCCCATGTAACAAAACTTTGTGGAGAGCTTTTTCAAAATCAGTATCAAAATACTTAGTTGGGGGCCAGTGCTGTGGCACAGTAGGCTAGGCTTCCATCTGCAATACCAGCATCCCATAGAGATGCCAGTTCCTGTTCCTCTTCCAATCCAGCTCTGCTAAGGCCTGGGGAAGCAGTTGAAGATGGCCCAAATGCTTGGGCCCCTGCGCCCACATGGGAGACCAGAAAGAAGCTCCTGGCTCTTGGCTTTGGATTGGCTCAGCTCTGGCTATTGCAGCCATTTGAAGAGTGAATCAGAGGATGAAAGACCTTTCTTTCTGCCTCTCCCTCTCTCTATATATAACTCTACCTCTCAAATAAATAAATAATCTTCTTAAAAAATGAAAAAAATTACTTAGCTGATGTCAAATAACACCCTTTTCTCTTTAAACAGCTTAAGTATGTTTACAAGGCAAACCCATTTATTATTGCAGGACCAATATCACTGGGCCTCAGGGAACAGAAACTGGATTTGTTCAGATTGTAATAGAAATCATCACACATGCACACAACACCTTTTATGATTTAATACCTCTTTCTTCAACTAATTTTTCTACCTATTCTTGCCCTGTTAGGTTTATTATAAAATAAAAAATGTCTTTCGTAGTATCTGTTGCTTTGTGGACACTTAAAATTAATTAACTTATGTGAATAAAGGTTACTTAGTTTGGCATCTGTTACCAAACAGAAGGTAAATTAATATTTAAAATAAACACTAAATCATAAGATAGCAAATGAAAGAAAACAGAACTCTGCAATTAACTTTAGTATAAAATCAAATAAGTAACATTTTAAAAAATGAACTAAGTTTAGCTTATTGTGTGAATTTAAATTATTCTCACTAGTGTGACATTTTAAAACAGTTTAAATGTTGAACTTCGCTAGATAATCCCGTTTCTTTCCTCCATTTTTTTTCCTAATAGAGCTACCACCAGATCCTTCAGTTGTTCATATTAACTAGATCTAATTCCTATTTTCCAGACCACTGAACCTACATAATATCCATGGAGCTGGTGTAACTCTTGCAGCTATCCTAGCTATTCAGGCAGTGTTATAAGGGCATCATCAATTGTTCATTTGTATGATATCTATGTATCTTGTCATCTTTCCAGAGTAAGATTGCCAAGGTCTTGGACTTGTCATTTGGTGGAGTCTAATTCTGTTCTCTTTACAAAGAGCTAGGGTTACACTCAGCAAAGGTTACCATTTACGTGAGACATGAAGCCTTCTAGCATAACTCATCACCAAAGTAAAATTCCTAGCTATTTTTTCTCTCAAGGACATCCTCTGCGCTACCTAAAATCAAGAAAGAACACTTCAGGACAGGTCACATAGAGGGCCTGCACGTATTCTGGATCTATATTTTCATTTTGATATTCTGGAGTGTGGTATTTTCACAGCAGTCAAGCAAAGTGGTTTTTGTCTCTTTGAAAACCTCCTTTTCTTTCTTTTAAGAGGAAAATACAGGGGAATAAAATGTAAACATTATAGTGTCTTTAGCAAAAGAACCCAATATTTAAGGTCAACTTTTCCTTCAGAAACTATTTCTTTTCATGTTTGGTTTGGTTATGTCCCTTTCTCAAATAAGTTCCAAAAGATTTGTTTTTATAAATAAGTAACATTTTTAATCTCTTGAGTAATATCTCAGCTTAACTCCTCATCTTTCAAACCTCTGCATTCCAGTGTATCAGTCAAAGCCACTGCCCAAGTACTGACTACTTTTGCTTTTAGTGCCAGTGTTCATTTTTCCTCCTCTTAGCCTCCAATGGAATTTCATCTCTTCTGCTAATTTTAAAATTTAGAGATTTGAAAGCATGATCAGATCATGGTATTCTTAAAAAATGTTTTAAAACAGCAAATACTAGACACAGGAGAAACCTTAGAGACCATCTACTTTCTGACTTCTCATTAGATATGGAATAACTGAGAACCCAAAGTTCTTAATGAAAATTGTAATTAATTAATGACAGATCTAAAATCAGAATATAAATTTAATTGGTTTAATTGGTGCTCTATCCCCCACACTTCCTGGCCTCTCTATAGTATTAATCATTTCCATTCAATCTTCAGACACAGATTATTTAACTCATGGAATACCCAAAGTCAGATTCAAGGCATTTCTAGGTTCCATAGTTATCAGTCTTTCATTGGTTGGAAAATCAAGGACATGAGACAGGAAGTCCTAATTGACCTCTACAACTCATGGATTAAATTACAGCATGGACTGCCTGATGTCTTTTCCATGAAATTTTCTTTTTTGAATTTTATCTAAGGCAAACAAATTCCATATATATAGACTTAGGAACATGCTGATGCTTCCCACCTTTCCCTCCAGCCCACACTCTGACCCTTTTTCCTTCCTCTCTTATTCCCTCTCTGAATCTTTACAATGATCAACTTTCAGTCTACTTTATACTCATAAGATTGACCCTACACTAAGCAACAAACAGGTAAAAAAAAAAAACAAAAACAAAAAAAAACAAAAACAAAAAAAAAAACCACTGTTCCTCATCAGTAGAGACAAGGGCTATAAACAATCATCAAAACTTAAATGTCAATTTCACTCCTATAAATTACATTTCTGGTACTCTACTAGTTACCACATATCAGAGAAAACATATGGTATTTGTCTTTTGGGGACTGGCTTATTTCACTAAGTTTCATGAAGTTTAATTATCAATGATTACAATAAGAAACATCAAGAATGTTAGGAGGCCAACTATGACCTTCTCTTTATCAAGACTGAATTTTCTCTTTTTCCTTCCTATCAGCCTGTACACAGAGAAAAATTTCAAGGAAGTAAAAAAAAAAACCTGAAACCCAGCCACCATCAAAACTATTCTGCTGATGTTTTCTATCTTCTCCCTTGAGATGTGTCAAGTGACTTAGAGGAAGTTTTAGCCTCTGGCACCAACTGACCTTATATTTACATATAAGGTACGTTTCTTCGAAAAATTTCCATAAGTTTCATGCATACACTCTTAATCCTTTTCTTCCCATGGGTGGAAGCATTTCATTTTTATCCTTCTATCAGAGCCAGAGTTTCCCTGTATTTATAGGGTCTCTCTCTAAAGTCTCCTATGTAAAGGTTTGACTCTCTGGAAATCACAAATATTCTCAACTGACATCTCAAGCTATAATGTCAACAAAGCTAATTCATTCATTTAACAAACACATACTGAACATCTCCCAAGCCTGACACTATTCTTGGCTGTAGAGATATAGGACTGAACAAAACAGTTCAGTCTCCCATCTCATGGAGCTTACACAAAAAGTCTTAGGACTTTTTCATCCTTTCAGTGAATCCAGAACAAAAAATACACTGTACCCTAATAAAAGGGAGAAAATCAATACAGCCTCAATGATGCAGGTGAATATCCACAGTTTCAAATTAATCTGGCTATAAAAAGTTCATTTACTACATACCTGCTTGTAATGCATGGAATACAAGAGACTTGGATTCTAATCCTTGCTCTTCTACCAACAGATTGTGTGACTTTTGAACAAATAGGTAATATTACCTCTTGGAACTTTACTTTTGTTCTCTGAAGATGTTGGATGAGATTTCTCATGCCTGTCTTGGTCTGCAGATCTTTTTTTTTTTTTTTCAAGATTTATTTATTTATTTGAAAGTCAGAGTTACACAGAGAGAGGAGAGGCAGAGAGAGAGAGAGAGAGAGAGAGGTCTTCCATCTGGTGGTTCACTCCCTAGATGGTCGCAATGGCCAGAGCTGCGCCAATCCGAAGCCAGGAGCCAGGAGCTTCTTCTGGGTCTCCCACATGGGTGCAGGGGCCCAAGGACTTGGGCCGTCTTCTACTGCTTTCCCAGGCCATAGCAGAGAGCTGGATTGGAAAAGGAGTAGCCAGGACTAGAACCGGTGCCCACATGGGATGCCGGCGCTTCAGGCGAGGGCATTAACCCACTGCACCACAGCACCAGCCCCCAACTGCAGTTCTATGATTGGTTAACTTCACCTAAGATGGCTGGTGTGATGTTAGGATTTCCTGCCAAGGTCATAAGGAGGAATCTTTCTATAGAAATTGCTTTTATTTGTGGAGCAGAGTTGAGAGAAACAGCACAAAGCAATACATACCTCCTAAGAAAACTAATAATGGCATCCCCCTATGTAATAAAATGTGGAATCAGCCAACTCAGTAGGTACTGTGTGTTCAACACTGGGCTAGACACTTCATAAATGGGAGACATATGAAGAGACTGCTGATCTAAAGGAGCTTCCAAAAGAAAGCACATGATAGTAAAGGATTAAAAATAAAAGTATATTATAGACATTCTAAGTTCACAAAAGAAGAAAATATCAGGAAGGTCTAGGTTAGAAAGCTCTGAGGAAAGGTAAATCATCACCTGGATCTACATGTAACCACAACCATTGCAATAAGAGTGGCTAGCATTTATTGAATGCTTGATATGTCATGTATGAATTAAGCACTTTTGTGGGCTATCTCATTTAATCCTCAAAACAACCCTAGAAATAAACACTATTATCATGCTGCTTTACAGATGGGGAAACTGAGACTTACAGGGAAGCTTACAATACCTAATGATAAATTCAAGCACCAGAGTATTTGACACCATTTTATGGTCACAGGCTTCTTTCCCACCCATGAGACAAAGGAAAAGCACAATATCTAGCACAGGTTAATGTTACAAAAAAGTTGCTTGCTTCTCTTCTCTATCTGTCCCTCACGACCATTCACTCATAACCCAAATCCCTAACTCATACTCATAAGCAACTCATTTTTTTCACTGTTAAACATTCTTCAAGGTTCAGTTGAAAATCATTCTGTGCAGGAAGTGTTCTTATGCCAGTTAAGCTTCTGTCTCCTTACTTACTTCTAACATTTACTTCTTTAAAGATCTACTGATTTGTAAGGCAAAGTAACAAAGAAAGAGGCAGAGAGGGAGAGACAGAGAGAGAGAGAGGTAAAGAGCTCTTCCATTCCCTCGTTCACTCCCCAAATGTCTGGGCTGGACCAGGGTGGATGCCAGGAGCCAGGCACTCCATCTGGGTCTCCCACATGGGTGGCAGGAACACAAATATTTAGGTTCTGTCACATCCCTGATGCGTTAGCTAGAAGCTAAACCAGAAACAGAGGCAGGACTGGACCCCAGTCACTGTGACATGGGAAGCAGGTGTCCCCAAGCAGGTGCTTAACCCACTGTGCCATCATTCTCATCCTCCAACACTCACTTCTAATAGTCTGCTGAGTGATCATGTGTTAGCTCGTGATGTCATTGGCAATATTTTATAACATTAATGTTAACAAAGTTTTACGCCATTAAAACAGTATCTATTATCATTATTCATTATTGAGCTTTTTATTTGATTTGCATCAGCTAACTCCAAATTCCTTTGTGTTGCTCCTGGGGTCTTGGCACAGAAACCATCATAAAAACTGACCAATTCAGGTTTGATTGTGAATTTTTTATTCATTAAAAAAATTATCTAGGGCATCAATCCTTATAAAAAAAAAAAAAAAAAGAATGTCCATCAGTTCTTTAAAAATGAAAAAAAAAAAAACAAAACCGGTCCGCACTGTGGCACAGTGGGTAAAGCCACCACCTACAGTGCCAGCACCCCACAGAGCTGCCGGTTCGAGTCCTGGTTGTTCCACTTCTGATCCAGCTCCCTGCTAGGGCCTGGGAAAGCAGTAGTGGCCCAAGTGCTTCAGACCCTGAACCTGTGTGGCAGACCCAGAAAAAGTTACTGGCTCCTAGTTTCAGATAGGCCCAGTTCTGCCCATTGCAGCCATTTGGAGAGTGAATCAGCAGATGGAAGACCTTTCTCTCTCTCTCTCTGCCTCTACCTCTCTGTAACTCTGCCTTTCAAATAAATAAATAAATCTTTTTAAAAAAATAAATGAAAAAACAACTAACTCTTACCAAAAAAAAAATCAGCTCCAGTTCTTACATACATTTTAATCCCACAAATTTATTGTAAAACACTATATACACAAGAAGAAATAAATATAATGGACATGGACAGTTTAAGTTATAATGTATATTATATAGTCACTCTCCTGTAGAAATAGAACATGAAATATAATTAACAAATCTTTTTACATCACCTGTGTGTGTATGTGTGTATGTGACTTGTTTACAAAACTTTGATAAAGGACTTTATTTAAAAAAAAAGATTTATTTATTTGAAAGGCAGAGTTACAGAAAGGCAGAGTTACAGAAAGGCAGAGTTACAGAAAGGCAGAGGCAGGAACAGAGAGAGAGGTCTTTCATCTGCTGATTCACTCCCCAAATGACTGCAACAGCCAGAGCTGAGCCGATCCAAAGCCAGGAGCCAGGAGCTTCCTCCAGGTCTCCCATGGGGGTGCAGGGGCCCAAGGATTTGGGCCATCTTCTACTGTTTTCCCAGGCCATAGAGAGAGCTGGATCAGAAGTGCACCACTAGGGACTCGAACCCAGAGCCCATATGGGATGCCAGCACTGCAGGTTGTGGTTTTACCTGCTATACCACAGCATCAGCCCCTAGATAAAGGGCTTTAAAAACTGGAAAAAGAGGCCGGCGCCGCGGCTCACTAGGCTAATCCTCCGCCTAGCGGCGCCGGCACACCGGGTTCTAGTCCCGGTCGGGGCGCCGGATTCTGTCCCGGTTGCCCCTCTTCCAGGCCAGCCCTCTGCTGTGGCCAGGGAGTGCAGTGGAGGATGGCCCAGGTGCTTGGGCCCTGCACCCCATGGGAGACCAGGAAAAGCACCTGGCTCCTGGCTCCTGCCATCGGATCAGCGCGGTGCGCCGGCCGCAACGCGCCGGCCGCGGCGGCCATTGGAGGGTGAACCAACGGCAAAGGAAGACCTTTCTCTCTGTCTCTCTCTCTCACTGTCCACTCTGCCTGTCAAAAAAAAAAAAAAAAAAAAACTGGAAAAAGACTGAAGTATTAAGGGACTATGTTTGGGATTAGGAGGAGATTAGATAAATCTAGTCCTAATTAGAGTATCAAACACTATGTAAAAGACTTTTTAGTGAGAATTATTTTTTTCCCACTAAAGCATTGTAGTATAATAACCTTATGGCCTGGAATTTTTGAAGTAGGTATAAAAATTTCTAATATTCCGTTTCTGTAAACCAATGGCTTTCTAGAAATTAGAGTATTTTGTTACTCAACCTAGTCTACATCTTCCAATCTACCTCTTCTGCCTGGAAATAACATGTAGGGCCATGTGACCTTAATGTTGGCTTTAGGTAAATAAACCAAGACAGTAGGGAAAAAAAAGTATCAGGTCACAAGTTCAGGTGATCTTTAATCTGTTGAAGTACTGGTTTTGAAGAGAGTTCTAAACTTTCAAATATCTACCACAAACGAAAACACAGGTGGTAACAGAGAAGAAACCCAATTACACTTGATACTAACAATTGAGCTACCTTTCTCTCATACATCATCACAGAGATAATATGAACATTGACAATACCTGCTCTCAGCTGAATGATGTTCTGCTAAAACTCTTTAACTGAGACGTAATATCTAGGGTGATTATATTAAGAGAGGTGGTCTTTGGGAATCGACCAAGTCAGGAGGGCTCTATTATCATAAAAGGGATCAGTGCCCTTATGAAAAAGACTCAAAGGAGCTCCTTTCCCTGGGTTCTGATGTGCTGAGACGTGAAAATAAGACACAATTTATGAAGCAGAGAGCCCTCTCAAAACCCCGAATCTGCTAGCACTTAATCTTGGGTCTCTCATTCTCCAGAACTATGAACAATAAGTTTCTATTGCTTAAAAATCACCCAATCTAAAGTATCCTAGTATAGCAGCCCCAAAGGACTAGGACAACATCCTTCTTTATAATAAGCACAGCAGGGGCTGGTACTGTGGTGCAGTGGGTTAGCGCCCTGGCCTGAAGCGCCAGCACCCCATATGGGTACCAGTTCGAGACCCAGCTGCTCCACTTCCAATCCTGCTCTCTTCTGTGGCCTGGGAAAGCAGTAGAAGATGGCCCAAGTCCTTGGGCCCCTGCACCCGCGTGGGAGACCCAGAGGAGGCTTCAGATGCGGCCATCTAGGGAGTGAGCTGGCATATGGAAGACCTCTCTCTCTCTCTCTCTCTCTGCCTCTCCTCTCTCTGTGTAACTCTTAACTTTCAAGTAAAATTAATAAAATCTTTTAAAAAAATAATAAACACAGCAATCAATAGATTACTGATTATAACATGCTAAAGACTTTAAATGTAAACCTAAATTCACAGACATTAAGTCTTCTTAAATATTTTTGGGAACTGACTCAATACCTCTTCTAGGTTCAAGTGCCATAATTCTATGAAGGTAAATATCTGTTAAAGTGACTGCAGTCCTAGTGCTAAAACAATACACTTAAGCTACATTTTGTTAAATCCCAGTGAGATTTAGCTAGAATTTCTTTTATTTCTTGTAGGTGCCTGAGGAAGTAAAAATAAGAAAAGAAAAGGAAAAAAGAAAAGAGAAGAGGAGAAGAAAAAAGAAAAGAAAGAAAGAAAGTTTTACCACTGGGATTGTACAGGCAATATGCTACCAGAATGTCAGGGTAAGTGCAATCACAGGTGGATGGACATTTCTTGCATAAGAATGTAGGGGAAATTCCACTTTAAACACACACACACACACACACACACACACAGCTCTACCACTTCCCAAAGCAACTCTGAAATGAATATCTGCTTTATAAGTTAATTCTTCTGGACAATTTAAGTATTTAATAATAGCTCACTGGTTACTGAACATAGATAAAGGAAATGTAAAATGAAACTATTAGGAGCCATAAGTCATTCACAATTGTTTTAAAAGAAAAAAAGGCACTGAAATCATTACACAAATCCAGAGAAAAATGAGGGCTATAGATTTAAAAAGTGCTACCTTCAAATTTATATAATAAAACTATCACAGTCATCTTTCTTTCACTACATTGTGCTTGATTTTGTTTCCCCTATAGAATAAAGAAGATCACTAGAGTTTCTCTGACCATCAATTCCCCAGTTAATGAAAACTCCAACATCAGATCAAGCTTTTCTACATTAGTTCAACCATTGTGTATTGACCACCAGAAGGTAGGTTCACCTTTAAGCCCTGCAGACAGTCTTGGTAATGAAAACATAGTCCAAGATAAGGAGGAATTAGTGCAATCTTCTTGATTGTAGCTGCATGACCTCAGAAAGAACAAGAAAGAAATCCTTGAGTCTCAGAAATAATTCCATGATAGCTCTATGGTATGACCATTTGTCTATGAGCCAGGCTGTAAAAAACAGTTGTTTTCTAGGGGCTCAGTCTCATAAGAGTATTCCAACTATCCAAGGAATGAATTCTCTTTTAATTAAAAAAGAGGGAGATGCTTTTTTGAAAACCTCAGAAGATCCAAAAAGAACTATGTGGCGAAAGAAAAAAAATTAGTCTGTAAAATTTAAAAGTTATTTAAGCCTTTAATACTCATATACAGTCTGTAAATACTTACCAGTACCCATTTCTCAAATGTAATTGCCCAAGGTTTTATTTTAGCATTGGTGCTGATGGAATGCCAGAAGAAGTAAGGGTTGTATTGGTGCAGACAACCCAACTAACATTTAAATTAGAAGTATTATTCTGGCCGGTGCCGCAGCTCAGTAGGCTAATCCTCCGCCTTGCGGCGCTGGCACACCGGGTTCTAGTCCTGGTCGGGGCACCGGATTCTGTCCCGGTTGCCCCTCTTCCAGGCCAGCTCTCTGCTGTGGCCCGGGAAGGCAGTGGAGGATGGCCCAAGTGCTTGGGCCCTGCACCCCATGGGAGACCAGGGTAAGTACCTGGCTCCTGCCTTCGGATAGGCGTGGTGCGCCGGCCGCAGTGCGCCAGCCGCAGTGGCCATTGGAGGGTGAACCAACGGCAAAGGAAGACCTTTCTCTCTGTCTCTCTCTCTTACTGTCCACTCTGCCTGTCAAAAAAAAAAAAAAAAAAAGTATTATTCTTTTCAAAAAGGAAATTTAGGAAATGGTTGGTAGCAGCAGTGACACTTCTTATGACAGCTTCGTGTTCTCGTTTATTCCTTAAACCAGATGCAGAGTCCCTGCAGTAGTGTGTCAGGATCTACCTGTGTTGCAGCCCCTGTGTTCACCAAGGTAACCAATTCATACCACATAATAGAGTTTCGCTTTTATAAATAAACTGCAGATACTGTCAAAGAGGTTAAAAGAAGGAAAGACGAAGCCAGAAAAGAACTGTGAGGATTATTATCAATTTTACATATGAGAAAACACACCGAGCAAAGGTGAGATGATCTGCTCAACGTCACAGAGCAACTCAGGTTTACACTGTCCTGGTTAGGCTTCTGCTCTGTGCCTCTGCAGGGCTCCGTTTACACCATCCTTTCCAAGGAGACTATGCTCCTCCTGGCCTCAAGATTCAGTCAGATTCTCCTAATAAGCCTTTTGATGTCTGTCTGAAGAAGTCAAGGAGCAAAGTAATAGCTACCGCCTGCTTAGAGATCACAGTGAGGTCTAAGTCACCCTCTCGTCACCTACTAGCAACAAAATTCAAAACCACCCAGGTGCCAGCACTATGGCGTAGCGGGTAAGGCTGCCGCATGCAGTGCCGGCATCCCATATGGGTGTTGATTCCAGTCCAGGCCACTCCACTTCAGAGCCAGCTCTCTGCTATGGCCTTGGGAAGGCAGTATGAAAGATGGCCCAGATCCTTGGGCCCCTGCACCCACGTGGGAGAACTAGAAGAAGCTCCTGGCTCCTGGCTTTGGATCAGTACAGCTCTAGGCATTGCGGCCAACTGGGGAGTGAACCATAGAATGGTTCTGCCTCTCTGTAACCCTGACTTTCAAATAAACAAATAAATATTAAAAAGGAAGGAAAGAAGGAAAGAAGGACGGAAGGACGGAAGGACGGAAGGAAGGAAGGGATTTAATGACCGAACAGCAGGATTCAAATCAAAGCTAGGGTTGAGCCTTCTCTAGGCTCTCTGTCTCTCTGTCTCTGTTACCAGATCTGATAGAAATGGTCCAAAGTATAAAACGAGGGCAAGAACTTAACCTGTATCATATACAGTATGAGAAATTAAAAAAAAAATCATTAAGAGTAACACTGATATTGTTTCTAGAAGCTCGATTTCAGCAAATACTATCAGGAACATGTATCATTTATTTCCACACTTTTGTATTCGTTCCCTACAAAATACAGCTCTAGGCATCAAGATTCAGGCTAGGCTGCTCCATATACCTCACTTGGGCTTCACATGATAAAAGGACCCCAGACACTTCCTCTCCGGTCTCAAGGCTAAGCTATAATCTCAAATATAATTTCAGACTCTATAGGATCCTAAAGTTGGGGGCAGGAGAAAAAAGGAGATCATAATTTAAGGGGTAATTAATTCATACATTCATTAATGCATTGTGAGAATAAAATAGCTATAGTTAATAAACACTTCTTATATACCAATATACCTTTTTTCAAATTTATTTATCTGTTTATTTGAAGGAGAGAGTGAAGAGAGACAGATCTTCCATTCACGGCTTTACTTCCCAGATGGTTGCAATGGCCAGGGTTGGGCCAAACCAAAGCCAAGAACTCTATCCATGTCTTCCATGTGGGTGACAGGTGCCCAAGTGCTTAGGTCATCTACCTCTGCCTTCCCAGGTACACAGCAGGAAGTCCAGACCTGAACTGGCACTCCAATATAGTATGCTGGCATCACAGGCAGCAGCTTATCTTGCTGTCACAATGCCAGCCCCATCAATAAAACTGTTATTCTTTACAGAATGTTTTTAGATTTTTTTTTAATATCTGAAATGAGCTTCAAAACCTCAAGGTAGGCTGAGTGTTTTGCTAGCCCTGTTTCACAGGTGAAGAATTTGGGTTTCAGAGAGGTGGTTTGTTTTGTTTTGTTTTGTTTTGTTTTATTTTGTTTTAAGGCAGAGAACTAGATAGAGGTTGTCCACCCACTGGTTTACTCCCCTAAATAGCACATTTTGAAGTAAGTGCTATTATCCCACTTATAAGTAAGAAAACTGGAATCAAAAATGCAAATTAAAAAAATATTTCTCAAGGTCACAAGGATAGTAAATGCTGGGGCCAGAATTCATGTCCAAAATACTTCTTGCGCACATAGCTTTGTCAACCAAAGCCAGGAGCTGAGAACTCACACGGGTGATAGGGACCCAAATAAATGAACCATCACCTGCTGCCTTCCACAGTATTCAACAAAAGGAAGCTGGAATAGGGCATAATCCAGGACTCAAACCCAGGCAAAAGATTTAGGATGAAGGACTCAAACCCAGGCAAAAGATTTAGGATGAAGGCATCTCAAAAAACACCTTGACCACTGCATTAAACAAGCACTCCCAGGGGAATCTTTTCCAAGTTCCTACAGTAGCTTCAACTACCCAATGAAAGGGTTGAGATTTTTGGGCTAAGGCCTTTAAATCATGTTTCAGAGTTCTTATTATTTTTTTTTATTATTATTATTTTTTTTTTTTTTTGACAGGCAGAGTGGACAGTGAGAGAGAGAGACAGAGAGAGAAAGGTCTTCCTTTTGCCGTTGGTTCACCCTCCAATGGCCGCCGCTGCAGCCGGCGCACCGCGCTGATCCGATGGCAGGAGCCAGGATCCAGGTGCTTTTCCTGGTCTCCCATGGGGTGCAGGGCCCAAGCACCTGGGCCATCCTCCACTGCACTCCCTGGCCATAGCAGAGAGCTGGCCTGGAAGAGGGGCAACCGGGACAGAATCCGGCGCCCCAACCGGGACTAGAACCCGGTGTGCCGGCGCCGCAAGGTGGAGGATTAGCCTATTGAGCCACGGCGCCGGCCAATGTTTCAGAGTTCTTAAAAAAAATTTCCAGAGTGTCCAATCTACTGTGACCAATAATAAAGACTAAATCTATGGGTCAGGGGTTATGGAAGAGCGGGTAAAGCCGCAGCCTGCGATGCCAGCATCTCATATGCATGATGGTTCCAGTTCCCACTACTCAACTTCTGATCCAGCTCCCTGCTAATGTACCTGGGAAAGCAACCGAGGATGGCCCAAATGTTTGGGCCCCTACACGCATGTGAGTAACCCAGAAGAAGCTCCTGGTTTCTGGCTTTGCCCAGGCCAGGGCTGGCCACTGCAGCCATTTTGGGAATGAACCAGCAGATTGAAGGTCACTCTTTCTGTCTCTCTCTTTCTCTCTCTCTCTCTCTGTAACTCTGCCTTCCAAATAAGTAAATAAATATTAAAAAAAAAAAAAAAAGACTGTATCTGTGACTAGATATGCACTCACCAAAAAGGTCAAATTCCACAAAACAAAGACTTTTCAACTATGCTATTTCTTAACTTGAAAAAAGCTTCTTCATTAAGTGAATAACAACTTTTTCATTAAACCTAACTGTATTAAGTTAGGATAAAAATAAGTACCTGATTGTAAAACATATAATTAAGTCTAAAAGAATGCTCAGCAGCTCAATGTTGATTAAGGTTCAGTCAGTTGTCAGTACTAAGGATGGAAAAGCATGCACGCTTACTGTGATTGGCATCTCAAATCACTGTCTATCAGGCAATCATTTCTTCCACTGTAAGCATTCTGTGTTTGTTTTTCAGCATCTTCAAGACATCTCTACAATCAGAGGTCAGTTTGTCGTCTTTGAATGCCGAATCCAGGCCACAACCACAGCTCAAGTTCACTGGTACAGAGACAAAGAGCAGATAGCCAATTCAGATGACTTCCGGATTCTAAGGACAAGTATCACCGCAAGCTTTTCAGTTGCTTTTAATTCCCATTAGCTTTGAAATTTGATTAATGTTTTAAAGTAGTTGACTAGCTGATTTGATATAGGCTTAATAACTGCTATTCTAATATGAATGATTGCATCAACAAAACAACCAAAACAGAAAAGGTAGCTATTCGTTTTAATGAAAACATAATTTTAATAACTGTGAAAGAATAGTTTTTTTATTTTTGTAATTAATCTTAAATATCTTTCTAATGAGTTCCTGTTATATAAACTAAAAAAAATGTTACAATAAACATATTTCCTAATAGGCAAAACAAACGAAAACTGATATATACCTTTCTAATTTTACTGTATAATTCTCCTACAAAATAATTAACTTAGGGGAAGGTATAAAGTATAATAATATACCTCATGATTAACATGAAGTTTATACCTTACAAAAACCTCCTCACTTAATATTCACATAAATATTATTAAGTATTGCTATTATCCCATTTATAAGTAGGAAAACTATACTCAGAAATGCCAAAAACCTTGCTCAAGGTCACAAAGATGCTGAAGCCAGAGTTCATATTCAAGATAGATCTTATGCCAAATGAAGAAAATATGTTCATTTAAATATTAATTCAGAACAACTGAATATTTGCATACCGCTTAAACAGCTCCATTACACAAACGATAGTATATTTCTTTTTAAAAACAGCATTTTTTTAAAAAAATTATGTCATGGAAATTTTTCATAATAAATCTGGAAAATATATAAAATAAATAATAATTCTGAATTACTCAGAGAAGACAACTGTTAACTTTTGTGCATTCTGCTACAGGAATACTACAGTATTTTATAAAATTAAATTAAATTTTACTTCAGTCAGAGATTAAGAAAGAAGGATTCTCTTCACGGAAAAAAAATACCACCTTAGGATCTATATTTCAGCAATACTGTACATTCTGAAAAAACAAATTTATCTGGTCATACCTTCATGTTACAGATGAAGACCCAAGGTTCAGGGAAATAATTTTCAGAAGGCCACAGAGAAATTTAATGGTAGAACTAAGACTTAAACTACATTCTAGCATTCTGGCAGCTATTCAATCTTTTGAACACCTTTTCTGCATTTCTACAAAATCTATAGTCTGTAAGTCTGGATTAAGTCAAACTTGTTTTGTATTTACCTCCAGCCATTTCTCATATACACATGGCCCCTTCTCCAAACTAAATTAATAGCCAACATGTAATTTATCTCTTTCCTCTTGTTTTATCTTTCAGAAGGATGTTTATCATCTATTCCTGGTAAGTACACATTTCCGAAATCTTGATAACTGATTAGATTTAAAATGAGCATCAGAAGCCTTTATCTCCTAAGTCACTGTTGCCTTCATGAGCTCTTCTGAGGCTATCCTATGTCAGCTCATAAGCTGAAATCACAAACGAAGCAGGTACCTGGGATTTATCAGTGTACTGCCGCATGTATGCATTCAGCGTATGCTTCCCAAGCACAGTCCATGGCTGGGTTCTGTTCTTGGCACTATGGAGACCGTGAACCAGACTTAGAAAATGTCTGCCCTTGCTTCACGTAGTATTTATGATTTGTGAACTATTCACAGAAACAGTCAGCAGGTGTTCTGATATCAAACATCCCGATTGTTGACTGTCCAAAAGAAACAGGTATGGTGTCCCTCAGGTCTAAGCACTATGGTGACAGTAACTTTTAGGTCAGTTCAGAAAAGGTTTCTATAGGACCTTTAGGCTAAGCACTAAAGCTACAGAAATCTAGGAGTCAAGAATTAAAATGTAATCCCTTTCAAGAAATTCATAGCCTAGGAGGGAAAACAGATGTGTCTGAGAAGCAGGTGTTAAGGACCATGATTTAGGCTTCATGAGCCCAGGTAGATGACAAAATATCTAATCCAGTGTTTTTTTTTTTTAATCTCAGAAATACTATATTTTTTAAAGATTTATTTATTTACTTATTTGAAATTCAGAGTTACACAGAGAAGGAAAAGCAGAGAGAGAGAGAAATAAAAGGAGAGAGAGGTCATCCACTTTCCAGTTCACTCCCCAATTGGATGCAACGGCTGGAGCTGAGCCAATCCAAAGCTAGGAGCCAGCATACTCCTCCGGGTCTCCCATGTGGGTACAGGGGCCCAAAGACTTGGGCCATACTCCACTGCTTCCCCAGGCCACAGTAGAGAGCTGGATTGGAAGTGGAGCAGCCAGGATTCGAACCAGCGCCCACATGGGATGGCAGCCCTATAGGCCACAGTGCCGCCCCCAGAAATACTATATTTATTCCTACTACATATTCTTCCTGCCATCCTCCCACACTACTTGTTTCATTTTTAACTTGCTTTTTCCAGAGGAGGTCTGCACCTTGATTATCACAGAAGCATTTCCTGAAGACTCTGGGGAGTTCAAGTGCATTGCAGAAAATGAGGTGGGGACTGCAATCTCTACAGCAAAACTCTTTGTTTCCCCAGGTAATCACTCTTCAAAATCTTCTTGTTCCAATTCAGTCCTGAGCCAAGAGGAAGACTGTTTTCAACTAAACTGGTTATTAATTACATCTTTCAGAAGGAGAAGAGGTAGAGAAATCAAAGATTTCTCCAACGCTACCCATGAGCAAAGCTTCTTCAAAACTGGCCTCTTTTCCCTGGAACAATGACAGCTACAACAACAATCCAGACAATCCCGCCACAAATCTTTTGCCAGTGATTCCTGAACCAGCCAGTCACAATGAACAGGAGACCCAAGATCCAAAAAGGGATTTCTGTACCATCAGTGGAAATTCCTCTGAGCCGCAACCACAGTGGTAAGGACAAGCAGACCTAACACTACCTGTTCAATTAATTTTCTTGGTTCTGTAGACAAACATGAAAAGGAAGACAATGAGCAAAAGATTTTGGATTTGGAGACTGACAAACTGGGAGCAATGTGTGTAAAGCACATAGTATGCACTCAACAAATATTAGCTATTACTTCACTGAATATTCTCTCACTGCCCTGTTTTCTTAATCAGCACCAGTGTTTATACCCAATAAAAGCCTAGAACCATGATTTTCTGGCCTGCTCTCCAGGAACTCCTTTAGCTTCTGGAATCCCAAATTGCCTGAGCAGTACCTACACTTACAAAAATCTTCATACATCCAAAAAGAATGAGTGTGTGGGACAAAAATAAGAGTGCAATTTACTTAACAAACATTTATTAAACGTATTCTATGTATTTGTTGATCTCTGTGTTAGGCTAACCTTGGAAAAATGGCCTGTACTGATATCTAAAACTTTTCTCTATGACTATCTGTATTTTAACAGTGAGCCTTTAAAACTTTAGAAAACCTTGAATTTTTATTCCAGTATTTTTCATTCGATTATCATCTTAATTAATAGAATCATCTATAAAAAAGTACTGGGAAAAATATCTGTAAAAGCTAACATGTCTTTACTGAGTATCTACTAAGGTCTATACTGTGCTAAGCAAAATAAATTAGTAGTAATATAATCCTTCTCTCAGAAATATTGGAACCTGGTTGAGAAGCTTATTGTGCCCGCAGAAGTCCTTTATTTGTAGGACTTCCCATTTCATTGGAGCCTCTCTGCAACTGTCTTCTTTAGGCTGGTAAACTAGTACTACAGTCATTGTTTAGTTTGCTATTAAAGTTCAGAGTTTAAGCAACTTATCTACAGTTACTCAACAAGTCTGAGGTCGAGTAGGCACTTACATTCAGGTGTCCAAAACAGATAATAAAAAGGTCAATATGTCTCTATGTCTAGAAAGTCAGAGAACATTAGCCAAATTAATGTAATCAATTTGACTATAACTACAAACACAATGGAGTTTATTACTATTTCTTGCCTGAGAAGAATAAAAAATTTAGTCAGGAGGCAGGCACTGTGGCATAGCAGGTTGCTGCTGCTTAAGTTACACAAAGCTTTACTCCTTAGTCCTTTCATCCTCTATGTGACGCTTTCCTTCTCAGTTGATATAGCAGAAACGAGCTTCAGCAGACATATGATCTTCCTACTTTAGAAGAAGCACACAGCACCATCCTTCCATTCTAAAAGTCAAAGATCATATGTGAAAAGAATGAACGAGCAGCAGCTAAATAGCTGCCCTATTTTAACTGATGACAACAGAACCAGGAAGTCCCTTCCCTGCAGCAGGAAAGGTTTCAGTAAGATAGTAATTACTATTTTGTGTCAGGCATTAGAATGATTTACCAGAGACCCTTACTGATAATTCAGAGAAAAGGAAAAAGTTGTCTTTGTGGGCAGGGTAGAATAAGGATCACCCACTTGGTTTCTTTTAAAAAGAGAGTTATTGATTTTAGAGGCAGAGTTACAGAGGGCGAGACACAGAAAGAGGTCTTCCACTCACTGGTTCATTCCCCAAATGGCCACAACGGCCAGAACTGAGCCAGTCCAAAGCCAGGAGATGAGAACTTCCTCCAGGTCTCCCATGTGGGTGCAGGGGCCCAAGCACTTGGGCCATCTTCCACTACTTTCCCAGGCCACAGCAGAGAGCTGGATCAGAAGAGGAAGAGCTGGGACACAAACTGGCACCCACATGGGATGCCAGAGCCACAAGCAGAGGCTTAACCTACTACGCCACAGTGCCGGCCTCCCACTCGATATCTTAATGATTCTTTCAAGTAAGATTCTGCAATTTTTTTCTCAAATAAGCAACCAGACCACTCAAGTAGTCATATTTATGATAAAACATAAACAATATTAAAGGGATGGATTTCGGCACAGCAGCTAAAACATCTTTTGGAACACCCACATCCCACATTGGAATACCTAGGTTTAAGTCCCAGTTCCACTTCTGATGCCAGCTTCTTGCTAATGTGCATCCTGGTGGCAGCAGGTGATGGCTCAGGTTCTTGGGTCTCTGCCACCCACAGAGAGGACTTGGGTTTAGTTCTCATCTCCTGACTTCTACTTGGCCCAGCCTCAGCTGTTGTAGGCATCTGAGGAGTGAATCAGAAGATGAGACATCTCTGTTTCTTTCTCTTTTCTCACTCCCTCTCTCTTTGCCTTTCAAATAGAACACAAATAATTAAATTTAAAACAGCATTCATAAAAGCAAACCAAACATTAAAAGGTAGAAAAAGATTCATCATAGATTATTAAATATAGACTCTGACTTGTTGAGAATGATGTCATAAAAGATCTACTGACTTTTCCTAAATCATTCTCCTTTTTTTAAAGATGTATTTTAAAGATGTATTTATTTATTTGAAAGTTAGAGTTACACAGAGAGAGAAGGAGAGGCCGGGGTGGGGGTGGGGGATCTCCCATCTACTGGTTCACTCTGCAATTGGCTGCAATGGCCAGAGCTGCACTAATCCAAGGCCAGGAACCAGGAGCTTCTTCCAGGTCTCCCACACACACGCAGGAGCCCAAGGACTTCTATTTCTTCTACTACTGTTTTCCCAAGCCATAGCAGAGAGCTGCATCGGAAGTGGAGCAGCTGGGACTCGAACTAGCGCCCATATAGGATGCCAGCACTGCAAGTGGCAGCCTTACCTGCTACACCGATGTACTAGCCCCCTAAATCATCCTTAATTCCTTTATAATATCAAGAACTTTACCATAGTCTTGATGTACATCGGTACCATATGGCAACCCGCCCTATCTTACAAATACTTAGAGAAAAGAAGAGACATATCTCAACAGACAAAGAGTAAGTGGAACTAAAATTCTTCCTCAAATGTGATACATTTAGAACCTGCTGCAGACAAAACTGAGGATTCATAAATTTGTTCTGAGAATTTTCCCTACTTGGCTGGTGTGGTGTATCTCAAAATTTTAGTACTAAGAGATATCAAATATAGTATCTACTCTTTCCTACCCTAATCAAACCCGGTTCTCAAGCAGAACCAAACAGTAGTCACACATGCCACATTTAAAATAGTCAAAATATCTTACTCATACTAAATGCTTTATGTGTTGGTTCTTATTATTTTATTATTATCACTTGCATTTGCATTGTAAGTCTATTTTAGATTGAAAGATTTTGTGTTACTGGAATTTGAATTATCAGTAAACAGATGTGAAATAATATTTTGGGAGATTCCTGAAATAAAACTTCATAGGCAAACACCTACTCATCAAGTCTAGCATGCTTTTTCTACTAAGTAATGTCTACATGCCCTGGAAGCAATTATCAAATCTGACCATCTAAGAAAATTACACCTACCTGATCACCTGTAAAGAATTTTATATGGTTCTTATGTGCTAAAACATCTTCTCTGGGGTACCTGCCCATGAGGGAGGGGAAATAAAACTCTAAACAGAGATAACTTTACTCTATTGGTACAGTCTTCCTTCTACCACCTGTTAATTTGAAAATTTCTTCTTCTGTAATTATTTACTTCCTGCACAAAAATGATCTCCATGACTAAAATAGAAAATAAACTGTAACTGCTAGGACTAAGAAAATGAAAAAAGAACATTAATTTTAATTGTATAGTTTGCAGATTTGGTTGTTTCTTGAGTGTTTCAAAACTCTTTTAGAACAAAAGCGCTAAGTAAAAGGGGCATATGCCAGAGAGATTCAGAAACCTTGCTAAAGAAACCAAGCCACTTTTTTCACCTCCCAGTGACATGTCACTGTGACCCTGCTCTCCTGCCTTTTCCCATACTACACCCTTTCTTGGAACAAATTGTCTGAATCATACTCCACCCCATTCTCACTAGGCAAATTTTAAAAAAAGCTTTCAGATTAAGAATAATGCAATACAAATTGATTTGGAACTCCTCTCTCCCTGTTCTGTTTGCTGGAGTTTTAACTAAATAGAAAAACTCCAGATGGAACACTATTTCCTTTTTATTTTTTTTCTCTTCAACAGGGAAGAGTCAAGTCCCCACCACAATTTTTTAAGTGAGTTTTGCTTCATACTTTTCCTTATCTCCCAATTCACTGCTCTTCCCCAGCTTGCTAAGCTCACAGTAGAAAATGTGTGTCTAAAATAAAGAGGCCTGCAAGTGAAGCTCATGTAATCCCACTCCTTAAATATCATTCAGACATCTGAGATATTATTTAGATTGTGGACTCTTACTTTGACATGCCAGCATAGGTAGATGGACAGGCAAGCACATCAGATGTCACTGTTTGGCAGCTGATAAAAGTCAGTGGAGCTATAATACTAAGCACACAGCCACTAGATTAGTCTGTGAGGGAAGGAGATGTATCTTCCTTCCCTTCAATAGTGGGTTAAATCCAGCTGGCACCCTCCGGATCTACAGGTAAGTTCTTCCATTATTCCTGCTAGAGTTTGGGGTTTTTACCAATGCTATTTGTCCAAATCAGATATCTGTACAAAGGTGATCTTCGTATAAAAAGCTTGAAAGCCACAACATCATGATTTAAAGAGAAAGTGACCTATTTAGTCCACGGAAACTAGAAGGCATTATACAAAGGATAGAAGGAAAGATTGTTGTTTTAAAGCATCATTTTTCCTTGAAAAGGGACATTTTTCAAGGGTCTGTAATTGTGCAATGTTTTATGGCCCCAAAATAGTATGTATCAGCCTTTTGTGCAAGTCTGTGCTGTATGAGAGCTGTGAAAAAAATACTAAGTTTTTTTAATGAGATTGAATAGTATTTATAATATCTTTGAAATTTATTTAGTATTTGGAATAAAATGACACTGTCCTTTATTAGAATCTGTTATAGAATTGAACTGTTGGACAGTAACTACAAACATGTAGACTTCCCAGAGTTACTAGTGTAAATACATAAAATTTTGTTGAAACATGGATAAAATGAAGCCTTTTAAAAAGTATCACTAATTATTAACTATGTAATCTGATACCAAAATGTACAAGACAGTTGGCATTTTGAAAACGCATGTAAAGAAAAATAGGGACCTCTTTTTGGAAAGTATCTTCTGGCTCTTTCTTGAATAGCTTATTTCTTACCATCTGAAACGAGTCTGCGTAATTCCCCAGAAAGGAATTTAGGAACCAAACTCTGAATTCAATTCTACAATGGGTGAATCAATTTGTAACTACAAAACTACTTGCTTTAAAACAGAGCCTGTATTTGAAAAGATCTAAATAAAGTCCTCATTTTGGATGTCTTTTCCTCCAGCAATTTAAATGCCTAATGCAGTTCATTTCTAAAATGCACTCTGGCTGAATGTTTTTGTGTTCATAACTTTAAATTAGGAAATATTTTAAGTGTTCTTTTCCAATATTCTTTGTTAGCAGTTTCATTGGGTTTTCACTCTTTCCTGAAACTGGTAGTTCTAACCACAGAAACAACTTTAAGATGAAGTTGTTTGGTCTGGAAGTTTCACTTACAATATTTTCTTCAAGATAATAATTTAAAATTATAAGACCTTGTTTCAATGATGATAAACAATATGCTTAATTTTCTAGTTAAAAGTTTGATGTACCATCTCAGCATTTGTTTAAACTATGTGAAACAAGCTAAATGTATTTCAAATTAAATTATCTACTATTTGAATAAAATAGGATCAGTGTTACCAACAATTAATTTCTCCGGCCATAGCGACCATTTGGGGGGGTGAACCAACGGAAGGAAGACCTTTCTCTCTGTCTCTCTCTCTCACTGTCTAACTCTGTCAAATAAATAAAATATGAACAACAATTAATTTGACTAGCTTTTGTAATATCTATAGACAGTGCTGCTTAGATTTGCCATACTAATGGGAAAAATCAGAGGCAAATAATCTTTCAAGGTTGATTTTCATGATTTACCAGAGGGAAACTGGAGATTTATTGTAGAAAGTAAGAGGAGCCAACACAGAGCTAGGAGAAATGGCACCCATCCTTGCTTGGTAGTGTATAGACTACTTCATAGATGCCTTATTTAATTTTAATCTTCCTGTTTACTAATTTTTTAAAAAAGAACAAGAACTAAAACAACATCAAAATTAGTCAAAAATAAATATTAAATAAGAAATAAGAATACAAAGTAAAACTCTAAATAATTAAGAGAACATGAAGACCAGTGACTACAATATAAAATCTAAAAGTGACAGAAAAAAATTTAAAATGGCTCAGGAATACACCCATGTACAAACACAGCGTTATTCTGTAATTATCATCTAGTTTGTACAATGGCCAAATTTGAATCAAGGGGAAGAAAACAAGCAGTGAATTATAAGATTTCTTTAAAAACCCCACTCAAAGCTGAATAACACATTATAGACCATCACTCCACTTTATGAATCAAACGGAGGAAGGCTGACTGAGTATGGACATTAAATATTCTTTACAAAAAAAGCATGCTGCTTCTCTTGGCTTACAAAGATACTATTCATCAGAGACCATCAGCACATTAGTTAACTTGTGTGTATCAGAAGGGCTATTAATATGTTTTGATGGACAATAGGGAGACTCATACTAAATGAAGGTCTGACATGTTAATATTTAGCTTAGTATTAATATTCAATAATTGAATCTCTGTGGTTAACAAAAATTACAGCCTCTGGGCAAAAGCTTAAAATTATCACACTGAGCATCATCACAAGATTTCTATTCACAAATGGCCACAGTAAACTCAACCTTGTGCCCCTGCATCTGGAAGCCAGCCTCTGAGTGTGCTTTCATTTTTTTCTCACAGGAGAAGTCATTTGTGAAAACCAAGACAGAAAAGAAGGGGCGGTATAAAAGCCAGGAAATTTCCTCTTTGAGGCAGTATTAAGTTCAAAAAAAAAAAAAAAGAATAAACACATAAAGTCATAAAAATATTAAACAAAATGTTGTTTCATCAAAAATTGTAACTTAATTATTTTCTCCCTTTAAAGGAACACTATTCTTCAAGAGAAGGCCACTCTACCAAAGCCAGAAACACAGAATCCTCAAGATCTCAACAAGGAGGAGCGGATCAAGGTTGCTTCTGGTTCCTTGCGACCGTCAGTAATTCCAGGCATTCAGCCCCAAATCCAGGACCCTGCTCTTCCAGGAATAAATCTTTATAGTAATAATTCGCCTTCATCGTCCATCTACCAGCTAAGCATGTTTAACTATGAACGTCCAAAACACTTCATCCAGTCCCAAAATCCATGTGGCTCCAGATCACAGCCTCCTGGACCAGAAACCTCCAGCTTCTCTAGCCAGACCAAACAGTCTTCCATTACCATCCACCCTCGCCAGTGCACAGAGCAAAGATTTTCTGCCTCCTCAACAATGAGCTCTCACATCACCATGTCCTCCTCTGCCTTCCCTGCTTCTCCCCAGCAGCTTGCTGGCTCCAATCAAGGCCAAAGGGTTACAGCCACCTATAATCAGTCCCCAGCCAGCTTCCTCAGCTCCATACTACCATCACAGCCTGATTACAGCACCAGTAAAATCCCTTCCACTGTGGACTCCAAGTAAGTGAATTTTTATCTACTGCACATCCAAGTGAGTTTACAGACAGGAGATCTGAGAGCATGCTTTACTGTACAGAAAGGCAATGAGATTGCTCAGTCTCATCCCATAATTCTCCTAGGACACACAGGAACCAGGGAACTGGCATTTGAGGTATTATTTCAATCCATTCTCCAGTGTCCAGGCTGAGCTGAATCTAACTTACCTATTATTCCATACACTTACCAATTACTTTCCATCTTCAAAAACATAAATTCTAACATGCCCAACAACAGTGACCTTTTCCACTAGTTTCTAGCTAAGTTCCTCATGCTGTAAATTTAATTCCTCCGGTCTACGCTCACCAGAGATGAAGAACACCTGTCTGTTCTCCTTCAGCTAGAATTTCCTCTCACATAAGCAAAGGCTATTGAGTTTCCTGTCAGTCTTGGGCTTTTCTTCCTATCCATTTCCCCCTCTAATCCTGAACATCCACTTGGCTGAATAAAGACCGAAATTAACAAACTTTAAAATCTGGAATTCGGACACTCACACGTGTGAATTTTCCTCACTATGATCGGAAGACAGGCTTAAACAGTTGAAGGCTTATGGCTTCAAGATTTCCTTTGGCATTTAAAAACACACATTGTTCAAACTGGGTGGGCTGGGCTTAATATGAGGAGTAACCTAAGACTGTCTGAGGAGAACCTGATACAAGAAGGACATGCAGTGGTGCTTTTTTTAAAACATGAACTGAATACTTTGTGCGCATGCAAACTTAGAGCTAATCAGTTTTCCCATTTCTTGGCTGGTGAAAACATCAGAAAATTAAATCAGAAGCATCTCAGAAATTGTCTGATGGAATGTTTCACTGCAGGCTTACTGACACATTCACTGCAACTCATATTTTTCCCTGTTTCTAGACATTAATTTTTTTAGAAATTATTATCATTGATAACAACTCTGCCTACTTGAACCGAGTACAGCAATTCAATTTGCTAAGTAACTTTTTCAATATTTTTAAAAATAAAAACCAAAGAAGCCAAAAAAAAAGTTAAAATCCTATAGTTATTCTGTTGAATCATTTGAAAGGGCTGACAGTCAACTGCTTTTTACCTGTAACACATTCTTATGGGTCTGACCTAATGTTTTAAAAAGATTCCTTCAAAAATTAAGAGTCCTCTCGCTAGCTCTTATCTCCCATATTCCCATTATACCCATACCAGGCAGTGTAGATTTTTCTTGGTTACATTCATCCAGATGATCATTTTCCATCCATCTCTCAACTATCATTCAACATTCCCCATATGAGCATTTTTAAATCTAAAATAGCCTTTTTTTTTTACTGTAATAATTTTCTTAGTAAATTATTTCGATCATAATCCAAATTCTTGGCCAGGAAATAAACAATCAAACCAAATATTCACTAAGCCTCAACCATGTCCCTAGCTCTATGCACAGATCTAAGAAATCAGGATTAAAGGCAAAAAGTGAGAATAATAAGAACCAGCACTGTGTTACAGCGGGTTAAGCCACTGCCTGCAACACCAGCATCCCATATGGGCCTAGTTCATGTCCCAGCTGCTCCACTTCCAATCCAACTCACCACTAATGCACCTGGGAAAGCAGCAGAATATGGCCCAAGTTCTTGGGCTCCTGCACACACATGGGAGACCCAGATGAAGCTCCCAGCTCCTGACCTTGGCCTGGCCCAGCCCTGTACATCGTGGCCATTTGGGGAGTGAACCAGCAGGTCAAAGATCTCTGTCTCTCCCTCTCTCTCTGTAACTCTTTCAACTAAATAAATTTCTTTTTAAAAATAAGAAATAAAATTTAGAAGGGTCCCCAAACCAGAGATCAAAGATCCAGCTTTAGTTGTTCCATTTTCAGCAACCACAGATAACTCTTTTAATCTTCTCATAGCTGCTTGACACCAATTCTGTGTCCAGCTGTACAGGGTGGAAAACCCTGGCCCTTTGAATGTTTGTACATAACTCCTTCGTTGTTATGAGGGGCTCAAGTTTGCCCTATTTTTTAAAATAATCCCTTGGTTTCTGACCTAATGAAGAAAAAATGAAAGCTTTATTCAACCTTTTATCAGTAGGAAACCCTCATGCAAACTTTTTATTCAGTTGATCGAACCACATACTATAAGTTGAGGGTAAGTCTGTAATTGTAATTACTCCTTCTGAAAGTCCTGCTATGTGATATCTAGCAAGTACCTCGCCTGTTTGATGATTCAGTTTTCTGATCTGTAATAAAATTAAGAATTTGTATAATTAATGATAGGGGAAAAGACATCTAAAATAGTGTACAATATTAGCTTATAAATAGGAATAGGTATCAAGACCTAACAAGCCATGTAAACTAAGAATAATGGGGGTATTCAGTGAATAGTGACCAAGGTCACATACCCATCAGTGATTTCCAGGCTTGGTTTTGATAATCCTTCAGGAGTTCTCAGATTTCAGTCTGAAAAAGGAATTATTTAATGTTAATTCACTTTTATAAAAATGACAAGCTGGCATTAAAAATACCCAGTAGGCTATTATAATCCCATACAGTTGGAGAAATATGAGATCTATAAAATCAAAGGAATTTTCCCTCTTTGACCTAGGGACTCAGTATTTGAAAAGGAAAAAGCTAATTTATTTAAAATCTTGGTTTGACTAGTAAATGAACAAATCAGACTTCAGTTAGTAATTAATACACATGCCATGAAAATTTGAAACATAAGAATTCTCAACTTTCAATACAAAGTATATTGATTACAATGAAAAACATCCATTCATTTAACTGACAGTATCTCCTACACTAATGCTTCCCTTAGTGAATATACATGAGAAAGTAATACGACCCCTTTTCTTCAATATGTTTACAAGGTAATGATTATTAATCAAGTCTCAATGCCAGCAAAATCTACGCAGAGGAGATACTTCCACTTAGTTCACAAGTCTTTTTAATTTCCTTAAGAATTTTTGGACAGGAATATGTCAGACAACAGACTTTGGGTGTCCCAAGTGCATAACTGGATAACATTCATTATGATAATGGTAAAACATTTGTTGAGTGCAGTTGTCAGTTTTCCCACATAAAATAGGTTGATATAGGCCGGCGCTGCAGCTCACTTGGCTAATCCTCCACCTGCGGCGCCGGCACTCTGCGTTCTAGTCCCAGTTGGGGCACCAGTTCTGTCCCAGTTGCTCCTTTTCCAGTCCAGCTCTCTGCTGTGGCCCGGGAAGGCAGTGGAGGATGGCCCAAGTGCTTGGGCCCTGCACCCTCATGGGAGACCAGGAGGAAGCACCTGAGTCCTGGCTTTGGATCGGCGCAGCGCCGGCTGTAGTGGCCATTTGTGGGGTGAACCAATGGAAGACCTTTCTCTCTGTCTCTCTCTCACTGTCTAACTTTGCCTGTCAAAAAAAAAAAAAAAAAAATGGTTGATATAAGCAAGCCTCTCACAGCTTGCTGTGAAAAGCACTGTGAAAAGGGAACTACCTAACAGATCTAAAAACATAGGAGTCCCTGAATAAGGTCCCCATCCTCTATCAGAATCAACACAGGGAACTTTGGGAGGGGCCAGGGACACCTCAGAAGAAAAGATCGGTACATGAAATAAAGACTTAAACCAAGGTCTTTAAATGCTACTCGAATTTGTTTTTCCCAAATCCATTTTTCAATTTATATCTCTTTATCTATCTTCCTCCATTTTTTTTTTGGCTTTGGGTTTTTGTTGTTGTTGTTTGGTTGGTTGTTGTTTTTTTTTTTTTTTTTTTTTTTTTGAAAGGCAGAGATGGAGTTGGAGGAGAAAAATAGAGAGACAGAGGTCACTCACAATATTGGTTCACTCCCCAAATGCCCACCATGGGCAGAGCAGGGCAGGCCTGGTCCCCAGGGAGAGCCAGGACTCAAATCTAGGTGCTCTGATATGGTACATGGGCATCCCAAAAAGGGTTTAAAGGGCTGGGCCAAATGCGTGGCCTTATTACTGTCATTTTCTCAATTCTTCCTCCTGCCACTTAATTCTCATTTGTAAAGATAAAAATAATGTAGTAACCATTCCTATAAAATTCTTCTTGATTGATACTAGGGCAACTGGTGTTTTAAATACCAGTATTACTAAATGATAAACTCAGCATAGCTAAAAGTGAATTACAAAATGAGGCCAATTCTATTTTAGATACACCTTACTTTGAGAAATTTTCCCTTTTTTTAAATATTTTTTAACTTTTATTTAATAAATAAAAATTTCAAAAGTACAACTTTTGGATTATAGCAGCTTTTCCCCCCATAACCTCCCTCACACCCACGCCCATCCCATCTCCTCCCTCTCCCATCCCATTCTTCATCAAGATTCATTTTCAATTATCTTTATAAACAGAAGATCAACTTGGTATATACTAAGTAACAACATCAACAGTTTATACCCACACAGATACACAAAGTATAAAGTACTGTTTGAGTACTAGTTTTACCGTTAATTCTCATAGTACAACACATTAAGGACAGAGATCCTACATGGGGAATAAGTGGACAGTGACTCCTGTTGTTGATTTAACAATTGACACTCTTATTTATGACATCAGTAATCACCCAAGGCTCTTGTCATGAGCTGACAAGGCTATGGAAGTCTCTTGAGAATTTTTTTTGTATAGCAAGCACTCAGTTCTGTGGACACTCTGTTTAAAGTAGTTATGGATGACTGACAGGCCTTAGAAAATATACTGATAGAGCAAGAAGGAACATGTGTAGCAATTAATGGAATCTGTCACCTCTACCCTAACAGTAGTATGTTCACTGAAAGAGACATTAAAAATCTTTATACTCAGGCTAGCTGGTTTTACAATCTGCATAGGGACAATCTATCTAAACCCACTATTTGGGAAACAAATATATTTTCCCTTCTTAAAGAGCAAAAGAAAAAGAATTTTTAAAAAATATTTTTTTTTCCTTTATAAAGCTACCAACAATCCTCAGTTGGCCAACCTGTAAATGCTCACCCATCCCAAACTGCAAATGCGAAGGCAACACCAAGGACTCCTGACCATGAAATACAAGGATCAAAAGAAGCTTTGATTCAAGATCTGGAGAGAAAGTTGAAAAGCAAGGACACCCTTCTTCATAATGGAAATCAAGTGGGCAAAATGTCTATTTCGTACAAAAAGCCAACTTAACTATAATATAATTTCAATAAGTTCTATATCCACACACAGCAAAGAATAGGATTGTCTAAAAAGAAGGAATAATAGGTCTTAATCCATATTTCTCTGCATGAAATCATCTCTCAGTTTTCATTATTTTTTTTAACTTTTATTTAATGAATATACATTTCCAAAGTACGAATAATGGATTACTATGGCTTCCCCCCCATACCGTCCCTCCCACCCACAACCCTCCCCTTTCCCACTCCCTCTCCCCTTCCATTCACATCAAGATTCATTTTCGATTATCTTAATATACAGAAGATCAGCTTAGTATACATTAAGTAAGGATTTCAACAGTTTGCTCTCAGTTTTCAGTATTAAAAGGATGCAAAGTTGGGGCTGACGCTGTGGCTCACTTGGTTAATCCTCCACCTGCGGCGCCGGCATCCCATATGGGCACTGGGTTCTAGTCCTGGTTGCTCCTCTTCCAGTCCAGCGCTCTACTGTGGCCTGGGAGGGCAATGGAGGATGGCCCAAGTGCTTGGGCTCCTGCACCTGCATGGGAGACCAGGAAAAAGTACCTGGCTCCTGGCTTCGGATCGGAGCAGTGCCAGCTGTAGCAGCCATTTGGGGAGTGAACCAACAGAAGGAAGACCTTTCTCTCTGTCTCTCTCTCTCTCACTGTCTATAACTCTACCTGTCAAATAAAAAAAAAAAAAAAAGGCTGCAGGAAGAAAAGTGCAGCCACTTTAAAAAAAAAAAAAAGGATACAAAGGAAAAATCTATCCAAATGACTTAATGAAAATTTTATTTCATTAAATTTCATTTAATGAAAATGTCTGATAGCCAAATAACTAATGAAAGATACTGCCAACTCAATTTCTTCATGTACTTTGGTGTTAATAATCATGGGCAAATGACTACAGCTTTAATTTTTTATGTAGTGCCTAGTGTACACATTATCTTAGTCACTTATCTCTGAAACAGCACTTTATGACTTTAATACAAATATATTTAGCAAATCATCTGCTCTCAATTATAAGTTGGTGTGGTTAAATATTCAGTGTCCATTTAATGAAAGTTATTTCTGAATATAAGGACATGAAGTGCTATGTTCAAAAACAGAGCAGATTAAAATGTGCAAAACAAGGAGGAAGGAGAAGGTTTTCCCTTTAGTTAGGAGAGCTTTCTTTAAAGGTGAGATGCCTGCATTTCTTATGAGCAAAAAAGAAAGCCTACACTAATTTTTACCATATATGAGGGAAGTGGCACTAAAATGAAAGAAATATTTTGAATGGAAGAAATGGCTTTTTAAAACCATAAAATCAATAATTCAATATATCGGCTTATATTTCTTTGAGGTTCTGATTTAGAGTGGTGATTTTAAGATACACCTGTATAAACATTTTTTTATTAAATCTCATTACTGTGTCCTTAATAACTTATTTCTTTAAAGCGGTTAACATATGAGGAGAAGATGGCTCGCAGATTGCTGGGACCACAGAATGCAGCTGCTGTGTTTCAAGCTCAAAATGACAGTGATACACAGTATTCAACACAGGTAAATTAAAATAATCCATCCAACTGGAATGCTTTCATTTTGTGTAACGATGTGCAAAAAAAAAGAAAACACACACACATACAAATGAATACCTATGTATATACACAATTTATATACAATAATGCATACTGTATGTAATACATAATTTAAAAGTTTACCTGAGTCAAAACATCAGAAATGGTACAGTTTTTATCAAGGATTTATAGGTCAGTTATACCTAGTACTCCTTCTACATCATCTATATGGAGAGAAAATTTATAGTTATGAATCTTTACTTTCAGGACATGTTAAAACTCTAAACCAAATTAGTCTTTTCTTTTAAGTTGTTTATCATTACAATGTCTTAAAGCACACTTGTGGTAGTAATGAAACATCCAATTCCTTTTTTAATGTCTCTTTTTTCAAAAAATGTTTATTAAAGAGCAAAACTGGTGGCACTATGGCCCAGTGGAGTTAAGCACTGCCTGCAGCACCAGCATTCCATGTGGGCACAGATTCCAGTCCCAGCTGCTCCACTCCTGATCCAGCTCCCTTTTAATGTGCCTGAAAGGCATAAGATGGCCTAATCCTTGGGGCCTTGCTACCCACATGGGAGACCAGGATCAAGCTCCTGGCTCCTGGCATTGGCCTAGCCCAGCCCTGGCCATTGTAGCCATTTGGAGAGTGAACCAGAGGATGGAAGATTGAGTCTCTCTCTCTCTACTTCTTTGTTTCTGTAACTCTGCCTTTCAAATAAATAAGTATTTAAAACAACAACAAAAACTGTTGTAATGGCTCTAAGATTAACAAAATTATCCTTCCAAAGAAAGGATTAACTTTATGGAGAGCATAAAAGGTATTCACATATGCTTGTACCTGGTCAACTTGATTCTAACAAATAACTAAACCCAGAGAGAAACATACAGTTGGAGAGTGAGACTGAAGCATTATCACTGTCTTCCTTCTGCAGTTATCCTTCATTCCCTATTATAAAGTCCTCAAGAAACAAGAAATGCAAGCTTCCAAGAATAAAAACTGAAAATAAGATTTTTGATTCCACTGAATGTGACTAGATCTACTAAAAAGGATGGAGCAAGGTCTAACAGAGCAAGAACTAGAAACTGAAAACACAATTTCATTTTAGCTACTGAACAGTTCATTCATTCATTCATTCAACAAATTTACATGGAGTACCTACTACATGTTGAACTCTGGACTGAGTATGGAAGATTACAAACAAGAAACAAACCCAACTCTACTAGCAGAGATTACTCAAAGCAATGTTTTCAGTGATGATAGTTAATCTTATAAATGCACAATATCCAACTCCAAGAACAAGGATATGTTTTTTTCTCATTCATTCTTTAAAATCTTTTAAAATGCAGACAATAATATTTGGAAAAAAGATAGCAACATAAACATATCATCATGAAATCAGAAAAGGTAAATCTTACATTTTTGTATATTTCAAACATTATCCCAAATAATACAAAGTATCATCAAACTGTAGTATAGCTGAAATATCACATCTTGGAATAAAATTATATGCGTGTTCAAACCACCACTATAGGAAAAAGTCAAAAAGGTAATTTGGATATTTTTAACCATATTTAAAAAAAAAATGATTGATTGATTTGAAAGGCAGAGTTACATAGAGGCAGAGAGAGAGAGAGGTTTTCCATCCACTGGTTCACTCCCCAGATGGCCACAATGGCCGGAGCTGCGCTGGTCTGAAGCCAGGAGCCAGGAGTTTCTTCCAGGTCTCCCACGTGGGTGCAGGGACCCAAGGACTTGGGCCATCTTCCACCACTTTCTCAGGGCATAGCAGAGAGCTGGATGGGAAGTGGAGCAGCCGGGACTTGAACCGTTGTCCATATGGGATGCCAGCACTGCAGGTGTCAGCTTTACCAGCAGTGTCACGGTGCTGGCCCCAACCATACTTTTTTTTTTTTTTTTTTTTTTTTTTTTTTTTACAGGCAGAGTTAGACAGTGAAAGAAAGAGAGAGAGAGAGAGAGAGAGAGAGAGAGAGAGAGAGAAAGGTCTTCCTTTTTCCGTTGGTTCACCCCCAAAATGCCCGCCACAGCCGGCGACAACTACAACAAAAAAAGTTGATCACTGAATTGACTAGTTTTATGACATTTTCCCTAAAGAATCTTAAGGCTATCCAAAAAATTTTAGTTGTAAGACTTTTGCTTTAAAAATGACAAAATGCATTAAACCGATTCATCCTCAAATTATTCATTCTCAGATTTTCTGTGTCCTATACAAATATGTTGCAGATATTTAGATTGGGACTTTACTTTCTATTTCTTTTCATCTCACACTGTGTTAAGCACAGTGAAATACACAGAGTAAGTCTTAAATATTTAATCAATTTCCTTATTATAATTTTCATCACTTTCTGGCTTTACTCTTAAATAGAAATAATTTTCTGGTGATTGGATATAAATCCTAAAAGATGTTTTGCTTAAATATACTTTTATTAAACAGGAAGTAATTAATATTGTTTTTCATAATTACACATATCTTCAATGATGTCCAACAGGATTTTGCGCCAGGAGCTAAAAAGAGAAGTATTTTCCAGCCCAGTGTTTATTGCTGTTGGTGCCACTTTTGAGCAGTAGGCATAACACCTTGTACCTAATGCCAACACAAGTGACTTCATGTCTATTTCTGTTTTACTCAAGGACAATCTGTACTATGTGTTCCTATTTCAAGTACACCAGGGTGACACATCATCCTTTGTCATAATCAACTGAAAAATGAACCACCATCAATTCCAGGTCTAGCTTATTTTCATAAATAACATCTATTGAATAGTGCTAATAATTCTTGCTAGAGTAGTAGTAGGTTAGTGCACTGTATTTAAATGCTTACAAAGTGAATATATGTGGCTGATGTTGTGGCATAAGCCACTTTCTGCAATGCCCATAGGGGTGTAGGTTCATATCCCAATTGCTCCACTTCCAGTCAGTGGAAGATGGCTGAAGTACTTGGCACTTGACACCCCTTGGGGGACCTGGATAAAACTCCTAGTTCCTGACTTCAGCCTGGCCCTGTCCTGGCCATTGCAGCCATTTGGGGAATGAATCGGCAGATGGCAGATAGCTCTCTCTGTCTCTCCCTCTCTCCCCATAACTCTGCCTTTCATTCTGTTTTGATTTTTTTCTGACAGGCAGAGTGGACAGTGAGAGAGAGAGACAGAGAGAGAAAGGTCTTCCTTTTGCCGTTGGTTCACCCTCCAATGGCCGCCTGCTGCAGCCGGCGCACCGCGCTGATCCGATGGCAGGAGCCAGGAGCCAGGTGCTTTTCCTGGTCTCCCATGGGGTGCAGGGCCCAAGCACCTGGGCCATCCTCCACTGCACTCCCTGGCCATAGCAGAGAGCTGGCCTGGAAGAGGGGCAACTGGGACAGAATCCGGCGCCCCAACCGGGACTAGAACCCGGTGTGCCGGCGCCGCAAGGTGGAGGATTAGCCTATTGAGCCACGGCGCCGGCCCAACTCTGCCTTTCAAATAAATAAATCTTTTTAAAAAAGTGAATATATAGAATATGACTATACAAATACAGCCAAAATAGAAATGTTCCTTTCAACTATTCTTTCTTAATTCTGCTTCATTTTAAGTTAACTGTGTATTAACATTCTCTCTTTATTTTGATTTCAAGCAGCAAAACTCAGAACATGCACGACTACAAGTTCCTACATCACAAGTAAGGTAAAATTTTTTAAAAAATACATGTTCTGCTATCTGAAATGTTTTCAGTGTTAATATTTATAAAATACTCCAGCTTACTAAATACCTTTTTAAGAATATAATGGGAATTTTCCAATGTCTAAGATGATGATCTAAATTTCATATTAATTATCCAAACTACCTCAGAAGTTCTTTAAATGTTTTGGACAAAGAAGCTGAGACTATGTTTCTGTTAAACAACTTTTTCATGACAATGAAAATTCAAATTATATAATCTTTAGAGGTGATAATAATAACCTATAAAGCATTCTGCATTTAATTTAATTCAATTCATGGCACTGCAAAAAAATAAAGATGTACAATTTGTACCAGATGTTTCTACATTGTTACCATTTCTAACAAACATCAAACACACTCTCTAAGGTCTCACTCCACTATTATACTACCAGATCAAATCATAGATTCCAGGCTTTCAAATTTGATGTCTGAACCCTCATATTAATGTGAAAACAAAAGCAATGATAACATTGATGCAGCAGTGATGAAAATATCTTTACAGAAGCAGATCATCTTCCAGGGGAGATGTGAATGATCAGGATGCAATCCAGGAGAAATTTTACCCACCACGTTTCATTCAAGTGCCAGAGAACATATCAATTGACGAAGGAAGATTCTGCAGAATGGACTTCAAAGTAAGACTTAAAAAATATTGAGGATACTAGGCTTTTGAAAAATGTCCTCTTCCTACTTGGAGCTTGCCACTTAGCTTGAGAAATACTATGCAATGGATAAGAACACAAATTCTAGAGCCAAGCTAATCAGGGTTTGAATCCTGGCTCTGCCACTTTCTATCTGTGCAATCTGACACCAGTCACTTAACTGCTCTTGTGCTTTCAGCTCCTCATCTGGCAAATTAATAACAAATATGCTTACCTCGTAAAGCTATGAAAACTAACTGAATAAACACATATACCTAACATCCTATATAAGTGATGCTATCATAGATCTCTAAATTACAAGGCTTCTCTAATTCTCTTCCATCCAGAAATTCAAGCCATCACCCTTCTTCTCTTGGCCTAAGAGTTCTTCAGGCTAGAATAACTCTTTAGAAGAATGTTCATTTTTTATTATCCTCATTTTGGAGAACTTTTTCATATATTTTTCTGGGTTCCTTATGAAAGAAAGTTAGTGTTAAGGCTTAACACTGGATTTAACTGTTAAGAGTCATAAAACATCTAACTCACCACCATCTATATACTCACTACTCTATTTGAGAAAAGTCAGCACTTAAGAAATCAGCTGGAACCCTGTATCCGCCATCAGAGTGCCAACGTCTAATTCCCCACTCTACCTCCAATCCAGCTTCCGGCTAATGTACATCCTGGAGGCAGTGGTAACGGCTCAAGCACATGGGTCTCTGCCACCCACATGAGACCTGGATTGAGTTCCTGCCACCTAGTTTCAGTCTGGTCCAGCCCAGGGCATTTAGGGAGTGAATCAGCAGGTAAAAGATATCAATAGATAGAAAATATATCTCTCTTGTTCTCTCCCTTTATCTCCCTCTGTCTCTTTCAAATAAATAAAAATGATTTAAAAATCTTTAAAAGTCATTCTGACATCAGACCAGCAAGTCTCACACGCATGCCCTGCCACTTCACTGTGAATCACAATGAAATGAAATGCTACCTGACTTCCATGTTCCTTGTGGAGACAAATATATAATATGAATTAATATTCTAAATATAGTAATTAAGAGATTCTTTGGAAATATTTATTTATTTATTTATTTGAAAGGCAGTTAGAGAGAGAGAGAGAGAAAATTTTCTTTCTGCTTGTTCACTCCCTGAATGATGACAATGGCTGGGGCTAGGCTAAGCCAAAGCCAGAAGCTTAGAATACCATCCAGGTCTCCCATGTGGTGGCAGGAGCCCTAATACTTCTGCCATCTTCCACTGCTTTCTCAGGCACATTAGCAGGAAGCTGGATCAGAAAGAAAGCAGCCAGGACTCAAACCAGTGCTTATATGCAATGCCAGCATCGTAGGCAGCAGCTTAACCCACTGCACCAACTACTCTGATCTGTAAGAGATCTTAAACAGCCTGAGATTGCATGTGAATGAACTACATATGCTTTGAGATAATCTGAAAATTTTATATTAATTTCAATACATTTAATTCCTACATTTCTAATTATAAATATCTTTATGAACTCTGCATATTCAAACACAAAGCCACTCAAATACTGAATTATTAAAATTCATAAAAAGACAAATGGGTCCCAGCAATACAATAATTTAAAACTGTCATCTCCTTATATTTTTATTTCTAGGTGAGTGGACTGCCAGCTCCTGATGTGTCATGGTACCTGAATGGAAGACCAGTTCAATCAGATGATTTGCATAAAATGATAGTGTCTGAGAAGGGCTTCCATTCACTCATCTTTGAAGTAGTCAGAGCTTCAGATGCAGGAGCTTATGTGTGTGTTGCCAAGAACAGAGCAGGAGAAGCCACCTTCACTGTGCAGCTTGATGTCCTGGGTAAGCCTCCAGCTAAGTCTTTGAGGGGCTCCTTAAAATACAGCAGCACTGGGGTCAGCGCTGTGGCATAGCAAATAAAGCCACCACCTGCAGTGCCGGAATCCCATATGGGCGCTGGTTCGAGTTCTGGCTGCTCCACTTCCGATTCAGCTCTCTGCACTTCTCATAAAACTGGGTCTGGTTTTAAGCTTTAAATATACCACATTTGTAATGGTTTAAACCATAGTATATTACATAAGAGATATTTTGCTACAACTCATTGTTTATAAGAGCTTGATCATGTCAAAGAACAAAAATTTTCTTGTATTTCTTTTTTACCTATATCAATGAAAAATCCTAACACTTACTTTACGGTATACTGGGGCACTTCAATCTAAGAAAAAAAAAAAAAAAACAAAACTAGCTAGCTGGGAACAAAAACATGGAACCAATGCTGTGCACAGCAGGTTAGGCAGCTGTCTGTAGTGCCAGCATCCCATATGAGCCCTAGTTCAAGTCCTGGCTGTTCTGCTTCTGATCCAGCTCCCTGTTAATATGCTTGGGAGAGCTGCAGAAGATGGCCCACGTGCTTGGGCCTCTGCACCCACATGGGAGACCCAGAAGAAGCTCCTAGCTCCCAGCTTCAGACTGGCCCAGCCCTGGCAATTACAGCATTTGGGGAGTGAACCAGCAGATGGAAGAATTCTCTCACTCTTTAACTCTGACTTTAAAATAAACAAATGAATCTTTAAAAAAAAAAAAAAAACACACTAACTCAAGTGATTCAGCTTTGGACAAATCCCATTTTGCCAAAGTCTTCAGAAATATGATAATATTACAGCAGAAACAGACCCTGGTTGGCATCTGTCCAATCTGCTCATTTTTCCTTTAGAAAGCCAAAGTTACAGTACTGTGCTATTGTTTTCTCTTTTCCCTCAGGAAATTGAAGAAAAGTCAAGTCATGATGTCTGCTAATAACATTGTAATTTTGTAATTACTTTTTTTTTTTTTTTTTTTTGGACAGGCAGAGTGGACAGTGAGAGAGAGAGACAGAGAGAAAGGTCTTCCTTTGCCGTTGGTTCACCCTCCAATGGCCGCCGCGGCCGGCGCGCTGCGGCCGGCGCACCGCGCTGATCCGATGGCAGGAGCCAGGAGCCAGGTGCTTTTCCTGGTCTCCCATGGGGTGCAGGGCCCAAGCACCTGGGCCATCCTCCACTGCACTCCCTGGCCACAGCAGAGAGCTGGCCTGGAAGAGGGGCAACCGGGACAGAATCCGGCGCCCCGACCGGGACTAGAACCCGGTGTGCCGGCGCCGCTAGGCAGAGGATTAGCCTAGTGAGCCGCGGCGCCGGCCAACATTGTAATTACTAACCAGTCGTTTCACTGACTGTCTCAGTTGTTCCTGACAATAATTTGTCTGGCAGACACAGCAGCCACTACTACCCAGAAACTAGATAGATAGATAGATGAATGGATGGATGGATGGATGAATGGATGGATGGATGGATAAAACTAAGGCTTAGAGAAATACTAACAAAATTTTCCCAACGTGATGTGGTTCATGGAACCAGTAGAGAATTTGAACCTAAGTTCTCTAGTACTCTTTCCAAACCTATGCTGCCTCCCTGTACAAGAGATGACAAATGAGAATAGGATTTAAATTCTTTAAACAAAACAGGATTAGAAATTCAACAAATCATTACATCATAGTTTTAAATCTCTGATTTTTATATATTATAGTATTTTAGCTAAAATGTTTCCACCTTGTTGCTTTAAAAAATTTTTTTTAAAGATATGTTTGTTTGAAAGAGCTACAGAGAGAGAGAGGCAAAGCCAGAGAGAAAGAGAAGTCTTCGATCTGCTGGTTCACTCCCCAAAGGCTACAATGGCCAGAGCTAAGCCAGGATGAAGCCAGGAGCCAGGAGCTTCAACCAGGTCTCCCATGTGGGTGCAGGGGCCCAAAGATTTAGGCCAACCTCGCTGCTTTCCCAAGCACTTTAGCAGGGAACTGGATCAGAAGTGAAGCAGCCAGGACTCGAATCAGCACCCATATGGGATGCCAGTGTTACAGGCAGCAGCTTTACCTGCTACACCACAGTGCCTGCCCTGCTTTTTAAAATTTTAAAATCAATGTACAAATTTTATAATACTTTGATTTAATATAATTTTTATATTACAAATACTTGAATTTTGTTTTTTAATATGTAGCAAAAGAACATAAAAGAGCACCAATGTTTATCTTCAAGCCACAGAGCAAAAAAGTTTTTGAAGGAGAGTCAGTGAAATTAGAATGCCAGATCTCAGCTATACCGCCACCAAAACTCTTCTGGAAGAGAAATAATGAAATGGTACACTTCAACACTGACCGAATAAGGTACGATGAGTATTTCTAGCCCTAACTAGATGAATCCAGTTACACCTCAATATACATTATAAATAGCATGCTATCATGATCTCTATTTGTCTAGTTTTTAAGCCGTATATACAAACATAATAAAATTTCAATAAACCAGAATCCACTCATCAGAAATCTGAGGTATAAAGAAGCCTTAGGATTTACCTTTTCAGCAAACAACAAAGATGATTTCAGGGGAAAAAATGGCATAAGACAAAGGGGAAATGTTAAAAAAAAAAAAACAGCTATTTGACAATGACTTAATATAGCCACAGAATTTACAAATGCTTCTTTTTCTTCTAATTAGTATGACTCTGTAAGTTAGAGAATCACTGAAACTCACAGGAAATTTAATTTCTAAACTTTGATTTTTTTAATGTTTCTTTTCAGCTTATATCATGATAATGCTGGAAGAGTTACTTTACTGATAAAAGATGTAAATAAGAAAGATGCTGGGTGGTATACTGTATCTGCAGTTAATGAAGCTGGGATCACCACATGCAACACAAGATTAGATGTTACAGGTATGTCCCACTATCAACCCACGTATTTTAAAGGATTTAACCAGGATTTAATAAAAAAAAAAAAGTAAATCCCAGCACAGTATAAAATCTGAGGGATTTCCTCTCATACATTATCAGTTTTCCTTTTATTTTCCTGTTTGATAATGAATACCTAGCATAGCCAATTCGTTTAGGTTTTCTGAATTAACTTTTATTTGTTCTATTTCAGCCCGTCCAAATCAAACTCTTCCAGCTCCTAAGCAGTTACGTGTTCGACCAACTTTCAGCAAATATTTAGCACTGAACGGGAGAGGCTTGGATGTGAAACAAGCTTTTAACCCAGAAGGAGAATTTCAGCGTCTGGCAGCTCAATCTGGACTCTATGAAAGTGAAGAACTTTAATAACTTAACACTGGAAAACACAATTACACTATTAGAATATATTCAGTTACATTTTTGAAATAAACCCATAGCTGTATTAACAGATTATGGCTTTAAGTAGATAATATAACTAATATACATTTCTAATATTTATCCTTTGACTCTTGCACATTCTACTTCTCTGATTTGTGAAGACTTCAGAAAATCTGGGCATATGGATTTGTAATTGTAGAAGACTATCTTAAAATGTGAGATCATAACATTTCAGTCGACACATTTAACAATTACAGGTTATAAATTAATATCAACTTTCTAAAAACATCAAATGCTTGAAACAAGGTTTACAGGTACTGCTTTCTACATATTCTTCCACCTGTTTTCTCTTGTAGGAATACTAACACAGTACACATTATCTGAGTGCTCCATAGTTTTATGTCAAAAGAATAAAATTCAAATATTTAAACAGACTGTCTTTTCTTCACAACAATCTACACTTTTAAAATTTCTGGGTTTTATATATTAAACAATACTCAGGAGAACCTATGAGTAACACGTTCCAAAAAAGACAATGATATTATATTCAACAGTGTGAAGCTCATTTACAACTCAATCAATTCCTCTTGAAACTGAGCTGAACTTTTCATGGTTTGCACTTGAAAAGCAACAACGGGAACTTAAGCCATGACTGAATGTCTCCTGAATTTGTAATTTTAACCAAATAGATTTCTAATTCTTCAGGATTTTTAGCCTGAAATTTAAAAAAAATGGCCTCTAGGGGCCATCCACTTTAATATTTAATGTAAATTTGAATGCCTTTATATAGCTGTCTTTCCTCCAACAATTTCAAATTCAGATAACCTATTACATGTGAAAGCATCATTTTATGAGCATCTTTAAGTCCAAGTTCAGAAAAGCACAAATCCTTTAAAAAAAAAAAAAAAAACTATCCCTAAGCTAGGACAGTAGCCCTTTCTTTCTCTCAGTCCGCAGGTCCACTGGCTGTTCCCCTTTCTCTAGGCCTCTCTGGTCCCTTTCATCAACAGTATTTTTTGATCCTTGCTACTGTGTGGCCTAGTTTTGCTTTTTATCAGTCCATAAAACAGCATTCATCAACAAATGTGGCTTCATCCTTACTTTCAAACATTTTAGATGTTTCCTTTTTTTGCTGGCTGCCATGGAACGCATTTGGACTGAATTCCTTTATATTTTCATTTTTTCCAACATGAGAATGCTCCTATCATGCGGCAGGCTTTTGGCTGCCTTAATTTATAGCCAAACTTGTTCAGCCTTTTTCAGAGTGATTTACAAACCACTTTCTCAACTTTGCGAAGCTTCTGGGCCAGACGTGGGTCTGGACTCCAGGGACCGCTGTTCTGGCCTAGCCTTTTTTACATTATCACTACCTCCTTTCTTTCTTCTCTTTCCTTTTTTTAAATAATTTGAGAGGCATAAAGACAAAGATCTTCTTCCTGCTGCTTGATTCCCCAAATGCCTAGAATGGGCAAGAGTAGACCAAGGCCAAAGCCAGGAACCAGAAACTCAATCCAGGTCTCCCACATGGGTGGCAGGAACCCAACTACTTGAGCCATCAACCGCTTCCTGCCAGGGTGCCAGGAACTGGGAGCTGGAATCAGGCGCCGGAGCCGAGTATCAAACCCAGGTAACTCGGATGTGGGTCACGGGCATCTTAACCCGTGTCTTAACCACTGGACGCAACACCCGCCCCACCACAGATCTTTTTTCTTTTTTTAAATCTATTTTCAAGCTGAGTGAAGAGTGGAAGCTATTTTTTAATCAACAGATCTCGGTTAAGAACTAGTTTCTTCAAGTAGCCACCATGGCAGTGGGGGTGGGGTGTGTGTGTCGTGATTAGTGATCAAGGCTCTGGCGTCCAGCGCACACGGCCTCAATTTTGTGTAAATTAGTTCATCTCTCAAGGGCTCGATTTCTGTAGGGCCTAAAAGGGCAACAATACCTACCTTTCAGGGAGGTGGATGTGGAGACTAAACAAGGCGATAAATGTTAAAGATATTCAAGAAACAGAAGCCAGTTACCATCAATTACTATGATTTTGAGGTCCAAAGGCAGGTTTGTCCCAGAAACTGGACTTCAGCAACAAACCACCACCACAAGCCCCAGCCCGCCTCAGGCGAAATGCGCCGAAGGCCCCTCAACGCGCAGGCGCACCTGCAGCCAGCCTGTCGAGTCGCCAGCGCCCCTGCAGGGGGTGGAGGGCTCGCGCAGGCGCATGAGAAGTTAGCAGCGCCGCGAGGCTACCACGCAGGCGCAGCAGGCCGAAGGGCAACGAACGGGCGGTCTAGTCCGGGTCAGCCATGGCGGAGGCGTCCAGATGGCAGCAACCCGGTGAGGAGGGGGTCTCCTAGTGAGTAAATAGGTTAGGGCTGGTCTGCCAACTCCAGATACCCTGGAAGGAACTCTGTAGCCCCAGGTCTATTTCTGTGAGAAATACGACCGTCAGACTTTTAGACCTCAAAGCCTCCTCTGGAAGAGCAAAAAGATACACCGTCCCTTGTCACAGAGAAAGCCGAAGCTCTGAGAAGACACTGCTAGCCAGTGTCGCTGGGGCTTTGATCTGAATCGTGTCGCGACGTAACGCAGCCTGAGCGCTATTCTCCGGCCTAGCAGAAGCAGCTGTCAGTCGACTGGTGGAGAGAGGACTGGGGCTTCGCTCTGCTCTGTGGATTGCGTTTTCATTCTAAGACGGGACTGTGAGGCAACATCCGTGTTGTAAGATTAGTGTAGACATCGAATGACTGCCCACATGCCCCGTGGGAAAATTTAGTGTCCTCCCAGCTTCCTAACAGGATTTAAAAAGAACCAGAAGCTGTTGGAGCTTTCTTTGGCGTCCAGCGCACACTGCGTCCATTTTGTGTAAATTATTTCATCTCTCGAGGGATTGTTTCTTCAGGGCCTAAAAGGGAAAAAATACCTACCTTTCATGGGACAACTAAAAATGGTGTGTTTTTACATGTTGTACTTAACATGCATTGTAAGTTACATATAAGGTAAAGAAATTTTTTGTTTTATATCTCACAGGGACTTCAAAACCTAAACTACATTACAGAAAGGATGTAGAAATTGGAACCACACTTCAGGAGCTGTTGCTTTACTTGATCTTTTTAATAAATCTATGTATATGTAAGTACATAAAGATAAAGATGACTAAGTTAAAATATGGAGATGAAAAATATATTTGAAAGCATAAAGACCTTATAAAAACATAGGTTATCATGGATCACATAAACAAGACCAGTGTCTGCTAATAATAACTGATAGAATTAAAAAGGAGAGAACCATTTAACATGGGGAGCGAGATACACAGCAGAGACTCATAGAATGGCAGATGCCCTAAACAGCACTCTGGCCTCAGAATCAGCCCTTAAGGCACTCGGATCCAGCTGAGAAGCCCATGAGAGTTTCTTAGGCATGGAAAGCCAAGACACTGTGGCAAAAAATGACCTAAATGAAAGATCTCTGTAAGATCCCAGCTGAAAGAATGGGCCATCAAAGAAGGAGATACCTTTCTCTGAAGGGAGGAGAGAACTTCCATTTTGATTATGGCCTTGTCTAAATAAGGTCGGAGTTTGTGAACTCAAGAGGCTTCCATAGCCTGGCAGCTCATGACAAGAGCCTCAGATGATCACTGACGTCATAAATAAGAGTGTCAGTTGTTAAATCAACAACTGGAGTCACTGTGCATTTACTCCCCATGTAGGATCTCTGTCCTTAATGTGTTGTACTATCAGAATTAATGGCAAAACTAGTCTTCAAACAGTACTTTATACTTTGTGTGTCTGTGTGGGTGCAAACTGTTGAGATCTTTACTTAGTATATACAAAGTTGATCTTCTGTATCTTAATGAAGAATGGGATGGGAGAGGGAGTAGGAGAGGGAATGGTTTACGGGTGGGAAGGAGGTTATGGGAGGGAAATCGCTATAATCCAAAAGTTGTACTTTCAAGATTTATATTTATTAAGTAAAAGTTTTAAAAAAAAGCATAAGTTATCAGACTACTAAAACTCAAAAGTTATGCATTTTAGACATTGTCTTAAGTTCATTTAGATTGACACTGTTTCCAGGGTTTTTAAATTTTTTATCGATCATTTTGTTTGAAAATCAGAGACAGAAAGCTCTTATTCACTGGTTTTCCCCAAATGCTCACAGCAGCTGCGGCTGAGGAGGTGGGGAGGGGCCTAAAGCTGTAGCTAGGAACTCAAACCAGGTCTCCCACGTGGATGGCAGGGACCCACCTACTGGAACCATCACCTGCTGCATCCCATGGTGCAGGGTGCATTATAGCAGAAAAACTGGAACTGTGAGCAGAGCTGAAACTTGAGCCCAGGCATTCCAGAATGGGATGAACCTTAATCACTATACCAAATACCTGTCCTTATTTCCAGTTTTTAGGTCACAGATGTAATGAAAAGTTCCCATAGTCAACACTGATTACAACTACTCCTTTAATTTGACAGATATCTCTTGCACATAATTCATCCCTTGTGTTGAAAATTGTAATGTAGTTTCTTTTAAAGCTATTTAAACATAGTAGTTTGGTTTCATAAATCAAAGTACAAATGAGGCCAAAGACATCTTGGCCAGCTTTTTCACTGATCTTTTGCACAGTTAGTAAAATATGCTTGTGCTGAGTCAAAGCAAATTTGAGGACTGGGGAAGTATCTCTTGTATCCTTCCTAGCTGTAGGTCATTAGCATTGACTTAATATGTGAAGGGCAATTTTAAAAAGCATTTTGGGGCCGGCGCCGCGGCTCACTAGGCTAATCCTCCACCTTGCAGCGCCGGCACACAGGGTTCTAGTCCCGGTCGGGGCGCCGGATTCTGTCCCGGTTGCCCCTCTTCCAGGCCAGCTCTCTGCTGTGGCCAGGGAGTGCAGTGGAGGATGGCCCAAGTGCTTGGGCCCTACACCCCATGGGAGACCAGAAGTACCTGGCTCCTGCCATCGGATCAGCGCGGTGCACCGGCCGCGGTGGCCATTGGAGGGTGAACCAACGGCAAAGGAAGACCTTTCTCTCTGTCTCTCTCTCTCACTGTCCACTCTGCCTGTCAAAAAAAAAAAAAAAAAAAGCATTTTGTATAATCTCATTCACAGGATTTATTTCATGTTGGTATGTGCTAGACACTAGCAATTATATATTTTAATGATGTATTAATTTATTTGAAAGAATCGTAGAGAAAGGGGGAGAAGGAGAGAGAAAGAGATCTTCCATCTGCTGGTTCACTCCCCAGATGGCTACAACAGCCAGGGCTGACCCCGGGTGAAGCCAGGAGCCAGGAGCTTCTTCTGGGTCTCCCACATCGGTGCAGGGGCCCCAAATAATTGGACTTCTCCCAGGCCATTAACTGGATCGAAAGTAGAGTAGCCTGGACACAAACCGGCACCCATGTGGGATACTGGCATAACAGGTGGCAGCTTTTACCCGCTACACCACAAAATTGCCCTGAACACTGCCAATTATATACAAATTAAGTAATTAATTGATGTAGGAGTGACTGAGTCAGATCTTTTTTTAAAGATATATTTATTTATTTCAAAGAGTTACAGAGAGAGAGGTAGAGACAGAAGGAGAAAGATACAGAAGGAGATTTTGCATCCACTGGTTCACTCCCCAAATGATTACAATGCCCAGGGCTGGGCCAGGCTGAAGCGGGGAGTCAAGAGCTTCATCCAGGTCTCCCAAGTAGGTGCAGGGGCCCAAGCACTTGAGCCATCCTCTGCTGCTTTCCCAAGCACATTAGATGAACAGGGAGCTGGATCAAAAGTGGAGCAGCTGAGACTTGAACCAGTGCCCATATGGGATGCCAGCACTGAAGACAGCGGATTAAACTGTGTGCCACAACACCGACCCCAAGTGAAATTTTAATTAAAGACAACAGTAGCAAGTGTTAAAATTATTACATGGTTTTATAAAAGCTTAGTAATGAAAATAATACATGCTCTTTACAGGATAACTGGAAAATAGAAAAATATGAGAGAGACAGAGAGATCTTCCATATCCTGGTTCACTTCCCAAATGGCCTCAATGGCTGAGGCTGGGCCAGGCCAAAGCCAGGAGACAGGAACTCAATTTAGGTCTCCCACGTGGGTGGTCTTCCCACCCAATACTTGAACAATCACCACTGCCTCCCAAGATGCACATTAGCAAAAAGCTGGAATTGGAACCAGAGCCAGGACTCAAACTCATGCATTCTGATACGAAATGCAGGCATCCCAAGTAGTGTCCTTTTTTTAAAAAAAGAAAGATTTGTGAATTTATTTGAAAGGCAGAGGAAGAGAGAGAGAGAGAGAGAGAGATCTTCCATCCACTGGTTCACTCCCCAGTTGGCTGCAATGGCTGGAGCTGCGCTGATCTGAAGCCAGGAGCCAGGAGCTTCTTTCAGGTCTCCCACACAGGTGCAGGGGCCCAAGGACTTGGGCCATCTGCTACTGCTTTCTCAGGCCAGAGCACAGAGCTAGATGGGAAGTGTAGCAGCTGGGACTCGAATCGGAGCCCGTATGGGATGCCAGCACTACAAGCAGTAGCTTTACCCACTGTGCCACAGCACAGGTCCCCTAGTAGTGTCTTAACCACTGTATCAAATGCCTCCCCTACAGATTCTTTCAACACCTTTTTTTTTTTAATAAGGAAGAAATGAAAAAATAATCTAAATCTCCATTCATAAAGGAATTTGTTTAACATTATGGCATATACAATGAAATAAATGCCACTATTAATGAATGACATAGACTCATGTGCCATGGAAGATACATGATTTTTAAAAATGAAGAGCTTCTGGAGCTGCTGCCTGCGGTGCCAGCATCCCATATTGGCACTGATTTGAGTCCTGGCTGCTCCGCTTCTGACCCAGCTCTCTACTATGCCCTGGGAAAGCAGTGGATGATGGCTCCAGTCCTTGGGGCCCTGCACCCACGTGAGAGACCCAGAAGAAGCTCCTGGCTCTTGGCTTTGGATTGGTGCAGCTCCGGCCGTCGCAGCCATTTGAGGAGTGAACCAGCAGATGGAAGATTCTCTCTCTCTCCCTCTCTCTCTCTCTTTCTCTCTCTGCCTTTCAAATAAATAAATAAATAAATCTTTAAAAAATGAAGAGCTTCTGGCAAAAAGAAAAACATATTTATGTTATGTAATTATACATAAATATATTTAATTTATACTCCTCTCTAAAACCCATGATCACAGGAAAGAGAATGAGAGAAAACTAATACTTTTAGGGGCCAGTGCTGTGGCGCAGTGGGTTAAAGCCTTGGCCTGAAGTGCTGGCATCCCATATGGGGTGCCAATTCTAGTCCTGGCTACTCCTCTTGTGATCCAGCTCTCTGCTATGGCCTGGGAAAGCAGTAGAAGATGGTCCAAGTCCTTGGGCCCCTGCACCCACGTGGGAGACCTGAAAGAAGCTCTTGGCTCCTGGCTTCAGATCAGTGCAGCTCCAGCCATTGCAGCCATCTGGGGAGTGAACTAGCGAATGGAAAACCTCTCTCTCTGTGTCTACCTCTCTCTGTAACCATGTCTTTCAAATAAATAAATCTTAAAAAAAAGAAAACTAATACTTTTTAATACTCCTACCAGATGGCAAAGTATGGTTTTAAATGCTCTGCATGCATCTTTTCACTTTTCACAACAAAATCAGGAGGTAGCAATTATTATTTCTATGATAGGACTCAAAAAGCCTTCTCTAATTTCAAAGTCTATAGCCATAACCACTTCCTACTATATTGCCTATTCTCAATGTAGATGAAAAACACAACTTGCTTATTAGTGGGTATAATGTGACCTCATTTTTGTAAAAATAGAATTTTCTTTATAAATGCAAATGCATAAAAACAGTCAATAATACATGTCAAACAGTTCTGGCAGTGAGACTACAAGAAACTTCCTCCTGCCTTCTATATTTCTATTTTACATTTTTTAAAGTTATTACTTTTATAATTAAACAAAACAATAAAGTTGAACTTTCAAAATAAAACTGGGAGCAAATTGTAGCAATATTTTTATTCCTGATAAACTGAGTTTTTGAACAAATTTTTAAACAAAAATTTTTCTCTTTAGTGACTTTTGGAATGGTAAACCCACACATGTATTACTTAAACAAAGTTATGTCATCTCTATTTTTGGACACTTCTGTGGCTGGTGATGAAAGAACCAACTTTAAGTCTATTCGCAGTATAACTGACTTTTGGAAGGTAAGGTATTGTATGCCTGTGGATGCAGTAGATTTAGGTATTCCATAAGCCCTTGATATACATAATAGGCACTCAATGAATATTTATTGAAAAAATGAGTAAAACTGGGTGTCATTTCTTTAAACAATTGGTATCAACCAATAAGTAAGTGTTTACTTTGAACCTATATTCTCAATGTGATGCTGTTCTGTTAACTTTTTAAAAATCAATATTTTTCAATATTATTTCATTTGGAAAATAAATTTCCTTCTTATGTGTGGGCTAGGATCCAAAAATCAGTCTATATTTGTGGATAATGAAAATTATCCTTAAAAATTCTATAATGGCCTAGAAAGTATAATTCTTTCAGCATTAGAATAGACTTGCTTTTTTACATTACACTTAATATAGCAAGATATTCATGTTATGAGGAAAGAACAATTAAGGGAATTCGCATTTCCAGGCACTCCATGTTATAAATATTGGGGCATATAAGGACAGGGCAGTTAGGGAAGGCTTTCCAGAAGTGGTGACAATTCAACTGAGTTTTAAAGGATGAATAGGAAGAGCATTCTATGAATAAAGAACAGTATTTTCTATACGGAATTCCACATGTGGGACTGTTTGGCAGTGTGGGAATATGAAAGATGAGGGGGGAAAGACCAAATTATGGACAGAGGTCACATGATGAATACCATGCTAAGAATTGAAAGCTTATCGGCCGGCGCCGCGGCCCAATAGGCTAATCCTCCGCCTGCGGCGACAGCACACTGGGTTCTAGTCCTGGTCGGGGCGCCGGATTCTGTCCCGGTTGCCCCTCTTCCAGGCCAGCTCTCTGCTGTGACTCGGGAGTGCAGTGGAGGATGGCCCAAGTGCTTGGGCCCTGCACCCCATGGGAGACCAGGAGAAGCACCTGGCTCCTGGCTTCAGATTGGCGCAGTGCGCCGGCCGCAGCAGCCATTGGAGGGTGAACCAACGGCAAAGGAAGACCTTTCTCTCTGTCTCTCTCTCTCACTGTCCACTCTGCCTGTCAAAAAAAAAAAAAAAAAAAAAAGAATACTTATCAAGGAGAGACAAGAACATTACCTGAGAGAGTATAGAGGGTAAGTGTAAAATGAAGATTAAATGATCATAGGTCAGTGCTTTAGGCCAGGTGAAACATGAAAGAATGATACAAGTGGAGCTCAACCTGCCTATTTTTTATTGTGCTATCTTGAGGCATATACATGGGCAGTGGAAAGAAGACAAAAGGAGGAAAGAAAAAAAAATGAACTCTGGGCTTAGGATCTCAGATTAAGAGGCAGAGCCATGAGTAACAGTCATCATAACCAGTGTTGGGAAGGGAGGTTAGAGGAGAGGCTCAGACAACCTTGCGGGAAAGTCTTAATATGTGGCCATTACCAGCTGATACTCACCTACTGGACTTTGAATTGCTATAGAAGAAGGAGAGATGAAGGTTATGTGATTAAAATATTAACTGAAGTATTAACTAAGTACTTGTCGTAGGACCTAGTACTTATTAAGTGCTCAGTCACTGTTAGTCAGCAGCAGTAGCCTTACCATTAATATTATAATGATTGCAATAATTTAATTTTCATACTCAAAATCTGATATGCATAATGTTATGAAGGAGGATTTTGATAACATAGAAAATAATTTTCCTATGACATTTATCTTTCTCTGTGAAGTTTATGGAAGGACCCCTTTTGGAAGGTTTGTACTGGGATTCGTGGTACAATAACCAGAACCTGTATAATTTACACAACAGTAGTCGTATCTACTATGAAAATATACTTCTAGGAGTCCCCAGAGTCCGTCAACTAAAAGTCCGCAACAACACTTGTAAGGTCTACTCATCCTTTCGGTCTCTGATGAGTGAATGTTATGACACATATACTTCTAAAAATGAAGATCTGTCTGAATTTGGCCTCAGCACTGATACTGAGTAAGTAACAAAGTCACACAGTAAATTTTTCTAGCAGGTTACCACTGTGTCTTCTAAAAACTGTAAAAATATGTTTACTTTCCAAGTAATACCACCTGGAGACTGCCAGGTAAGAAGACTATTTCAATAATATTATCGAAGTAAGACTGTGAGACAGTAATGTCTGGAAAAGTTACAGTGAACCTGTTTTTGTATTTACCTTAGAATGCAAAGTGATTTTTTTTCTGTTGATATATGAAATGTTTAGTCATAGTGGACATAAGGCAAAGCATCAATTTTTCTTTTACAACCATCAATTAACCAGCTTTTCTGGCTCTGACCAGACTCCCTCAAACTCATTCCCAAAACTTCTTGGAATCGTTAGAGAGTATCTTAGGTATGCTCTGCTACTTTCCTTTCTCACTCTGGTTTACTTCTGTGATATCTGCTTTTGCTGTGAACACTAAAGGGAAATTGCACTTCCAGGCACTGCAACTGATGATACCTGTCAAGGATACTATGGCTATTGTTCTGCAAAGGGACTGAGGCCAACTAATGCTGGTATTGACTCATGGCTATACTTTATATTGAAAACATGAAAGCCCAAAAATACTGGTACCACATCCCCTTCATACAGAGATTCCTAGTATCAGTCTTTTTGAAACATAGAGTCCTAGGCCGGCACCGCAGCTCACTTGGCTAATCCTCCACCTGCAGCACCGGCACCCCGGGTTCTAGTCCTGGTTGGGGCACCGGATTCTGTCCTGGTTGCTCTTCCAGTCCAGCTCTCTGCTGTGGCCTGGGAAGGCAGTGGAGGATAGGCCAAGTGCTTGGGCTCTGCACCCACATGGGAGACCAGGAGGAAGCACCTGGCTCCTGGCTTCGGATCAGCGCAGCCCGCTGGCGGCAGTGCACCGACCGTAGCAGCCATTTAGGGGGTGAACCAACGGAAAAGGAAGACCTTTCTCTGTGTGTGTGTCTCTCTCTAACTCTGCCTGTGGAAAGAGAAGAGATGAGATGAGACGAGACGAGACGAGACCTATGAAAATCATAAGAGGAAGAGAGGGGCTGGCACTGTGGCGTAGTGGGTAAAGCTGCCGCCTACAGTGCCGGCATTCCATATGGGTGCCGGTTCGAGTCCCAGCTGCTCTACTTCTGATCCAGCTCTCTACTATGGCCTGGGAAAGCAGCAGAAGATGGGCCCCTGCACCTGCATGGGAGACCCGGAGGAAGCTCCTGGCTCTTGGCTTCGGATCAGCACAGCTCCTGCTGCTGCAGCCAATTGAGGAGTGAACCAGCAGATGGAAGACCTTTCTCTCTCTCTCTCTCTCTCTCTCTCTGCCTCTCTGCCTCTCTGCCTCTCTTCCCTCTGTGTAACTCTGGTTTCAAATAAATAAATCGTTTTGAAATTTTATTTATTTATTTATTTATTGACAGGCAGAGTGGACAGTGAGAGAGAGAGAGAGAAAGAAAGGTCTTCCTGTACCGTTGGCTCACCCTCCAATGGCCGCTGGGCCGGCGCGCTGTGCTGATCCGAAGCCAGGAGCCAGGTGCTTCTCCTGGTCTCCTGGTCTCCTGGTCTCCCATGCGGCTGCAGGGCCCAAGCACTTGGGCCATCCTCCACTGCACTTCCGGGCCACAGCAGAGAGCTGGACTGGAAGAAGAGCAACCGGGACAGAATCCGTCGCACCAGGACTAGAACCCAGTGTGCCGGCGCCGCAGGTGGAGGATTAGCTTATTGAGCCGTGGCGCTGGCCTATAAATAAATCTTTTTAAAAAGTAAGAGGAAGAGAAAAAACATTTTCTGTAATTTAATATTCATGAAAAGGTTGCAAATATTTACAAAGGATTACTCCTTCTACTCATAGTTCCCAATGTCCGGAAGGGCTACCTTTTAGCTCTTTTAGTTGTCTCTTCCAGTACAGACTCACTTATTTCTAAATGACATCCTCATACAGCTATTACTTGATTTGACAGTTTCACATATTGGTTTTCTATCATGGAAGTGATCTGTCAGTTAGCTCTCTTATGCCAACCTGTCTACACCTATTCATCCTGTTCCTTTTGGCCTATCAGTGTATACCATAATTATTGTTCATCATTAGTCATGAACCACAATTATATTTCCTTTCTTGAACAACCTTTCCTGGCTTACTAATTGCTTTGTTTTTATTGACATTTCTTCTTTGTATAAAGTCTGAGTATCTTGTGGGCTTATACTCTTATAAATCTAGTAAGTTCCTAAGAATGATGACATCTTAAATAATACAGTGGTATTCACTTGGCTGGCACCACAGCTCACTAGGCTAAATCTCTGCCTGCGGCGCCAGCACTCCGAGTTTTAGTCCCGGTCAGGGCGCCGGATTCTGTCCCGGTTGCTCCTCTTCCAGTCCAGCTCTCTGTTGTGACCCGGGAGGGCAGTGGAGGATGGCCCAAGTGCTTGGGCCCTGCACCCATATGGGGGACCAGGAGAAAGCACCTGGCTCCTGGCTTCGGATCGGCGCAGCGCGCCGGCCATAGCAGCCACTGGGGGGTGAACCAACGGAAAAAGGAAGACCTTTCTCTCTCTCTCTCTCACTGTCCACTATGCCTGTCAAAAAACAAACAAACAAACAAACAAAAAAATGGTATTCACTCGTTTTCAACCCTAAATTAAAAAATAAATCGGTTGGCGCTGTGGCTCACTAGGCTAATCCTCCGCTTTGGGGCGCCGGCACACCGGGTTCTAGTCCCGGTCGGGGTGCCGGATTCTGTCCCGGTTGCCCCTCTTCCAGGCCAGCTCTGCTGTGGCCAGGGAGTGCAGTGGAGGATGGCCCAAGTACTTGGGCCCTGCACCCCATGGGAGACCAGGAGAAGCACCTGGCTCCTGCCATCGGATCAGCGCGGTGCGCCAGCCGCAGCGCGCCGGCCATTGGAGAGTGAACCAACGGCAAAGGAAGACCTTTCTCTCTGTCTCTCTCTCACTGTCTACTCTGCCTGTCAAAAATAAAAAAATAAAAAATAAAATAAATTTAAAAATAAATCAGTTATTTAATTATGCATTTTAAATTGGAATCTCAAGACTAATGCTTAAGTAGTCTAATATTCCAGATTATTATAACAACTACAAATACTTTAAATGCCAAAATTAACAATATGGATTGAGTTTGTTTTACTATTTCTATGTGATTGCAACTGTTAATTAATACTCGTCATTCTGGAGCAGGCATTTAGACTAGAAATTTAGACACCCAGTTCCGTGTCAGAATGCCTTGGTCTGATTACTGCCTCCAGCTTCTGAATCCAGCTTCTGACCAGTGGAAACCCAGGGATACAGCAATGATGGCTGAATAATTAGATTCCTGCCACCTATATATCTGGTTGTGTTCCCAGCTCCTGGTTTCAGCCTTGGCCCACCTCTAACCATTGTGTGCATTTGAGGAGTGAACCAGCCAATAGGCACTCTCTCTCTCATTTCCATTATTCCTCTTTCTCTGCCTCTGTCTCTCAAATACATTTAAAATAAAAGTTTTTAAAGATATATTTATTTGAAAGGCAGAGTTACAGAGAAGCAGAGAGATCTTCCATCCTCTGGTTCACTCCCCTAATGGCCGCAACAGCTGGAACTGGGCTGATCCACAGACAGAAGCCAAGAGCTTCTTCTGGGTCTCCCATGCATGTGCAGGGGCCCAAGCAGTTGGGCCATCTTCTGTTGTTTTCCCAGGCCATAGCAGAGAGCTGGATGAGAAGTGGAGCAACCGGGACTTGAACCGGCGCCCATATGAGATGTTGGCACTGCAGGCGGTAGTGTTACCCACTACACCACAATGCCAGCCCCAAAAAGAAAATTTTTTAAGACTTAATTATTTGTTTTAAATGCAGAGTTACAGAGAGGCAAAGGGGGTGGGGGGAGGGAGAGAGAGGGAGAAAGTCTTTCATCTGCTAATTTACTCCCCAGATGACTGCAATGGTCAGAGCTGTGCCGATTTGAAGCCAGGAACTTCTTTCAGGTCTCCCACCGAGTGCAGGGGCCCAAGGACTTGGGCCATCTTCTACTGCTTTCCCAGACCATAGCACAGAACCAGATAGGAAGTGAAGCACCTAGGACTTCAACTGGCACCCATATGGATGCCAGCACTGCAGGCGATGGCTTTACCCACTAGACCACAGTGCCAGCCCCCTAAAAGAAATTTTTTAAGATCCATAATTCCTCAACAACCAAAATAAGAATCAACCTGTACACGTTTGTCTAGCTAAAATGTTAAAATTCACTAATTAAAAACATTATCTAAAAGACTGGAAGCTAGGAGAGAATTGGTGTAACAAATTCTTCTGTTACACTTTAATAGTCATGTGTAAAAACACTCAAAATTTACAATTATGCAACTTTTATTAAAGTATTTTCCCTGGGGCCAGTGCTGTGGCCTAGCAGGTAAAGCTGCCACCTGCAGTGCCAGTATCCCATATGGACGCCAGTTTGAGTCCCAGCTGCTCCACTTCCGACCCAGTTCTCTGCTGTGGCCTGGGAAAACAGTGAAAGATGGCCCAAGTCCTTGGGCCCCTGCACCCTCATGGGAGACCTGGAAGAAGCTCCTGGCTCCAGGCTTTGGATTGGCACAGATCCTGCCATTGAGGCCAACTGGGGAGTGAACCAGCAGATGGAGGACCTCTCTCTCTCTCTGCCTCTCCTTCTCTCTGTAACTCTGACTTTCAAATAAATAAATATTTTTTTTATTTTTATTTTATTTTTTTTTTTTTGGACAGGCAGAGTGGACAGTGAGAGAGAGAGACAGAGAGAAAGGTCTTCCTTTGCCGTTGGTTCACCCTCCAATGGCTGCCGCGGCCAGCGCGCTGCGGCCGGCGCACCGCGCTGATCCGGTGGCAGGAGCCAGGAGCCAGGTGCTTTTCCTGGTCTCCCATGGGGTGCAGGGCCCAAGCACCTGGGCCATCCTCCACTGCACTCCCTGGCCACAGCAGAGGGCTGGCCTGGAAGAGGGGCAACCGGGACAGAATCCGGCGCCCCGACCGGGACTAGAACCCGGTGTGCCGGCGCCACTAGGCGGAGGATTAGCCTAGTGAGCCGCAGCGCCGGCCTAAATAAATAAATCTTAAAAAATTTTCCCTGATGATGTCACTTTTTACCTCCACTAAAAAATATTTATTCATAGAAATATAACCTTAGGGACCAGGATTGCAGTGCAGTAGGTTAAGTCACCTCCTACAATGCTGGCATCCTATGTGAGTGCAGGTTTGAGTCCCTGCTGCTCCACTTCTGGCCCAGCTCCCTAGTAATATTACAGGAAAGGCAGTAGAAGATGACCCAAGGATGGAGTTCCAGGTTCTGGGGCCATTGTTTCCATTTGGGAAGTGAATCAGCAGATGAGATCGATCTCTCTCTCTCTCTCTCTCTCTCTCTCTCTAACTCTGCCTTCCAAATAAAAGAAAAATAAGTTTAAGCCATGATCTTTGGATGACCCTTCTGTTTTAGAGAAACTGAAAGACTGAAATGAACAATCTAGGCTTTCTTTTGTTGATATGTGAAGTCAAAAGTCAAAAGGATGGAGACGGCTGGCGCCGCGGCTCACTAGGCTAATCCTCCGCCTTGCGGCGCCGGCACACCGGGTTCTAGTCCCGGTCGGGGCGCCGGATTCTGTCCCGGTTGCCCCTCTTCCAGGCCAGCTCTCTGCTGTGGCCAGGGAGTGCAGTGGAGGATGGCCCAAGTGCTTGGGCCCTGCACCCCATGGGAGACCAGGAGAAGCACCTGGCTCCTGCCATTGGATCAGCGATGCGCCGGCCGCAGCATGCCAGCCACGCCGGCCATTGGAGGGTGAACCAACGGCAAAGGAAGACCTTTCTCTCTGTCTCTCTCACTGTCCACTCTGCCTGTCAAAAAAAAAAAAAAAAAAAAAAAAAAAGGATGGAGACAAACTTTAACACATTTTACTTTGAATTATGTATTTTCAGTAAAATAAAAATTAGAAGTGGGCATTTGGTCTAGCAGTTAAGAGACTGGTTAAGATGCCCACATCTCACATCAGAATGCCAGGGCTGACTCCAGCTTCTTGCTAATGCAGACCCTGGAAGGCAGTAGTAATTGCTCAAGTAATTGAGCTTCCACCACCCATGCGGGAGACCTGGTTTGAGTTCCTGGCTCCGGGCTTTCTCCCTGGCGCTGTTGGAGGCACCTGGGGAATAACCCAGCAAATGAGAGCTCTTTCTGACTCTCTCTCATGTGCGCTCTCATTCTTTCTTACTTTGCCTCTTAAATAAATAAAATAGTTTAAGTGGTACTTTAAAGAATAAGATCAGGGGGCTTGCACTATGGTGTAAGAGGTTAAGCCACCTGCAATGTCAGTATCCCGTATAGCACAAGTTCATGTCCTAGCTGCTCCACTTCCTATCCAGCTCCCTGCTAATGGCATGGGAAAAATAGCAGAAGCTGGTCCAGGTGTTTAGGTCCCTGTCACTCAAGTGGGAGACACAGATGAAGTTCCTGGCTCCTGCAGTCAGCCTGGCCCAGCCCAGGCTGTTGTGGCTATCTGGGGAATGAAGCACTGAATGGAAAATCTGTCTCTCCTTCTCCCTCTCTCTCTCCCTGTCTCTCTGTAACTCTGACTTTCAAATAAATCTTTTAAAAAATAAAAGGTTGTATAACTATAAATATCACAAAGTTATTTGACATTTATAAACAGTATTGGACCTTAACACTAAGACAGCCTATGAAGCACTTCCTCCCATAATGTGCTAGATATTTCTGAATCAAAACCTTGAAATTCTTGTTCCACTGAAGGACTAAATACTTCATAATACAGAGACAACAAATTAAAAGGAAGAAAAAACTCATATCTAGACTCTTAGATTCCTTGAGGCAACAGATGGGTTTCTGAAAAATTTTCTCATAGCGGTCTAGTGTGTTGCCCACAACATACACTAAAAAAATAAAACTTGTGGGGCCAGCACTGTGGCATAGTGGGTTAAAGCCCTGGCCTGCTCTTCCGGCATCCCATATGGGCACCAGTTCCAGTCCTGGCTGCTCCTCTTCTGATTCAGCTCTCTGCTATAGCCTGGGAAAGCAGTAGAAGCTGGCCCAAGTCATTGGGCCCCTTCACCCACATGGGAGACCAGGAAGAAGCTCCTGGCTTTAGATTGGCGCCGCTCCGGCTGTTGCAGCCATCTGGGAAGTAAAACAGTGGATGGAAGACCTCTTTCTTTGTCTCTACCTCTCTAACTCTGTCTTTCAAATAAATCTTTTTAAAAAACAAACAAAAACTTGTTAAATATTCTTTAAGTTTAATCCTTAATGCATTGTCTTCGTCCAAATTACTGTAATAACTATGAACTTAATACGATTACATTTTTTAACTGCTACTTTTGAACTAAAGGTTAGTTTAGGCCAGCACCGCAGCTCACTAGGCTAATTCTCCGCCTGCAGTGCCAGAACCCCAGGTTCTAGTCCCGGTCGGGGTGCCAGATTCTGTCCTGGTTGCTCCTCTTCCAGTCCAGCTCTCTGCTGTGGCCCGGGAAGGCAGTGGAGGATGGCCCAAGTGCTTGGGCCCTGCAGCCGCATGGGAGACCAGGAGAAGCACCTGGCTCCTGCCTTCAGAATGGCGCAGTGCTGGCCATAGCAGCCATTGGGGGGTGAACCAACGGAAAAGGAATAATGTCTCTCTCACTGTCCACTCTGCTTGTCAAAAAAAAAAAAAGTTAGTTTAAATTCTTAGGATACTTATCAGTTGGGCTTTCTCTTCTTTCAGTTATTCTTCTTATGTCTACAGATGGAAATACTCTTCTTCTAAAACCAATTCCCCTTTGTACTGGGGATATGTTGGTGTTTACCAAGATGGAGGATATATTTTCACTTTGTCAAAATCAAAATCTGAAACTAAAACCAAGTTCGTTGACCTTCGACTGAACAGCTGGATCACAAGAGGGACGAGGGTCATTTTTATTGATTTTTCACTATACAATGCCAATGTAAATCTGTTTTGCATCATCAGGTGAGTGATTCAAAACTTGTTGGTATATTGTACTTAAAAAGCATCTGGAGTTCTTATTAGGATTTCCAGTTTGTACATGTTTATGCTGAAATTAAAGTGTTAAAATAAATACAGTTGCACTGCCAATAATGAAGAAAGTAAAGCAATATCATAATCATTGTTTCATTATTCCAGAATATATTCAGAAGCATGGAGAATTATATAATATAGGATAATTTTATATTGCCTGAAAATATACAGTCTTATTTCTTGTCATTCTGCAGGTGCATGGATCTACCATTTATTCTTGATGATTTCTTCCTCTAATCAGATCATTAAAATCTTTGGTTTCCTTTCAGAGCTTCTTTATTAAGTCATTCATTTTTATCTTAAGAATGAACAATTTAAATTTCAAACAATATGTGATAGTACCCAGCATTCCAAAAATGGTGAGAGTCCATGGTATACTGCAAATGGTCCCAATGCTTCACTCTTTGCCATTAAACCTTGCAGTGTCCTGCCACCAGCCCTAGTCCTTAACGCTAGGCTCAACCATATAACTTGCTTTGGACATGGGATGATAGTTTGAAATAAGTTTGTACATTAGAACTTGCTCTCTTGCAATTTCTGTGAGTAGGACATACCTGGGATAACTTGTTGGATTTCAGAGGAGGAAGAGTGATAATGCAGATCAGAGCTAAGTCCAAAACACTTTGGTGGGTCTAGCCAAATGGCAAATATTTCATCAGCAGTGCTAGCTGAGGTCAGTGAAGCCCAGCTGGATCAACTGAACTCTGTAAACACATAAGAAATATTTACTGTAAATGACTGCATTTGGAGATGTAGGATTGTTATCTAGTAAAAGCTAACTGATTCAAGGCCTAACTTGGGTCTTAGCTCATCACCTCTGAATTAGTTAGGAAGCTTTTGGTTGTAAGAGAAAACTCAAATTACCTTAAAAAATAATTAAATTTGTCCCATAACAGCAATTCCAGAGACACGACAAATACCTTTTGTAGTCAGTTCAAGAGTCTAGCTCCATTTCTTTAAGGTGGCTCATTTTTGCCCTCCTTTGTGTTAACCTTATCTTAAGCTTCCCCAAGACAGTGCGTTTAAGCAGCAGCTGTGGTTATGTCACTGATACTCATAAAAGAGGGAGTACCAACCAAAGATAACAAGCTCTTTCCACTAGTCTGGATTGCCTTAGGTCACATGTCTAACTTGGACTATGCTAACTGATTTAGGACAGGCTTCTACAGTCAAACACTGACCAAAGAAAAGGCAATACCATTGACTGGACCTGGAAATGTAAACAGCTTTCCCTAAGTGATCTGGGAATGGATTATTGATTAAATACAATTAGGGTTCAGTTGAAAGGAGGAATGGGATACTAACTACTAGAAAGGCAAGTATGTCTATTAAAATCTCAGTGAGGCATTCTTCTCTCAGAAGGCTCACATTTTTTCTCTGAATGAAATATGAAATTGGATTTTAAAGAATTTTGCCCTTGTACAACAATGACAATGAAACTCATCATGGCCTTTAAAATTTGTGAAAAGAAATAAAAACACATGAACTACCTTGAGCAACCAGTGCACATTGCAGGTTTTATTTTATAGTTGTTACTTTTTTCAGGGAATCAGCTTTTTACCAACATCATTCACCTTTCCCAGTAGTTCAAATGAGGTTAACATGATGAATACAAATCATTTCTATGTCCTAAATAAAAGTGGAAGCCTGGATGTAATGGGCTTAAGGTCATAGGAAAAACTTTTAATATCAGATTAAGTACAAACTTCCTGTCTCTAGGTTTTCTGCTTACTATATATCACTTTTTAAAATGTAATTTTTTATAAATTTAAGCAAATTTTGAAACTCTTAACTAATCAGCAGTTGCACAGAAACATATTGCTTATGCTAACCCTTTACCCACTTATTTTTCCTTTTACACATGCATTAAATAAACTAAACAGAAATCTAGGAGTTTTTTTTTTTCCCTCCTTTTGTTTATTGGTCTACCCTTGGGTTCATATTTTCTCTCATTTCACTCACTAATCTAACACAGAGTATTATCTGAAAGATGTTAGTTTTGGCATCACCTTATTCCTGTACCAATGAAATTTGCTAACATCTTTAGGAATAATTGCAATGTGAAATTGTGATGCAAATGTTGATTCCTTGAATTACTGCCAGTTATTAATTATTTGAGCTTGTGGAGAATACCAGAAATACAGTGAATGATCTCAAAATCTTTTTATATTTGATGATGGAGTTCATTTTCTTATTTTGATTTACAAGTAGATCCCAGTATCCAACATCCAATGCCTCAAATATTTACTCTAGTAGAATATGTGATTTTGACATTTAGAAGCCAGAGTATCTCTGGTATCCTAAAAGGGGAATTATATATTTGGAGGAAGGTTCTAAAACTAACCAATGGGCCAGTGCCACAGCTCACTAGGCTAATCCTCTGCCTGCAGCGCCAGCACCCCAGGTTCTAGTCCCTGTCGGGGTGCTGTTTCTGTCCCGGTTGCTCCTCTTCCAGTCCAGCTCTCTGCTATGGCCCGGGAGTGCAGTGGAGGATGGCCCAGGTCCTTGGACCCTGCACCCATATGGGAGACCAGGAGGAAGCACCTGGCTCCTGGCTTCGGATCGGCACAGCGCGCCAGCCATAGCGGCCATTTGGGGGACTGAACCAATGTAAAAAGGAAGACCTTTCTCTTTGTCTCTCTCACTGTCTAACTCTACCTGTAAAAAAAAAAAATAAATAAAAAAAAAAAAAAACTAACCAATGGTATAGTATTTTCTTAAATATCTCATTCTCCTATGGAGATATGTTAGTACTATCCTAGTTAGAAATGAGCAATCTGAACACAAAGTTGCATGAATCTCTGGATAAAATCACATTTTTACAATCACAAAGTAGGGGCTGGCACTGTGACACAGTGGGTTAAGCTGCTGTCCGCAGTGCTGGCATCCCACATGTGCGCCAGTTCGTGTCCTGGCTGTTCCACTTCTGATTCAGCTCCCTGGTAACGTGCCTGAAAAAGCAGTGGAAGATGGCCCAAATCCTTGGGCCCCTGAACTCACGTGGGAGACCTGGAAGAAGATCCTGGCTCCTGGTCTCCACCTGGCATAGCCCTGGCAATTGTGGCCATCTGGGGAGTGAACCAGTAAATGGAAGCTTGCACACATGCTCTCTCTCTCTCTCTCCCCTTCTCTCTCCTCTCTGTAACCCTTTCAAATAAATAAATCTTTTTTAAAAATCACAAAGTAAAAGTGAATTTCTCATTTACATTCATCTTTGATATTAATATTCAGGAAATAGAAAAGTAGAGCTGTTGGCTGGCGCTGCAGCTCACTTGGCTAATCCTCTGCCTGTGGTGCCGGCACACTGGGTTCTAGTCCTGGTTGGGGCGCCAGATTCTGTCCCCGTTGCTCCTCTTCCAGTCCAGCTCTCCGCTGTGGTCTGGGAAGGCAGTGGAGGATGGCCCAAGTGCTTGGGCCCTGCACCCGCATGGGAGACCAGGAGGAAGCACCTGGCTCCTGGCTTCAGATCAGCGCAGTACACCGGCCACAGCAGCCATTTGGTGGGTGAACCAACAGAAGGAAGACCTTTCTCTATCTCTCTCTCTCTCTCACTAACTCTGCCTGTCAGAAAAAAAAAAAAAAAAGCTATTAATAAGTAAGAAAATTCACCAAAAAATTAAAAAACTAAACCCATGACCCCAAAGAAACTTATTTTATACAAAACAACTGATTATCATTGAAGTGTGTACCATCATTGATTAGACATTCCCCATTGAGTTAAGTACTGAATGCAGTTACTTTCACAAACTTCATTTTACAGGTTGGTGGCAGAATTCCCTGCAACTGGAGGAATACTTACTTCATGGCAGTTTTACTCTGTGAAGCTCCTTCGATATGTCAGCTACTATGATTATTTTATTGCTTCCTGTGAAATCATCTTTTGTATTTTTCTTATTGTCTTCACAATACAAGAAGCCATAAAAATAAAGGAATATAAGTTTGCCTATTTCAAAAGTATTTGGAACTGGCTAGAATTACTGCTTTTGCTGGTGAGTATATTAATCCATGTGGTTGAAGGGTATCACATATGAATCCATCCGTAAGGGAGGTGTAAAATAAAACAGAATTATCTGCTCATCCAGGACTTATTTTGAAAGCTACAAGCATCAAACATGAAACAAACTGTCATAACACGTACAATGGTGTGCCTCGAAAAGGGAGAAATCAGTTTTTTTCTGATTTGGTCTTAGGATGGATCAAGAATAGGCGATCCCATAAATACTATGATTTAAAGGCACTGTATGGGCCGGCGCCGCGGCTCACTAGGCTAATCCTCCGCCTAGCGGCGCCGGCACACCGGGTTCTAGTCCCGGTCGGGGCTCCGGATTCTGTCCCGGTTGCCCCTCTTCCAGGCCAGCCCTCTGCTGTGGCCAGGGAGTGCAGTGGAGGATGGCCCAGGTGCTTGGGCCCTGCACCCCATGGGAGACCAGGAAAAAGCACCTGGCTCCTGGCTCCTGCCATCGGATCAGCGCGGTGCGCTGGCCGCAGCGCGCTGGCCGCGGCGGCCATTGGAGGGTGAACCAACGGCAAAAGGAAGACCTTTCTCTCTGTCTCTCTCTCTCTCACTGTCCACTCTGCCTGTCAAAAAAAAAAAAAAAAAAAAAAAGTTTCCCAAAAAGTGTGTCATCTCTTGTACCCCTAGCAGTATCTGACAAAGGGCACAGCACTCAACAACTGTCTGTGTATTTCAGGCAAGAAAAGACAAAGGGAAAATTTCATAATGGTTATAAAGCTCTGATACCTAACATAACCTGCTTTTGAAATTCTTTTTTTTTTCTCCCTCCAGGAATGTTTCATTTAAGGAATACAAACTTATTGCATGAAATCCTCTTTTAAAAGGATTGCTAAGGGGTTCTCAAAGGTTTTTTAGTAATTGTAAATTATTTTTCTTATAGAATTATATGGTAGAAAAAATTCAACTTTTAGGTATCATGTGGAGCAGAAATTCTTAACAGCTTAGAGCTACATAAGCATGCTACACATTTGTTTCATGACTCAGAAACAGATTAGGATAGCCAGGCAGTCAGTGTTTCTACCTTTATGATAATTATACTACCTTAAACTTCTGTAAGTTAAGGTTTACCTCGATTTATGTAAAAGCAGGGATTGGCGCATGACCCAGAGGTTACAATGCCAGCTAAGATATCCATGTCTGTATCTGAGTGCCTGAATTCCATACCTGGCTCTGGGTCTGGCTCCTGACTCCAGATTCCTGCTGATGCAGACTCTGTGAGGCAGCAATGATAGCTCAAGTGACCGGGCTCCTCCACCCATGAGAGAGACCCAGATTGAGTTCCTGGCTCCTGGCTTCAACCTGGTCAAGCTCCAGCCTTTGCTGACATTTAGGGAGTAAACCGTATGCAGGTGGGAGCTTTATCTGTCTTTCATTTGGTTTCTCTCTCAAATAAATAATAAACTCTTTGTCCTATCTTTCCCTCCCTTTTTGTTAAACTCTAATGAAAATTTTGATATGTTTTTTTCTTAGGTTGCAAGAGATTTAGAGGGAGAAATAGTCTCTAATCTCACCCTTCTTATTTTTCCCATTTAGTTGTGTTTTTTATCTATTTCCTTCTACGCACACTGTAATATACAAACTTTTCTTTTACTTGGAAAGTTGTTGCAAAATACTGAAAAATATTCAGACTTCTATTTTCTTGCATACTGGCACATTTATTACAACAATATGATTGCTATTACTATCTTCTTTGCATGGATAAAGGTATTTATATTTTATTATATTTCTTAATACACAGTGTAACAGTATAATAGGAATTTAAATTATCAAGTTGTAGAAAAAAAGTTATTTATTGAGTAAAAAAAAAGGTACTTATTAACTGTAAAAGTCATTTGAGGGTCCACTGTGTAGCCTATTGATGAAGACACTGATTAGGATGTCTGTGTCCCATATTGGGAGTACCTGGGTTCAATAGCTGGCTCTGGCCCCAGACTCTAGTTTCCCACCAATGCAGACCCTGGGAGACAGTGGTGATGGCTCAAGTAATTAGGCCCCTGCTACCAATGTGGGAGGCCTGGACTGAGTTCCCAGTTCCTGGCTCCAGCCTGGCCCAGCCTGGCCTGTTGCAGACATTTGGGAGTTAACCAGTGGATAGGATTTTCTCTTTCTCTCTCTCTATCTCCCCCACCCCCACCGCCACTTCTCAAGTGAATATATATATATGTGTGTTTTTTTTTTATTTGACAGGCAGAGTTAGAGAGAGAGACAGAAAGAAAGATCTTCCTTTTTCCATTGGTTCACCCCCCACAATGGCTGCCACGGCCAGCACTGCACCCATCCAAAGCCAGGTGCTTCCTCCTGGTCTCCCATGCAGGTGCAGGGCCCAAGCACTTGGGCCATCCTCCACTGCACTCCCAGGCCACAGCAGAGAGCTGGACTGGAAGAGGAGCAACCGGGACAGAATCCGTAGTGCCAGCGCCGCAGGCACAGGCCTAGCCAAGTGAGCCATGGCGCCGGCCTCAAGTGAATATAAACAAAGGTTTTTAAAAAGTCATTTGGGGTTGGGCATTGTGGTGCAGTGGGTTAAGCCACTGCTTGAGAGATCCAGATCCCATACTGGAATGCCTGAGATGGAATCCCACCTTCCCCACTGCTTCTGATGCAGCTTGCTGCTGATGCACCTGGGAGGCAGCATATGATGGCTCAAGTACTGAGTCCCTGCCACTCACCTGGGAAACCTGGATGGAATTCCTGGTTCCTGGTTGGCCTGGCCAAGCCCTGGTTGTTAGGACCATTCAGGGAGTAAACAAACAAATGGAAGGTTCTATGTGTTTGTGTGTATGTTTCTGTTTGTGTCTCCCTCTCTGTCACTTTGCCTTACAAATAAATAAAAATGAATAACATTTAAAATAAATAAAGTAATTTGGCCTTATGATTGTTGGCAAATCCTCAAACATTCATGATTATCATTAAGTACCTCCTTTATTCTGAAGTCTTTTAAAATTAATTTAAGTAATTATAATCTTTAGTATTTATTTCAATTAAATTTGTTCTTTTTCAGATATTCAAATTCATAAGCTTTAATAAGACAATGTCTCAGCTGTCATCAACCTTGTCCCGCTGTATCAAAGACATAGTAGGATTTGCCATCATGTTTTTTATAATATTCTTTGCTTACGCCCAGTTAGGATTTCTTGTTTTTGGATCACAGGTTGACGACTTTTCCACTTTTCAAAATTCCATGTAAGCCCTTAGTATAAGTGTAGTTGTATTTCCTATACTTTCTAATAAAATATCATGGAGAGGCCTATGATAAGTAGTAATATAAACCTTAATACATTTAAGCTTGGTTTGATATTCTCATGGATGGCCAAATATCTGTCACCCTCAAAGTAGGGTTTGACACTGAAGGATCCAAAGGGATATGGTTACCATTTTTTAAGTGTTACTAGTTCAAGTTAGAAAAAATAATTTTTTATTTTAAATTTTAAGTGAGAATTTTACCTAAGGTAATAGAAATTGGTTTCCATGTCCCTGTAGTATTATTCTCTGTGAAATCTCAAATATTTTATTTAAAGAACTCTATCTTAAGGAGCTTTTTTATTGATATTGACCTGGTTGTCCTTTCCTGATCTGCCAAAGATATGTTTTAAAAAAAGTTTTAAGCCGGCGCCGTGGCTCAATAGGCTAATCCTCCACCTTGCGGCGCCGGCACACCGGGTTCGAGTCCCGGTTGGGGCGCCGGATTCTGTCCCGGTTGCCCCTCTTCCAGGCCAGCTCTCTGCTATGGCCAGGGAGTGCAGTGGAGGATGGCCCAGGTGCTTGGGCCCTGCACCCCATGGGAGACCAGGAAAAGCACCTGGCTCCTGGCTCCTGCCAGGATCAGCGCGGTGCGCCGGCTGCAGCGGCGGCCATTGGAGGGTGAACCAACGGCAAAAAGGAAGACCTTTCTCTCTCTGTCTCTCTCTCTCACTGTCCACTCTGCCTGTCAAAAAAAAAAAAAAAAAAAAAAAAAAAAAGTTTTATAGGCATAAAGCAATCAGTAACTGACAACAAACTTAGAAAAGCAGGTAGAATTCCTACAAAAGTATTCAGGCTCTTCTTTAAAAGCCGTATGTTACCATAAAATTATTGTTTTTGGGTAGGTAAAGAAACTTTCATCTGTATGAGAGAAGCACGAGAGTCTAAAATGTCAATTCTCAAAATGTTTTGTGGAATTCTAAACCAAGACTGCATAGGGGAATTGGTTTTTTATTTAAGTAAGTTTGGGAAATTTTGGAAATTTGGAAATTTACAATAGATATTAATATGTAGCTCTGAAAACTCCTGTAGTAACTTCACTTTTGTTAAGCGTTCCACAAACTTATTTATTCATGCCTGTTTCACTAGTTTTTTGGGAAACTTAAAGAAATATCTTAAGTTGCCTCTTTTTTTAACCATATGTAAACAACTGAAGTACAAATGTATGAAATTTCAGAACACTTTCCTGAAATAAGCCTTTATTAAATCAGCAGTGCAAAGAAAGTGGACTAGGACTTTTCTAGACCTTAGTTTCCTTATCTGCAAAATAAAAGGGCTTGAGTAAACCCCATGATGCCCTCAAGTTTCACCCATGTGGTAGTATATGTCTGAATCTCCTTCCTCCTAAAGGCTCGATAATACTTTATTGAATGTACATATTGCATTTGCTTATCTATTCATCCCGTAATGAATACTTGGATTGTTTCCTATTTTAGGCATTGTGAATAATACTGCTGTGAACATGAGCATGCAAACATCTCAAGACCCTGCTTTCAGTTCTTGAGAGTATATCCTGAGAACTGGAATCACTGGATCTTAGGATCTATTTTTCCCAGCTTAACTGCAGTATAAATGACCAAAAATGCATATATTTATAGTATACATTTTGATATGGGTATACACTGTAAAACTATTAAATCAAGATAATTTAACGTATCTATCACCTATTTATATTTTTGCCTTTTGTGATAAGAACATTCCAGATCTACTCTCCTGGCTGCTCTCAAGTGTACATTATTATTTAAATTCTGTCACCATGCTACCAACAGATTGCCTAAATTTACCCTGTCTAGGTAAAATTATGTACCCTTGACTAATATCTCTTAATCCCCCCTTTACCATCTCTACCCTAGTCTTCGAAGATCATCACTCGCTTCATAGAACTCATACAAGAGTTCAACCTGTTTAGGTGTGAAATACAAGTGAATCAAGCAGTATTTGTCTTTCTGTGACTGGCTTATTTCATTTACAATAATGTCCTCTAGGTTCATCCTTGCTGCAAATGACAAGATTTCCTTTTTAATAACTGAATATATTCCATTGTATATACTATATTTTCTTTATTCCTTTACCCATCAGTAGACACTTAGGTTACTTCTTGGCTACTGTGAATAATGCTGTAGTAAACATGGGAGTAGAGATATCCCTTTGTTACAAATTTCATTTCTTGTGGATATATAAACAAAAGTGGGATTGTTAGATCACATAGTAGCCTTATCTTTAAATTTTTGAGAAACAGCCATACATTCTATACAGGCTATGCTATTTTATGTTCCTGTCAGCAGTGTACAAGGGTTATCTTTTCTCCACATCATCACCAACATTTACATTTATATATGGCTTTCCCCAGAGTGTGTTCTTGGCCTTTGTTGAAGATCAACTGACTGTAAATGTGTACATGCACTTCCAGGTTTTTTATTCTGTTCCATAGCTCTATACATCTGTATTTATCCCAGTGCCGTAATGTTTTGATTACTACAGCTTTATAGTATGTATGCTTTTAAACCAGGTATCATGATTCCTCTAGCTTTGTTCTCTTTATTCAAGATTGGTTTGGCAACTTGGGATCTTCTGGGGTTCCATTTGAATTTTACAATCGGCAAAGTTTTAAGAAGATATGAGACTTAAAGAATAGAAAGAGAAGGCTAGTACAGTCATATTAAACTTTAAACTATTGCTTCTTTTCATTTTATTTGAGAGATCTTCCTTCCATTAGTTCATCCTCCAAATGCCCACAATAAACATAGTTGGGCCAAGCTGAAGTCAGGAGCTGGGAACTCGTACCACTCACGTAGGAGACCCAGCAGAAGCTCTTGACTTTGACTTGGCCCAGGCCTAGCTTTTGTGCCCACTTCGGGACTGAACCAGTAGATAGAAGATCTCTATCTCTCCTTCTCTCTCTGTAACTCTGTTTTACAAATAGATAAATAAATCTTTAAAAAAACCCACTATGATTTGGTCAGGATCAAATTCCAAACAATTCTGAGTCTTAGGGCTCCAAGTAGCCTATTCCTTCTAATTCATTTTCTTCCTTCATTATAGATATCCTTCTGTTCTCTTTAATGGAATTGGCAAAAGCAACAAGGGACAACCCTTCTCCCTTTTGACTAACTGAACAATCATGCAAAGATAATCAGTATACTATTAAAAATTTCTTCCCAGGTCCCCTTAAGATAAAGGATACACACACACACACACACACACAGACAATACTGGTATCCCTGACGTGTCCAGCAATTCAATTGAAAAATAATGATGAGGAAATCAAATTTCAAGGTAGGAAATCCTAACTCTACTTCTGCTATCACTATACATTCAACACTTCAATGTTTCTATTTTCAGATTTAAAATTAGGGAAAGTAAGGTTATTAAAAATTTTTCAAGGTATTAGACATGAAAACCAAGCTTTTATAGTTTGTGAAGACAATAAAGTAAACCTCAAAGCCATGCTAAGAATCATTACCAGCACCTGATTGAGATTAAACAAGGCACTAGAATCTTTACTTTAGCACAGGAGGCGATTAAGACAAAAACTAAACAAATATTGACATTAGAAAGATTGGGGCTGTTTGGATCTAGGTACAGGTTGAAAAATCATTTACTGGACAAAGTCCAGGTATTCTAAGTTTTAGAAGGGCAGAGAGGCCCCTGCCAAAACCAGAGGATAAACAGATATCTCCAAGTTCAAATGTTACAGGTCAACACTGAGTTCACATTGTTTAAATAAATTGAAGTCAATCATTTTCCAAACTACCTGTTCAGCTACTGAGATACAAGTCTTGCCTTTTAAGGGAATTTTCTAAAAGCAGTATTGAAAAACTCTGTACTCACATAATTAAAGCCAGAGAGAATATGCCATATGCAGCTAGATACTTTCCCAGAGATATTAGCAACCATCATTGGTTGCCATGTATATGTACATGCAAAGATACAAATTTTCTTGTGTTTTTTTCTTGTCTTCAAAGATTTGCACAATTTCGAATCGTTCTTGGAGATTTTAATTTTGCCGGTATTCAGCAAGCCAATTGGATCTTGGGACCCATTTACTTCATCACTTTCATCTTTTTTGTGTTCTTTGTCCTTCTGGTAAGAATATAACCATATATTCTTTTTTTTTTTTTTTTTTTTTTTTTTGACAGGCAGAGTTAGTGTGAGAGAGAGAGAGAAAGGTCTTCCTTCCATTGGTTAACCCCTCAAATGGCTGTCACGGCCGGAGCTGCTCAATCTGAAGCCAGGAGCCAGGCGCTTCCTCCTCCTCTTTCTTGCGGGTGCAGGGCCCAAGCACTTGGGCTATCCTCCACTGCTTTCCCGGGCTACAGCAGAGAGATGGAATGGAAAAGGAGCAACCAGGACAGAATCTGGTGCCCCAACTGGGACTAGAATCCAGAGTACCGGCGCCACAGGTGGAAGATTAGCCTAGTGAGCCGTGGCGCCGGCCACCATATAGTCTTTATTTTTTTTTTCTCCCATATTTTTAGAGTAAAAATGAAATCACTCATTTAGAAGAAACTGTACTATTATTGCTTGGCTATCAGAGTACTTTACACTTATTAAGAATGATGAACTCAATAAATTAATTATTAAGGATGCCTAGTAGTCCAGGGTCTCTAGTCCAGTAGCTAATGTTTTCAAATTATCCAATGGGAGATATAATCACAGTAGTGATTATAGTGATCTGAATGTTTGTCTTGGCCAGCAATGGCTAAATCCCTTAGACATTAATATAACTTGAATGTCTATGGTTTCTCTAGGTTGAGACAACCCATACCAGGGGGTATGAATTCAGTCTTTAATATTTGTGATTTCTAGGAGTGACTAGGATGGGTCTCTCATACGTGTTCAGAACCAATCTATTTGGCACTGTTAACTGTCCTCCATGAAAACACTTTAAAAAAATTGAGAGAGACAAAGAGCGAGCGAGCTCCCATCCACTGGTTCATTCCTCATATGCCTGCAACACCCAGGGCCAGGCTGGGGCCAAAGCCAGAAGCCAGGAACTCCATCCAGTTCTCCCTCATATGTGGCAGGAACCCAATTACTTGAGCCATCATTGCCACTTCCCAGGGTCTACAATAGCAGGAAGCTGGAGTCAGAACCTGGAGCCAGGTATGAAACCCAGGTACTCCAATATGGGGTATGGGCATCTTAACCAGCAACCTAAATGCCTGCCCCCATAAATGAAAACACTTTTGATGGATGTAAGTTATTCCCTGGTGAAAGCAGAGAGTCCTCAGGGCAACAGAGCTGCACCACAGTGAAAAGTGGGGAACTGCGCTCAGGGTGTGAACATCCTCTTCATATCTGTGCTATCTGGACATCAGTAGTTTGGGGAGGCTTAGTAAGATTATTAATTTAAGCAGCTTCAATAACATCCTTGTGAACATGTAATTCCATTGTTTTCTTCTGATATATATTACAGATAAATTAATGTGCTTAAGCATAAAATATGTATTAACAACCAGTTCATATACATTTTACCTTTTACTTTTCTCACGTATCATAAATACATTTGCCCATATTCAAATACTACATATTTTCCACTGTACCCTAAATAACCATTTCCCTATTACTGAACATATAGGTTTTTAAAATTTAAACCTAATTTTACAAGTCCTAGCACTTTTTAAAGTCATTGACTTTAAGTTTTACATTAAAAACTTTTACAGTAATTTTTTATTGAAATGATTTTTTAAATATTTTTTCATAGAACATGTTCTTGGCAATAATTAATGATACCTATGCTGAAGTGAAAGCTGACTATGCAATAGGCAGAAGGCCAGATTTTGAACTTGGAAAAATGATAAAAAAGGTAAGTCAAATTCTTTTCCTAATTAAAGTTTAAGATAAATCTTACTCAGTTTATACTCTTATAATCTGAGTAACACTTAAAACCCCAAGTGGTGGTGCTTTTTGTTTTTTTCAAGTAGTTAATGTTTTTTTGTCCAGTGTTACTCATATTTACATCATTTCAGGACTAGGGAGCTAAGATACACTTTTTTTTTTGACAGGCAGAGTGGACAGTGAGAGAGACAGAGAGAAAGGTCTTCCTTTGCCGTTGGTTCACCCTCCAATGGCCGCCGAGGCCGGCGCACTGCGCTGATGCGATGGCAGGAGCCAGGTACTTATCCTGGTCTCCTGTGGGGTGCAGGACCCAAGTACTTGGGCCAGCCTCCACTGCACTCCCTGGCCACAGCAGAGAGCTGGCCACAGCAGAGAGCTGGCCACAGCAGAGAGCTCCGTTGCCGGCCGCTAAGATACACTCTTCAGTTTTAATATGGAACCAAAATTATTTCAGAGTTCAACATTAGAAAGGGTAATAAAGTTACTTTCTGTGGGGAGCAACTGAGACTAGACTAAGTTACTGGAATTAAGACTTATTCTATGCATCTGCTCTCCCACAATATGGCGCTGGGGAGGAGCAAACAACTATGCAGCTGCCTCATCAGTTTGATAAGCTGCAGGAGCTGATCCTGCTCCTGATTGGAGGAGAGCAGCGTGCTCGGCGTGTGGGTAGCAGAGTTGGGATTGGTGGAAGAGGACTATAAAGGAGGAGAGAGACAACATGCACCAGGAACATCTGAAGGAACACCTGAGCAGCCCCCTAGAGAGCCGGCCGGTGGTGTGCCGCTCCTCTGCGGAAGTGGGGAAAGTGGCAGGGGGGGCCACCCCTCCACGGAGGTGGAGGGGTCAGCAGCCAACCCGGGAAGGACCAGCAGCAAACCCGGGAAGGGCCGAGCAGACAAAAGAACAGCGCAGAGTCCTGTCTCATTCCTCCGCAAATGGGAGAGTGACAACTTTCTATATGCCAAGCATTTCTATATGCCAATTCTTCCTTCCAAAAACTTGCCAATTCAAAAGTTAGTAAATTTCTATAAACAATTCAAACTAAGGATCCCATATGCCTTGTCATCCTCACTTTCCTGATTCTGTTAATGGAACACAATTCACAGTCACTCCTGATGTCAAGGCTTCTATAGAACTTCCTTAAGCTTCTGGAATTCAAAGACACTTGGAATTCCAACTGCCATTAAACTAGGATATACAGGACTTTTCACCCTGGCTTCTCATATGGTAACATGTTAACTTTCCTAGCCTCTTCCCTATAACAGCTAACTTCTGATCTCATCTGATTCCCTGGGCCTGTCAAAATAAGTCCTTTTTAAAAATTCCTTTTAAAAAAAAAAATATTTGAAGCCGGCGCCGTGGCTCAATAGGCTAATCCTCCACCTTGCGGCGCCGGCACACCGGGTTCTAGTCCCGGTTGGGGCGCCGGATTCTGTCCCGGTTGCCCCTCTTCCAGGCCAGCTCTCTGCTATGGCCAGGGAGTGCAGTGGAGGATGGCCCAGGTGCTTGGGCCCTGCACCCCATGGGAGACCAGGAAAAGCACCTGGATCCTGGCTCCTGCCATCGGATCAGCGCGGTGCGCCGGCTGCAGTGGCGGCCATTGGAGGGTGAACCAACGGCAAAGGAAGACCTTTCCCTCTCTGTCTCTCTCTCTCACTGTCCACTCTGCCTGTCAAAAATTAAAAAAAAAAAAAAATTATTTGAGAGGCAGAGCATAGAGTTATAGGAAAGAGAGGGAAGGGAGGGATGGAGGAAGGTAGGAAGAGATGAGGACAATCTTCCATCCTCCGATTTACTCAACAAATGGCCAGGTGGCAGGGGCCCAAGTACTTGAGCCATCACCTGTTGCCTTCCCAGGCACAACAGCAGGAAGGTGGATGGGAAGCAGAGCAGCCAGCACTCCAGTTACGGGATTCCAAAGCTAAAGCAGCTGCTTAATCTATTATGCCACAACACTGGCTCCCCAAGTCCAAATTCTTTAAATATTCCAGGTCTTCCTCAAATCTTGCAGTCCCAAACCATTAACTGTCATTTAACTATATTATTTTTACCTTTCCCACCTCTTTAATAAAATATTTGAGAGGCAGAGAAAGAGAGAGCTTGAACTCATTTGCACTATTTCTCTAAATACATGGAGATGGGGCTGGCCTAGGCCAAAGTCAGTCTCCAGGGACCCAATGCAGATCTCCCACCTGGGTTGTAGCTGTCACCGCAACTTCCCTGGATTTGCACTGGCTGGAAGCTGGAGCCAGGAACTGGAGCCAGGAGTCAAACCCAGGCACTGTAACGTAGGATGTGGGCATCTTAACAGCCAGGCTAAATACTGCTCCTCTGCCTCTACATACACAACACCAAACGGCCCAGTCTGTCTTGCCCAGTTATTCTCACTACCTCCTGTGGGCCTCCATTCTTCACTACCTGATGCCTGAAAAACTTGTATTCTTTGTATTTTTCTCTCTTCTGAGCATTCTATTCCTCTTGACAGAGTGGAATCTGCTATTTTCTCTCAACACCTATCACTCTGAGTTGTAGCAGAGTCCTCTGTGTACCAGTCTCACCTCCTCTCCACCTTGACTATCTCTGCATGTCACTGGCTCTGCACATAGTGCACCACAGAGAAAAGGTCCAAGTAGCTATGGGGTAAACGAGGTTGAAGAACTTTGTCTAAGAACTTACTTTCAAAAGATAACACTCTTAAAACAGCCCCAAGTGAACTTAATTTTGGGGTTTTTATTTCCTTGTTTATCTCTTGAATATGTTTGGTTATATGCATTAAAAGTATTAACATCCTTAATACAGTATGTATTAATACTTAAAAAAATGTTTTTCAAGTTCAGGTGTGATGCCTTCAAGAGAACCCCTTTTACTTTTCCAGCAGCAGAGAGAAACCATAGGTGGTGACAAGGCCAAAGAAAAATAATCAGCATTGCCTCCATATTGCTTTAGGTTACTGGTCCCTAGAGAAACTTATTTTTTGCCTTGATCAAACATTAACACAGGATATTATTTAATGAATTTTCAAGTTATATTTAATCATGCCCAGGGTTACAATGATGCTCTTGAGAAACTGAAACTGAAGAAAGCTGGAAAAGATGAAGACAAGAAAATGTAAGCTGATTTTCCTAAAATTGTAACTTATTATTAAGTTCTATAGAGATACTCTTCAACTTACAATAGAGTTACATCCTGATAAACCCACTGTAAACTGAAAATATTCAAAGTGAAAAATGGATTTAAAACACCTACCCTACCAAATACCACAGTTTAGCTGAGCCTACCATCAGTGTGCTCAGAGCACTTACCTTAGCCTACAGTTGGGCAGACTCCTCAAACAGAAAATGTATTTTAAAATAAAGTACTGACTTCTGTGTAATTTACTGAATACCTGTATCCAAAGCACACGCTGGCAGCACAGCCCACTGTAGAGCATCAGTCATCTCCCCTGTGACACGAGGCTGACAGGAGCTGCAGCAGCTGTTGCTGCACAGGTCTGCAACATAGAATCATACCGCATCTTGCTAATCTTGGAAAAATCAAAATTCAAAAGATAGTTTCTAGCAGATGTGTATCACTTTTGTACCATCACAAAACCAAAAAAAAAAATTCTAAGTTGTACCATCCTAAGTCAGCAACCATCTGTATTTTATGAGAACCTTTGAATGAGAATAAAATTTTCAATGAAAACCACCACCATCCAATGTGGTGATTCTAAATACGCTGTTAGTACATCCCAGTAGTGCCTCCTAATCTCTGAAGACGTCATGAAACCCTAAGCAAACTTATAATTTAGGATGCCATGCTATTCAGAAGGGGAGAATAAAGTCCCTTTAAAAAGACAAAAAAAAAAAAAAAACAAAAAAAAACTACAGTCTACATTAAGTATATTCATTTATCTCTGAATAACATTTTACACATAATACTTACATACTTAATATTTGTACTTACACATATTTGCACTTACATTTACTGAATGTTTTTGAGTTTTAAACTGTTTCCCAAACCCAAATCTCTGGCAGGGGACAAAATACAGACTTTTTTCCCTGCTAGTGACATTTGATATTCCGGAGAGTAATGGTCACACTTCCCAAATACTTAGCATTTATTATCAGAAAGAATAGAACTGCAATTCAGATCCTTACTGAAGATATGACTATATTCTGTAGTGTATTTCCCTTTTTACTTTCTAATGCCTCTGGTTTTTATTTTATATTCTCAGGAGGAGAACCAGCGAAGATTTGGCGGAACAAGCCAGAAGAGAAGGCTTTGATGAAAATGTAAGATTTTATTTTTTCATAAACACAAATGGTAACTTTATTAGAAATACATATGGAAAAGTTCTGATTAAAAATTGAACCTTGTTTTTATCAGAGCAGTAGTTATCACCTCCAAAACAAACCTCACAGAATCTAGATTCTACTTCTAGAATCTAAATCTAAATTGCACACAATCTAGATTTTACATTCTACTTCAACTCCAGTGTTTCCTCTCTCCTTTTGGTACTCTCAGTCAGATACTCTGGCCCTGTACTCACCATGGAACTGCCATATTAGGTATTTGTAGTGAGTACTGGGATGACTATATAGTTTTCTTCTTATACTCATTACTGTAATTATTTTATTTTTATATTTCAAAAAATTATATATTTAACAAATTTTAAATTGAAGGTGTGTGTGTGTGTGTGTGTGTGTGGAATTAAGGAATACACACCCTTCAATTAAAAAAGAAAATTAGAACAGTGCTCTACTTCTGGTCATCCTCACCACCACAAAAAATGCTTAGAAAGAAGATAGAACTGTAAGATTAAAACAGGCAAGCAAATAAATACTAGAGAACTTTCTGTCAACTAAAAAGATTAAAATGAATTTTGTGGTATTGCATTAAAATTGTAGTTGTCTGCACACAGACACATTTATTTTCTAGCTCTGTCCACTAACAGGACTAGAAGAAATGACACCATGGTAGCAATAAGCACAACTGGTACAGAGATTAGGTTTTCAAATATCATTATCCTCTAATGGGAACCAGGACTAATTCATTAGAGATTTGCCAACATCAGGGCTAGGAAATACAAGATGGGTCTTACTGAGTGAAAAAGTAAAGCTGCTCTAAGAATGATGGAGCTCTGTTAAAAGGACGCCAGAGTCAACTTAAGAGGTTAACTGGCCAAATCTGGGAAAACTTAAGACTCTAATGAATGATGATAAAAAAAAAAAAAAAAAAACAGGATTCCCTGAGTCCATACTGATCTAAACATGCAAATGAATAAAATTATGATGAATAAGGAAACACAAAGCTCTTCACAAAATACTATCACAGGCCAGCGCAGCGGCTCAATAGGCTAATCCTCCACCTAGCAGCACCGGCACACCGGGTTCTAGTCCTGGTCGGGGCGCCAGATTCTGTCCCGGTTGCCCCTCTTCCAGGCCAGCTTTCTGCTGTGGCCCGGGAAGGCAGTGGAGGATGGCCCAAGTGCTTGGGCCCTGCACCCCATGGGAGACCAGGAGGAAGCACCTGGCTCCTGCCTTCAGATCAGCACGGTGCGCCGGCCACAGCGCGCCAGCCGCGGCGGCCATTGGAGGGTGAACCAAAGGCAAAAGGAAAACCTTTCTCTCTGTCTCTCTCTCTCACTATCCACTCTGCCTGTCCAAAAAAAAAAAAAAAATACTATTACAAAAAGAAAAGCAATCATGTATGGCAGACAGCAGCTTCATCAAATACAACACATTAATCAAACGTACAACTACGTCTAATCTTTTCCACAAAACTCCAATAAGACAGCATTGTAACTGCTATGCCAGGAGCTTTTGCCAGGTCTCCCATGTGGGTGCAGGGGCGCAAGTACTTGGACCATGTTCCACTGCTTTGCCAGGCATATTAGCAGGGAGGTGGATCAGAAGTGAAGTAGCTGAGACTCGAACCAGTGCCCATATGGGATGCTGGCGTTGCTGGTGGCGGCTTTACCCACTATGCCACAACGCCAGCACCTGATTTTCTTAAAAAGAAAATATTTTCAAACTGAATCACAAGGCACATCTAGTTCTATGCTAAATTCTAAAATATAAGCTTAAAGTGATTTAGAAATGATAAATATAAAATCATGAGCAAAGGTATAATAGGTAAAACATCAGATTACCAAGGGTCAAAATCTAGTGTATCAAGGTAGACAAAAGCTCTAAATGACACCAGGAGCACCTTGTAAGGCCGATGCCAATTTTAACAGTTAGACCTATGTGCCAAATAACAGCATCAACTTTAGTAAAAAGTAAAGGAAAAACAGGAACATATTAAAAAACAGATCAAGAAAAATAAAACTAAAACAATGTAACAAATTCTCTGGGGCCAGCATCGTGGTGCAGGAGGTTAAGCAACAGCTTGTAATGCCGGCATCCCACATCAAGTGCTGATTTGAGTCCTGGCTTCTCAACTTTTTTTCTTTTTTTCTTTTTTTTCTTTTTTTTTTTTTTTTTAAAGTAAAGTTACAGATGAAGAGAGGGAGAGATAGAGAGGTCTTCTATTCACTGGTTCACTCCCCAAATGGCCACAATGGCAGGAGCTGGGCAGATCCGAAGCCAGGAGCCAGGAGCTTCTTCTGGGTCTCCCAGGTGAGTGCAGGGGCCCAAGCACCTGGACCACCTTCCACTGGCTTTCCCAGGCCGTAGCAAAGAGCTGGGTCGGAAGCGAAGCAGCCAGAACTAGGACTGACACCCATATGGGATACTGGTGCCACAGGTAGCTTAACCTACTGTGCCACAGCACCGGCCCCTGCTCAACTTCTGATACAGCTTCCAGCTACTTCACCAGGGGCTTGGGACTCTGCTTCTTCACAGAAAACCAGGATGGAGTTCCTGGCTTCTGGCTTCAGTCTGGCCTAGTCCTGGCTATTGCAGGCTTATGGTATATTAACCAGAAGGCAAGAGATCTTTCCATCTCTGTGTCTTTATTTTATTTAAGATTTTATTTATTGGTGCTGGCACTGTGGAATAGCAGGCAAAGCTGCCACCTGTAGTGCTGGCATCCCATATGTGCGCCAGTCCAAGTCCCAGGTGCTCCAATCCAATGGAAGATCTCTCTGCCTCTGTATCTCTGTAACTCTGCCTTTCAAATATAAATATATATATATATATTTCAATATATATATTTCAATTTTATTTATTTTATTTGAAAGGCAAGGTTAAAGAGAGGTAGAGACACTGAGGTAGAGATCTTCCATCTGCTGGTTCACCCCCCAAATGGTTGCAACAGAGCCTGGAACTCTGTCCATGTCTCCCACATGGGTGTAGGGGTCCAAGGACTTGGGCCATCTGCTGCTGCTTTCCCAGGTGCATTAGCAGGGAGCTGGATTGGATGCAGAGCTGTCAGGACTTGAACCACCACCCATACGAGATGCCGGCATCTGTGGTGGTGGCTTAACCCTCTGTGCCATAGCACTGACTCTCTGTACCTTTCAAAAAAATAAAATAAAATTTTAAAAACAATTTTAAAAGATGCACTTACTTATTTGAAAGGCAGAGTGACAGAGAGGGAGAGCTAGATAGATCTTCTGTCCTCTGGCTCATACCCCAAATGGCCACAACAGACATGGCTGGGCCAGGCCCAAAGCCAGGAGCCAGGAACTTCATCTGGCTCTCATGTGGGTGGCAAATGCCCAAGCAATTGAGTGATTACTGCTGCCTTCCCAGGCCCATCAGCAAAAGGCAGGACTGGAACATGGAACTCAAGGGCACTTCAGTAGACGCTAGCCTCACCAGCGTGCAAGCCACACTGAGCCTGCTGTGCCACACAAGGGACTCCAAAACTTTTTTTAAAAAGAGGAAAAACAAAATGAAATCATGAATTCTCAGGAAACAAAATAAAAATATTATGTACCAGAGGAAAATTAAGTCTCAAATTTATCAATAAAAATCAAAGTGAAATTAATTTTAGTATTAATTTTAGAAAATAATAGAAATAAATATAAAAGCAGTAAACAAGAATGTAATTTAAATTAATAATAGGTTGATTATTTGAAAAGATTAGAGAAAGGAAATCACTAGCTAACCAGTGGAAGAAAAAGGAGAAAACATAAAGAGAAATTACAATAAGGAAAATTAATCAAGAAACAGAAGGAATTAAAAAATAATACTATGAGACTTTTTTTGTCATTATACAGAAAATTTTTTAACTGAATGGATAATTTTTCTATAAAAATATTAAAACAGATTCAGGGTATTTAAGTCATTCAGGACACAGAGAAAGGGGAAACTTCCAAATTAATATTATAAAGTGACTAAATACTGTACCAAAGGAAAAAAGAAACCTCAGATGTAAAACTTGAACCCAAAATCCTAAATAAAATGTTGGCAAATAAAATTTATCACCACACAATAATATATCACGATCAGATAGGGTTTATTCTAGGAACGAAAGAACAGTTCAAAATTGGGTCATCAACTATTTATCATAACTCATTGTATTAAAAAAGGAAAATTACATGATCATTTTCCATAGATGCTGGGTATTCGTTAAGCTTCAACACCTAATCTTGGGGAGAAAACAAAACAGGAATCAATAACACTTCATTGATATAAAAACAGTCTCATCCATAAGCTACCATCTTAATAGGAAAACACTGGACACAACAGACAAAACAATGATGTAGTAAAGAAATTAAATGTTTAGACAAGAGATATATTAGGTGTACAAGAATCACAAAGAGGTAAAACTACCTCTATTTCAAATGATTCTTCTAAATTTTTGAGGTATATAATGAACTAAAAACTTACAACAAAAAGAAAATCCAATAAAGTACTATGAAAAAATAATTCATTTAAATACAAGTATGTCATATATACAAAAATCAGTGTTTGTTAAAAACTGTAATAGGTAACCCTATTGATAACACCAACAAAATACAAAATGCTTAGCAATCTACAAAAATGTTCAAAACCAAGATACAGAAAAATTTTAAGCTTTCCTTACAGACACAAAAATATATCTGACCAAATGAGAATTCACAATACATTTATCAACCTGGGCCTAGTCAGGAAAAAAAAGAAACACATATGTACTTCAAACAGAAAAAAAATCACTGTAAGAAATTGGTTACACATACATATTTAAGACCAAGTATAAAATGAGAACTCCAAGGCAACTCAAACACAATAACTGTAGGAAGAGGCTACCAATTTCAGGTCTGAGGCTACAAAGTGGAACCTAGTATCTTAGAGAAGGGCCTGTGGAGCTGGTGCTCAGGCGTTGGAGAGCGCACCCTGCCCAAGAGGCCTGCTTCAGATACTTCTGAGGGGTGTGGTGAGGCTAGTTCTGAGGAGCAGCAGGATGGTGCAGCCTGGAGCCAGCCCTTGCTGCTGGCCTAAGTACGATTACATAAGCACTGCCTCCAGAAACAGGAAAAATATGAAGTCCCTTCTTCCCTCCCTGCCCCAAATAACAGCCGAATCTAACAGAAACCCAGGTAGCGAGAGAGTCTGGGGAATAAGGCTTCCAAAGCCTGAGATCCAGCATCACAGCGAACAGGAGGGTCAATTTTGAGTTGAGATATTAACTAGTTGACTCAACCCACCATCTTTTTGGCTATTTAGCACACATATTTGCAACTTCTGTAAAATAATATCAAGCTTCCATTATCAGATGGAACTATCCCTCATACTTCTACCCCACACCCCCAAAATGGGAGGAGCAAAGACCCAACAGTCATTGTATTTTTCTTTGTATAATGCTAAGAATTCTCCTAGTAGACACTATTGTTTAAAACTTTGCAGCCTAATGTTTAAACTTCAAAATTCACTATCACCAACATTTCTTGTTTAAAGGGAGAAACACATAAACATGCAAGTAAAAATGCACAGCTGCTCCAGCCCTTGCTGTAACAGATCACAAGACTGTAGTTGATATTTTTAACTTCTTCCACTACCTATTCCTTGTCATTCCTTTTGCCCACAGCCAAGACTTCAGCTGGCTGCATGAGGATTAACTGAACCTTTATTAATTCTGCAACCAAATCCTCAGTGGACCTGTCTTCAATAGGATGCCATGGTTTCCCATTACCTGCTATTTTTGGACATGGAAGTATTAAGAGGCACCCAGAGAATCCCCTGGTAAACTAGCCTCCTCTTGCCCATTTTGGAGCAGTAACCCAGTTTCCCCTCGGTAATGGGGATCAATCACTTCAGTCATCTGAGTAACGACTTCTTTGCCAGTTGATTCTGTAGCATGAGGAATCCCACATGGCCATGCAGTAGTCCTAAATTTCTAAGTCCACTGTGTTCCTTGGAAGCACACCATCTTTAAGGATTTGTTTCTTTGGACCTTCCTTGCTACCAAGTATTTATTCATCAGTTAAGAGTTGTCAGAAAAATAGAAATCATATAGGGAACTCAACAGGGGGATTTCATGTAAGAGAATTCACGTATGAGGCAGTAGAGGCTGTAAGAGCCTGTACGGACACTCAGGTAATCCAGAGGCAGCTGCAAAACAGCTTCCACCTACAGAGGATGTAGCAGCTTGACAGGAGGATCCCCCTACCAGGAAGAACGGTACCACTTCCCTATGAACTTCAAGAAAGAGTTCATATACGTAAGTGTTAACTGTTAAATTAACAACAGGAAGTCACTGTGCACTACCTTCCCATGCAGGACTTCTGTCCTCAGAGTTGTATTATAATAATGTCTAAGTGCTCGTAAAAGATGTTATCATTCTTGGGTGCTTCTTTAAATTTAAGTTTCAAAAAAAAAGTGAAATTAAATTCAAGATGCAATAACTTTGAACAGCCTGTCTCAACTGTTAAGGAAATTTTTCTTTGATGCAAACTGTTGAACTCTTAATATAGAGTTGGACTTCTGTATATAAGGTTAATTGAAAATGGATCTTAGTGAAGAATGGGACTGGGAATGGGAGAGGAAGGAGGAGGAGGAGGAGAAGGGGGAAGGGTAAGAGTGTGGATATGGTGAGAAGAATCACTGCATTCCTTAAATAAAAGGTTTCTTCAAGAAAAAAAAAATACTTCATAGAGAAGTAAGAAGGCTGGGATGAGTTTTTTAAAGGATGAGTAAAGTTTACTCTGCATATTCAGCCCATTATCACTAATCCATCTGATGTTATAATCAGTCTGGTCATTAAAAATTGGCTTGGGGGCCTATCATTTTAACATGTTAGAAGTAAGTCAAAACGTGGGTGCTGTCATCTGTCTATTCTTTCCTGCTTCAGATATATTGGTTTAAAGTCATTGATAAAACTTAGAACTTAACCAGAACAGGTCACATGTCTCAGGTAAACAGAGGGTGTGGAAGTAGGCATCACTATCCTCCCTGAGGAAGGTAATCAAAACCCTTATACAGGGATCCACTTTATTACCAAGGATTATTGCTGGAAAGGGCAGTAACATACCAATTTATGGAACAGTTTTGTGAATCACATCTGGATGCACTGCCTGCTCTTTCCCTAAGGCTGTCCCTATTTTCAACACACAGGGCATTTTATTTTCCAGAAATTGGAGAAAAGATTTTTGCATACTACAAGGAAAGTGAGTGGCAGTGAGAATAATACACAGGAAGGACCCTTTAGGATCAGGGAAGGGTACAGCAACATAAACTTTCTGGTATGAGCTTGTCTGGGGGTACATGAACAATTTGGAGCACAAAGTTGGACTAAGCAACAGAATAACTACAGAAAGATTGAGGTAAGTCAGCAGCAGTTGGTAAGTAACTGCTGGGAGAGTAACGAATACCACCAGATGTACTTTGAAATTCATTCTCTATATCACAGAACAGAGGCACAGAAAGAACATCTCAGCTTTGATGAGTGAAGGAGGGAGTCAGGAAGAAACTCAGATGGAGATGCAAAGGGAAAGGCCACGAAACAAGAATAATTTATAATTAAACAAACAGCCTTCTCTGTGCCAACCAGCTCTTTCACCAAGTCCTCCAAGGTGATTTTGCTGGTGCACAGACCCCAAAACCAGAACCGGCAAAAAGGGCAGTAAGACTGAAAATCCAAGAATAGTTTCAAGTTCCTTCTTTGTGATGCTTGTGTATCAGACATGAAAAAAAATATATAAAACTTGCAAACTTACTTGTTCTCTAAATTGACAGGAGATCAAAAGGGCAGAGCAGATGAAAAAATGGAAAGAGAGACTTGAGGAAAAGTATTATTCTGCAGAAATTCAAGATGACTACCAGCCTGTCACTCAACAAGAATTTCGAGAGTAAGCATTTGTTGTAACCAATATGTGATACTGTGATAGGGGGATTAGGAACATGAGTTGTACTATTTTCCTGAACCTAGAACCTTAGTGAAATATCATTTCTTAATTTTCTACCCAGTTTCAAAGCACATGACTCTATCTGCTTAACAACAAAAGATAAATTTTTTTAGCCCTACATCTGTAAATAATAACTGCCATTTATAGTTGATGTGGATAGCAGATACTGTTCCCCACACAGCTTTAGTGGCTTTATAAATGGCCATACAAGCCACGTTTTAGAAGCTTACAATACTGTCTTCCTTCTCAAAGTACTTCACAGTAGGCACTAAAATCCTACTATATTACTGACTCATCCCCCACTTCCTTTTAAATTACCTTCTAGACTCTTTTTATATGCTGTGGAGCTGGAGAAGGAATTACGCTACATCAGTTTAAAACTAAACCGAGTGATGAGAAAGTTTTCAGCTCTGCAAGAGAAGTGAGGTGAGAATCTATGATACAAATCACTGAGTATTTCTGACTTAATCATATACTGAATTATTTCCTAAATTGGTTCTCATTTCAGCCAAACTTCTCAAAAACACTAAACCACTTCTCATCAAACTGTTCTCAGGGTCAATAATAATCAAGTGATTTCTAAGACTTCAGTTTTCCAGAGGGGAACCACTATACAACCCATGCATACTAACATGCCTCTGGTCAACACACACTGGTACACACACAAGACTTTATAACAAGATTTATTATTAAATTCTAGCAATGTGAAGTACAAAATGCTACGGTTATTGGGCCGGTCTCTAAAAGCCCACTGAGTAGGTCAAGTTTTCTAACTGTCACAGGGTATAAGAACTCTAGGTGCTTTCAAGTGCATCAGGTACCGTGTTCTGATTTCCTTTGACCATACCTAAGTAAAGGTTTAGAATTCTAGAAAACCATTAATATATAAGACTCAAGTAAAATAATCTCCTTCCAATCTTTAAAATTCAAAGTCCCCTGGAAAAAGCCAAAGTGTAATGGAACAAACTCCCAACCACCTACAGACATTTCACTAATATCTTCAACCTGGAAATTCACATAGACAATTTACAGAATAACACATTTCTAGTTTTCCAGAAACAAAACAAAGAGCAACGTAGGCTGATATATCAGCATCAAAAATAACATTTTGTCTGGAACTCACAAATGAGAATGCTGCAAGGGCCCTGTCTGACTGGAGAGAGAGCTGTGTATGGCTGGCATTTTGGAAACTAGAGGGAAATTCTTCTAATAATTCTAAGCTACATAAGCCAGCCAAAGCTGAAAATGTTCTCTGAGCCCAAGAAACATTGGACCAAAGCACTCAACTTCCACACTGGTGCACAACAGTCCTTGGATTTTAAAACTTGAGTAAAGAGATTTTTAAATCACTACCCACCATCCTCATGCCAAGCACTTCTTTTTCAGACTATACATCAAGTTTCCTTAGTAGGGTAACTCACTGTAACAAGGAAGCTCGCTCACTCTCAATCAGTGGTCTTGCTCTGCCTTACCACTCCACAAAGCTGTAGCCAGTCAAGTAATCTGGTAACTCTATGTCCCCTGAAATAGTCCCTGGGTAGGGTAATTCAAACAAAAGCCTAAGAACACTAAGGCAAGGGAACATTTGATGTCTCCATTCTTTTTCCTTTTTAACACCTTCTCAAAAAATAAACAAACATTTACAATGACTCAGGACAAGTACTTTTATTACAAAAGTCTATACAATGAAGTGCCAGACACAGCAATGCAATATACTGGTAGACATATATATCTATATAATATTTGTATATAGATATACAGTTTTTATTTGTACCAAAGGAAAACTATCACAAACTGCCTAATTCTACCACCTACTGCTCAAACTATGACACACAATACTGTCACACAGCAGAAGTGTTGCCATGCCACTTTTATCTATTCTACTTGCAGCCAAACATTAACACTGAATAACCAACATCATGAAGCAGCTGTTAACTCTAAAATGAAACCTGTCAGGCCAGTGACTTATAAAAATATGGTACTCATATAGATTTAGCATTATAAAGAAGGAATATATTATTTAAAACATTTAAATAGTGCATATGGACATTTTTGCATGTGGTATATAAAATAAAACATTCATATAAAACAATATACAGTGCACAGAAAATCAGATGTTTGAATACACTGTCTGGATTCCGAATTAACTGAAATGTACACTGCACAATGGATTTAAACCAAAGTGATACAACTTTTGGCATTTTCAATTTCACTTTACTAGGTAGGCATTATGAGTCATCTAGTATCAAAAGAAACCACTCCCAAAAGCGGGGGTGGGGGGAGGCTGGATTCAGTATTTTTTTTACATCTCCAACTACATATTCACTACCACTGGATTTTTTCCCTCCCCCCCAAAAAAGGCATTGCACACACAAGGTGAAATGTGAAGTATCAGTGACACTACTACCAAGCTACTTCACTGTGCTTACTATGAAATAGTGCTGGAAGTCTGAGGTTCATGCTTCCCTCCCTTATTAAACAATGCTGCAAGATTCCATCTCTGTATGGAATAAACTGTTAATAGTAGTTAGTTAAGGAAACCATGCATGAGTCACTGCATGCAAAACATGGGCACAAGGTGAGACACTCATCAATACAAAAAAGCACCAGGTAAAAAAAACGTGGATTAAGACTGACCTAAGTTTGCTGTTGTACTATTAGCACAAATGAAGTCACCTGCTGTGAAAAATGATTAGCAGAATGATACCAGGAGAGTACCTGAAGAAAAGCCATGCAAAGCCAAAGAAAGTAGGCTAAGAGTCAGTGACAAGGGCATACCGCTGCCCATCCTGAAAACATCTGCTTTACACAGCATGCAATTTAGCAAAAGGTGGTCCCTTTTACAGGGTATTGTTTATATGAATTTTGCTGATTAAAAGAGGAAAAAAAAGGTACAACCCCTGAAGGTATATGTAAAAATGCAGTGGTACAGCCCTTGTTAAGAACAGATTTACTTTAGGCATAATGATGATTTTGCAGAGTTAGGCCCATTTGATTGAACACACAAATCAGAGCACCATCAGAATTCCTACCTACTGACATGGCTATTTTCTCACATTATCTGGAGGTGGGGGAGGGGACAGCACACAAGATCTGATCCAGACAAATCACATCATCACCAGCTGATAAACAGTAACTGAGGAAACAAACAGTAACTGAAGTCCCATAGGCAGCATGTGATATGATTCAGTTCTGTGTGTGATGTGTGGTATATGTTTTCAATGTATTAAGCAAGGTCACTTTTTGGTACCCACAGTTATCTTCATCCAGGAGTTGTGTGACCACTGCATCGCAAAATTTTGCTAGCATAATACCTGTGAGAAGGTGTCACTTTGGGAATAAACAGAAAGGTGTTCCACAGTAGGCCTTGAAATTTCAGTTTGATTTTGGTTTTCTAGGAAAACAACACAGTTGCGTATGTGCACTTTTATAGGCTTTTCTTTCAAATTTTCAGTCATTCTGTAAGAAAAAGGCAACTGAAGAATTCAGTGTGAAGATTTTCCTCTCAATTTTCTTCAGTAATGGAAAAAAAAAGATGGTAGTAACAAAAAGCTTTGTATTTTCAGTTCTTGAAGTGGAAAGGATAAAATTCTAGTCTTTTGCTAACAGGATATATGTGCAGTACAAAACAATGAAGGAAGCTGCATGTCTGCTAAAGGTGGAGAGGTCGGTCTGTAGTTACTGTGGAACATCACCTGCACTCCTGAGGGGGGGCCTACTTACCCTCCACAACCAAGTACAAAATGAAACTCTGAGTGCCTGAAAAAATGAACTCAAGTACCAGCCAAGTACACATGGATGATAACATCAAGGGACACACTGACTTTAAGATATGAATTGTTCAAGGAGTATATTTTATATGGATTTTGAAGAATCTTGTTTGCTGATAAGAACTTCAAGAAGCCTAAGCTTCGCTTTAATTTTCTTGTACTCCCTGTACTCCTCAAGCACTGGAACACGATCCTCTTTCTGGGCATTCCTAGGGAAGAAAATAAAAGCTGTAATACCTTAGAGAGCCTCTGGAAACTACAGACTGAGAAGCTGTCCTAATGAGATACAATGTTACTGAACAGAAATTCAAATAAAAGTTGCTCTGAAAGAGAAACGGTTATTGGACTAATTCCCTCATTACCCATGATGCTATACTTATCTATGATCATTGTTGATTAACTAGAAGTAAGTCACTATTCACTAAGAATCCATTGTTAAGACTCTGCCAGATCTGTGTGTATTGAGTGTAGAAGTCATTTCACATTTTTAGCTAACTGTGGCTCCAATGAATTAAGATATAAAAGTACCTATAGCACAAGATTAGTATATAACTTTGTATGAATCACCAAATGCAATTCAGTTTTATCACTAGCTGTTGCCCCAAACCCTAATTATAATTTTCTTTCTTTTTTAAGAGATGTACTTATTTATTTGAAAGGCAGAGTTAGAAAAAAGGAAAGAGAGAGGAAGAGAGAGAAGGGAGAAGTAGAGGGAAGAGAAAGGGGGAGTGGGAGATGGAGGGAGAGAGACCCTTCTATCCAATGGTCCACTCCCCAGGCTGGGCTAGGAGAGGCCAAAGCGAGGAGCCAGGAGCTTCTTCCAGGTCTCCATGTGGGTCCAGGGTCCAAGCACTTGGGCTATCCTCCAGTGCTTTCCCGGGGCATTAACAGGGAATTGATCAGTCAGCAGTGGGATCAGCCGGGACTCAAACTGGTACCCATATGGGATGCCTGAGTCTCAGGCAGTGGCTTAACCTGCTACACCACGATGCTAGCCCCCTACATTTTTATTTTCAATGCTAACATCCAACATGTACAATTTACTTCTAATCTTACATATTCCACATATAGGCACATGTAAGTTAAAGGAGAAAGATGAATCGATTTTGTGATGCTCAACAAACCTTCCATTTTGTTGATAAAATGCTTCTTCAAATTCCCTTAATGTTTTACGTAGTTTCTTTTTTTCAGCTCTGGCTTTCCAAAGTTGTTCCAGTAATTCAGGCCTAAAATTTAAATAGGAAGAAAAAATTGAAAGGGCATTCTTGATTCATCATATTAATAGTTCTTAGTCCTAGCTACAAATTGAAACCAGCTGGGAAAGTTTCAGAACATCCCAATGTCTAAACTACCCTAAACCAATGAAACTGGAACAGCTAAAGGTAGGGTTCAGTATCAATACTTGACACCTTCACAGCTGACTGGAAAGTGACGTCAGGACCATACAGTCCAAAGACAAAGAAGCTGATACAGAACAAGCTAACAGAAAAACTGGTTCTTGTGGTCTGTTACAAATCAAAAGTATGGTTTTACTTTCTTAACTTTTCTTAATATTTCATAAAGGACATGGGAATGAAAACATGTGTTTATAAATCACACTTAAAAGGGTGTATCCCACAGTTACTTCTAGATTAATTTCTTGTATTCTCCAAGTGCTTAATTAACAAATAATTCCTTAGCACATAAATTTTATTATAGAAATTGCCTAAAATCACAAACAAGCATACATACATAGAGGCTGCACGAGTACTTGACAATCGGAGATCCAGAGCCAGTTTTTCTTGATTTTCTTCAACGTCAGATTCTGAGTTTTCCAATGAAGATTGTGCCTGTACAGCAGTTTTCAAGATATCACTTAATTCAGAGGACAAACTTACACCATCTTCTTCTTCTTCCTAAACAGGTACCAGGGAATCAAACAGACCATGACTTTCAAGTTTTCTTTTATTCCTTTATTTACTTTTAAAATTTATTTGAAAGAATTACAGAGAAAGAAAAAGAGAGAGAAAGAGAATCTTCCATCCTCGAGTTCACTCCCCAAATGGCTACAACAGCCAGAGCTGGGCAGGTCCAAAGCTAAGAGCCAGAAACTTCTTCCAGGTCTCCCACATGAGTGCAGGGGCTCTACCACTTTGGTCGTGCTCTGCTGCTTTCCCAGGCACATAAGCTGGATAGGAAGTAGAGGAGCAGGGACTCGAACCAGCACCCATATGAGATGCCAGCGCCACAGATGGTAGCTTTCCAGCTAAGCCACCACACTGGCCCCAGAAAAGAGATAAGAGAACGATTTCACTTCGGAATTACCTTGATTTCTTCAAAAAAATGTGCAGTTTCTCCTTCTATGATTGGCTGTAACATCTGACCCCTTCGCTTGGTAGATGGAGATCCCTGTAACAATAATATCAAGTTTTATAGATGAAACATTTCCAGAGGTTACAGGCATTTGGCACAGTGCTTAAGATACCACTTTGGGGGCCGGCGCTGTGGCGCAGCGGGTTAACACCCTGGCCTGAGGCGACGGCATCCCATATGGGCACCGGTTCTAGTACCGGCTGCTCCACTTCTGATCGAACTCTCTGCTATGGCCTGGGAAAGCAGTACAAGATGACCCAAGTCCTTGGGACCCTGCACCTGCGTGGGAGACCCAGAAGAATCTCCTGGCTTCGGATTGGCGCAGCTCTGGCCATTGCGGCCAACTGGGGAGTGAACCATCAGATGGAAGACCTCTCTCTCTATCTACTTCTCCTCTCTTTGTGTAACTCTGACTTTCAAATAAATAAATAAACCTTAAAAAAAAAAAAAAAAAGATACCACTTGGGACATCATCCCATACTGGAATGCTTGGGTTCAAGTTCCAGCTCGACAGCAGTGATGGCTCAAGAAATTGGGTGCCTATACTCATGTGGGAAACCCAAACTGAGTTCCTAGCTCCTGGCTTCAGTCCCTAACACAGGCACTTGAGGAATGAACTAGCAGATGATTCATTTTTAAAAAGAGTCTTAGTGCAGGTATTTGGTGTAGTGGTTAAGACCCAGCCTGGAACACACAGATTCAAGTCCCAGAGCTCCACTTCCAATTCTGTTTTCCTGCTGGGAGGCAGCAGGTGATGGCTGAACTAGCTGGGAACCTGCGACTCACATCGGACACCTGGATTGAGTTCCTGGCTTCTGGTTTTGGCTTGGCTGAGCACCAGATGTGATGGGCATTTGAGGAGTGAACTAGTGGATGGTAGATCTCTCTCTTCTTTCAAATAGATTAAACAAATAAATATTTCTAAGCTAAATGAATTTAAAATAGCTATGAACTTTTTTGGTCTGAAGATCCTTTTACTTTTCTTTTTAAGGTGGTTATTTATTTGAAAGGTAGAGCAAGGGGAGAAGGGACTGGAGAGAGATCTTTCATCCACTGGATGGTTCACTCCCCAAGAAGAATGTGGTCTGGAGCTAGTGCTATACAGTGTGTAAAGCCGCTGCCTGAAGCTTCGGCATCCCATATGGGCACTGGTTGGAATCCCACCTGTTCCACTTCCCATCTAGCTCCCTTCTAATGTGCCTAGAAAGCAGAAGATGGTCCAACTATTTGGGTCCCTGTACACACATGGGAGACCTGGAAGAAGCTCCTGGGTCTTGGCTTCACATCATCCCAGCTCCAACCATTAAGACCACGTGGGTGAGATCTCTCTCTCTCTCTCTCTCTCACTCTCTCTCACTCTCTCTGTAACTCTGCCTTTCAAATAAAATAAATAAATCTTTTAAAAAATTTTAAGCCAGGAGCCAGGAACTCCACCCTGGTCTCCCACATGGATGACATGGACCCACATACTTGTGGGCCATTTTCCACTTCCCTCCCAAATAAGTTATCAGGGACCTGGATCAGAAGTGAAGTAGCTGAGACTCAAACCAGTACTCTGATATGGGAAGCCAGCACTGAAGATGGCAGCTAACCCACTGTGCCACAACACTGACTCCCCTTTTACATTTCTTTTTTTTTTTTAATGCAGCTTTACTAAGATACTTACCATAAAATATGCCCTCTTATAACATACAATTCAGTGGTTGTTGTAAGATTCACATAGTTTTGCAACCATCACTACTATCTAATTCCAGAAATTTTTTTTAAAGATTTATTTATTTGAAAGGCAGAGTTACACAGAGAGAAGGGGAGGCAGAGAGAGAGAGAGAGAGAGAGAGAGAGAGAGAGGTCTTCCATCCGCTGGTTCACTCCTCAGATGGCTGCTACGGCCAGAGCTGCGCCAATCCAAAGCCAGGAGCCAGGAGCTTCTTCCCTGACTCCCATGCTGGTGCGGGGCACAAGACCTGGGCCACCTTCTACTGCTTTCCCAGGCCATAGCAGAGAGCTGGGTCAGAAGTAGAGCAGCTGGGTCTTGAACTGGCGTCCATATGGGATGCCAGTGCTTCAGGCCAGGGCGTTAACCTACTGAGCCACAGCACCGGCCCCTACAAAACATTTTATCACCTCAAAAGAGACCCTATGCCCATTAACTGTCACTCATTTCTCTCCCAGCCTGGACAAACATTAATCTACTTTCTGTGTGTTCCCATATTCTAAATATTTCATATACTCATAAATGGAATCATAAAATGTAGTATGGCTTGTTTAATATAACATGTTTTCAAGGCTCACCCATGTTATGCTATGTATCAATATTCCACTTCGTTTTATAGGTTAATAAAATGATATTCCAGTGTGTAGATATATCTCACATTTATCCACCATTAGCTGATAGAGAATTCAGCTATTTCCACTTTTTTGCCTACCATGAATAATACTGCCATGAACTCTTGTGTAGTTTTTGTGAGCACATTTTTAATTCCAACTGATATTTATCTGGGAGAATTGCTAGGTCGTATCTTGTGTGTGTGTGTGTGTGTGTGTGTGTGTGTGTTTGGACAGAGTGGACAGGAGAGAGAGACAGAGAGAAAGGTCTTCCTTTGCCATTGGTTCACCCCACAATGGTCGCTGCAACCAGCACACCACCCTGATCCAAAGCCAGGAGCCAGGTGCTTCTCTTGGTCTCCCATGCGGGTGCAGGGCCCAAGCACTTGGGCCATCCTCCACTGCACCCCCAGGCCACAGCAGAGAGCTGGCCTGGAAGAGGGGCAACTGGGACAGAATCTGGCGCCCCAACCAGGACTAGAACCTGGGGTGCCGGCGCTGCAGGCGGAGGATTAGCCTATTGAGCGCGGCGCCAGCCTACTAGGTCGTATCTTTTGAATAACTGAGTCATATACTTTGAAGAGCTGCCAAACAGTAACTACATCAATTTACATTCCTGCCAGCACTGTATGAGGGTTCCAATTCTCCATATCCTCACAAACACTATTACCATAGTTTTAAAAATATATATATTTTGCCATTTTATTATAAATTTCAAATAATACAGAGAAATACAAAGGGTATTTCAATGACCACACACAGATTTAACAATGTTTAGCATTTTGTCATATGATCTTTATATGGAAATGTATGTATACACACACACTTTTTTAAGCAAAGGTAGGGAAATGTTAATATTACCTAATATGTAATTAATGACAAAGATCATCAAATGAAGACACATGGTATATTATTATGTAAGGGGTAAAATTCAGTAAAAGCAATTATAAATATCCATGTACCAAATAATATGCCATTCACCCTGCTATTTACTATAAATATGTGTGATTGTGCACATAGATATTTACAACAGAATGGACATGGAGATCATTACACTAAATGAAATAAGCCAGACACAAAAAGATAAATATCACATTACTTTCTCTCATGTGATCATCATGATGCCTATTCCAAAACTAATGCACTTAAATGGAAAGAAACTATGCAAATCTGAAATACAAGTTTTTTTCATTCTAGTTCCTCCACTTAACAAGTATATAACTTTGAACAAACCACCAGGGAAATACAGTTTTAACAGTTTGCCTGTTACAATTTTACATGTCAATATTTAATGACATAAGCATACATAAAATGCTTACAAAGTACCTTGAAGATACTAACAGCACTTACCAATGTCTTATTTTTTTTCCTTAAGATTTATTTATTTATTTGAAAGTCAGAGTTCTATATACAGAGTGATCTTCCACCTGTTGGTTTACTCCCCAAATGGCTACAAGGAGCCAGGGGCTTCATCCAGGTCTCCCATGTGGATGTCAGGGGCCCAAACAACTTGGGTCATCCTCTGCTATTTTTTCAGGCCATTAACAGGGAGCTGGATCAGAAGTGGAGCAGCAGAGACATGAATTGTCACCTATATAGGAAGTTGTCATCGCAGGTGGTGGCTTTACCTGCTATGCCACAATGCTGGTCTCCTGTTTCTTACTCTGTTTTGTTTTTTTGTTTTTGTATTTTGGACAGGCAGAGTGGACAGTGAGAGAGAGACACAGAGAGAAAGGTCTTCCTTTGCCATTGGTTCACCTTCCAATGGCCGCCACGGCTGGCATGCTGCGCCGGTGCACCGCGCTGATCCGATGGCAAGAGCCAGGTGCTTCTCCTGATCTCCCACGCGGGTGCAGGGCCCAAGCATCCTCCACTGCACTCACTGGCCATAGCAGAGAGCGGGCCTGGAAGAGGGGCAACCGGGAAAGAATCCAGTGCCCTGACCGGGACTAGAACCCGGTGTGCCGGCACCGCTAGGCGGAGGATTAGCCTATTGAGCCGTGGCACCGGCCCAGTTTCTTACTCTTTTAAAATCAATAATCTCACAACAATAATTCTACCTTGGCTATGTACTTCTCCAATATACTATCCTAACAATTTCCTTTTGAAAAGTACATCTGGGTAAAATGAACCAGAGAAACGTTTGCTTGCTTTACTTACAAGAATAGGAGTGATGCTAGCTCTTGTCAGCATCTGTTTTACAAGCCGGTACCTATCATAAAGGGGTTTAACAATGTGCCTTTCTTCCCTGGTCACCTGAAACAAGAAAAAAGGAAATCACTTCATCATCAGAAATCTAAAATATCCGGAACAATAAGCAATATGATCCACTTCCACCCAAATTTAAAATTTTATATTTAATAAACAAGCAGTTCCCCAGTTACAGGGAACACTGCTCTATCAAACAGCTCTGAAGAATCTATGCCACAAAAGTGAGTCACACTCTTTTTTAATACAGGAAATCGCATCTTTTTTAGGGAGAGACATTACCGGCCTTCCATGTTGACTTTCATAGTAAAGAAGACTTTTCTGGAGAGAAGTTTTCTCTTCTACCAAATGATCTTTTGTCATTTTCTAGAATTAAAAAAAAAAATTATTTTTCACTTCTATTGACACCACTAATTATTCACATCACTCCAAAAATGCAAGTAGTTTGGTTGAAAGGGCAGACCCATTGCCTACCTAGCCCAAGTCAACACACCCTTTATGGATTTGCCAGCAGCATTTTCAGTCTCCTATGGAATCTGGCCTTTAGTAGACAGATATCAATCCCATGATGGCTCAACTGAAGTTTCCTCTGAATAAATTATGAATACTTGCTTGGGTGAGTTATATAACCCGTTTTTTTTTTTGTTTTTTTTTTTTTGTTTGTTTGTTTTTTTTTTTTGACAGGCAGAGTGGACAGTGAGAGAGAGAGACAGAGAGAGAAAGGTCTTCCTTTGCCGTTGGTTCACCCTCCAATGGCCGCCGCTGCAGCCGGCGCACCGCGCTGATCTGATGGCAGGAGCCAGGATCCAGGTGCTTTTCCTGGTCTCCCATGGGGTGCAGGGCCCAAGCACCTGGGCCATCCTCCACTGCACTCCCTGGCCATAGCAGAGAGCTGGCCTGGAAGAGGGGCAACCGGGACAGAATCCGGCGCCCTGACCGGGACTAGAACCCGGTGTGCCGGCGCCGCAAGGTGGAGGATTAGCCTATTGAGCCACGGCGCCGGCCAATATATAACCCGTTTGTATTCAATATCCTGATCTATAAAACAGGAAAACTTCATCCTACCACAAAAAAGGCTGTAACTGAGGACTAAATAAGTTAATATATGGAAAGCATTGACAATAGTGCCTACCTAGCACACAGTAAGCATACAGAGTTGTTTGGAATTTAATGTTGCACAGTCTATTATTAGTGTAAAGAATAATGAACATACATATACCCTACACATACATAGTCACAGGTCTTATCCAGTATTTCTAAATTAATTTTAAAGATTTATTTATTTATTTGAAAGGCAGAGAGAGAAGGAGGAGGAAAGGGAAAGAGAGGGATGGTGGGAGAGAAAGACATACAATCTTCCATCTGCTGGTCCACTCCCCAAATATATGGGCCAGAGCTGGGCCAGCCTGAAGGCAGGAGCTTGAACTGGGTCTCCCAGGTCGGTGCAAGGCCTCAAGGAGTTGGGGTCATCATCTGTGGCTTTCCCAAGCACATCAGCAAGGAGCTCGATCAGAAGTGGAGCAGCCAAGACAAAGCAGCACCTACATGGGATGCCAGCCCTGCAGGCAGCAGCTTAACACACTGGGCCACAGTGCTGGCCTGCTCCTAAATTATTTTTTAAAACCTAGCAGTAGTACTGTGGAAAGATCTTTAAAAAAAAAAAAAAAAAAAGAGCCCAACAATGCCAAGTTGTGACCTGACTAGACTATACACACTGTAATACTCTTCTCACATCTACCAGTCTCCCCAGGATAGAGTAGGGCAAGACTTCCCAAACTTATTTGTCCACAAAACCTTCCTCCTTTGTCCTTTAGAATCTCTTATAAACATGGCAACGAAACGACATTTCAAAGAATATCCTTCTTGGCTTGTGCTGCGGATCAATAGGCTAATCCTCCGCCTGCAGCACCAGCATACCAGGTACCAGCACGCCAGGTTCTAGTCCCGGTCGGGGCGCCAGATTCTGTCCCGATTGTTCCTCTTCCAGTCCAGCTCTCTGCTGTGGCCTGGGAGTGCAGTGGAGGATGGCCCAAGTGCTTGGGCCCTGCACCTGCATGGGAGACCAGGAGAAGCACCTCGCTCCTGGCTTCAGATCAGTGCCGTGCACCAGCTGCAGCGGCCATTAGGGGGTGAACCAACAGAAAAAGAAGACCTTTCTTTCTGTCTCTCTCACTGTCCACTCTGCCTGTCCCAAAATAAATAAATAAATAAATAAATAAATAAATAAATATTCCTTCTTGGGTGGGACTGGAGTTATAAAACAGCTGCTCAAGCCACTTGCCTAAAACGCTGGCATCCCATGTTGAAGTGCTAATTTGAGTCCTGGCCTGGGAAAGCAGCAGAAGATGGCCCAAAGACTTGGGACCCTGTCACCCACACTGGAGAACTGGATAGAGTTCCTGACTACTGCCTTCAGTTGGTCCCAGCCCTAGCTGTTGCAGCCATGTGAAGAGTGAACCAGTGGACAGAAGATCTCTGTTTCTCCCTCCACTGTCACTCTGCCTTTCAAATAAATAAAAATTAAAAATTCTTCAAGGGGATGGCACTGTGGCGTACCAAGCAAAGCCACACAGCCTCCAATGCCAGCATCCCATATGCTTGACAGTTCCAGTCCCAGTTGCTCCACTTCCAATCCAACTCTGTGCTAATATGCCTGGGAAAGAAAGTGGAAAACACCCCCAGTCCTTGAGCTCCTGCACCCACATGGGAGACCAGAATAAAGCCTCTGGCTCCTGGTTTCAGCCTGGCCCAGTCTCAGCCACTGGGGCCACTTGGGGAGTGAACCAGCAGATGGAAGACCTCTTAACTCTACCCCTCTCTCTCTCTCTCTCTCTCTCTGTGTAACTCTTTCTCTCCTTTTTTTTTATTTTTTAATTTATTTGACAGGTAGAGTTGTAGACAGTGAGAGAGAGACAGAGAGAGAAAGGTCTTCCTTCCGTTGGTTCACCCTGCAAATGGCCGCCACAGTCGGTGCTGTGCCGATCCGAAGCCAAGAGCCAGGTGCTTCCTCCTGGTCTCCCATGCGGGTGCAGGGGCCCAAGCACTTAGGCCATCCTCTACCGCCCTCCCAGGCCACAGCAGAGAGCTGGACTGGAAGAGGAACAGCTGGGACCAGAACCCGGCGCCCATACGGGATGCCAGCGCCGCAGGTGGAGGATTAACCAAGTGAGCCACGAGCCAGCCCCAACTCTGCCTTTCAAATAAGTAATTAGATCTTTGGGGCTGGCGCTGTGATGCAGGGGGTTAAAGCCCTGGCCTGAAGCATCAGCATCCCATATGGGCGCCGGTTCTAGTCCTGGCTACTCCTTTTCCAATCCAGCTCTCTGCTATGGCCTGGGAAAGCAGTAGAAGACGGCCCAAGTCCTTGGGCCCCTGTACCCATGTGGTAGACCCAGAAGAAGTTCCTGGCTCCTGGCTTCGGATCAGCACAGCTCTGGCTGTTGCGACCATCTAGGGAGTGAACCAGCAGATGGAAGACCTCTTTCTATCTCTCTGCCTCTCCTCCCTCTGTGTAACTCTTTCAAATAAAAAAATCTTTTTTTAAAAAACTAGATCTTAAAAAAAACATTGAAGAATGAAAGGGAAATCAAAAAATACCCTTCAAAACTAGACCAAATTAACTCTCTACTTATTTCTAGGGAGTAGTTAATACTACCCCATCTCTCACCATAGTGAGAATGAAAATACAAGATGTTTAAAAAAAAAAAAAAAAAAGACTGCATAGTATCTTCCCATAATAAGTATCACTCTAGATTATATACATTGAGTAGAGAACAGCTGAGTATAGACTCTATGGAATATTGCAATTTCAATCTCAAATTTGAATCTCAAGCCTAGGACAATGCATTCAAGTAAAGCTCATCCAATTAAAATCTTTTTTTAAAGATTCATTTATTTATTTGAAAGGCAGAGTTACAGAGAGACAGAGGAGAGAGAGAGGTCTTCCATCCACTGGTTCACTCCCCAAATGGCAGCAATGGCTGGAACTGGGTCAATCCAAAGCCAGGAACCAGGAGCTTCTTCTAGGTCTCCCCTATGAGTGCAGGGGCCAAGGGCTTTGGCTATCTTCTACTGCTCTCCCGGGCCCCAGCAGAGAGACTTGAACCCAGTGCCCATTTGGGATGCAAGCACTGCAGACAATGGCCCCTGAAATCTCTTTATAGGAGGGAAAGAAATGCCAGGCAGAGGTGTTCTAACTAGAAACTTAAAAAGTAAAAGGGAGCAAGCATGTGGTGGGGCAGTTAAGTCACTACTTGAGATACTGGTATCCCATATTGGAGTGCCTGGGTTTGAATCCTGTCTATTTCACTTCCAATCCAGCTTCCTGTTCAAGTGTACCCTGGGAGGCAGCAGGTAATGGCTCAAATACTTCGATTTCTGCAACCAGTTAGAGATCTGAACCCTGACTATGGTAGGCACTTGGGAAGTGACACAGCAGATGGAAGATCTATCTGTGTCTTTCAAATCAAATTAAAATATATCTTTTCTTGGCCGGCACCGCGGCTCAATAGGCTAACCCTCCGCCTAGTGGCGCCGACACACCGGGTTCTAGTCCCAGTCGGGGCGCCGGATTCTGTCCCGGTTGCCCCTCTTCCAGGCCAGCTCTCTGCTATGGCCTGGGAGTGCAGTAGAGGATGGCCCAAGTGCTTGGGCCCTGCACCCCATGGGAGACCAGGATAAGCACCTGGCTCCTGGCTTCGGATCAGCGCCGTGCGCCGGCCGCAGTGGCAACTGGAGGGTGAACCAACGGCAAAGGAAGACCTTTCTCTCTGTCTCTCTCTCTCTCACTGTCCACTCTGCCTGTAGGAAGACCTTTCTCTCTCTCTCTCTCTCTCACTGTCCACTCTGCCTGCAAAAAAAAAAAAAAAATAAATATATATATATATATATACATACACACACACACACACACACATATATATATATATCTTTTCTTTTCAAGCAAAAGACAAGTTAGAGGGAAGAGAGGCAGAAGAATGATTAATTCTGCTGTGTTTCAGGGAGACAAAGACTCCATTATTGAGCTGACCAGAGGTGTATGTATTCTTGTCAGGACGTGCCATCACTCGCCATCATCTCAGAAGTTCACCTGAGAACACTTACTCTTGACTTTCTCCCAGTAAATCTCATCTGATAAATTATCTGAGTTGCCAAGTGCCTTGAAAAGGACTACCCAGGCACAGAATATTACTATAGTGTGGTTCTTCAAAAAACGGTAATTCGGGGCCAGTGCTATGGCATGGAAGTGTGAATCTCAGCCTGCAGTAGTGGCCTCCTATACGGCTACCAGATTGAGTCCTGGCTGTTCCATTTCCAATCCAGCTCCCTGCTATTTCCGCCTTTCAAATAAACAATACTTAAAAATAAAATGGTGGCTCCTTTTAAAAAATTAATTCATTTAATCCGGATAACAACCTTAATCAATTTGTTTTCTAATGACCACATACATCAAAGGGTTGTTAAAGGGACTGAGCGGCAGAATGCATATAATATAACCAGTCAATACCTGGATTAGCTCAACAGCAATAGCTAATAAGAGACTACACCAGGATTCAAATTCAGGTCTCTTTTTTCTACTCTTCTTCTTTTTTTTGTTAAGAGATTTATTTATTTATTTGAAAGGCAGAGTGAGAGAGAGAGAGAGAGAGAGCAAGCGAGCGAGCAGTAGAGAGTAACATCTCCCATCTTCTGGTTCACTCCCCAAATGGCCAAAATGGCCACAGCTGGACTGATTGGAAGTTAGGAGCCAAAAATTTCTTCTGGGTCTCCCATACAGGGGCAGGGGTTCATGAACTGGGGCCATCTTCCACTGCTCTACCAGGCACATTAGAAGGGAGCTGGATTGGAAATGGAGCAGCCAGGACTCAAACCAGCACCCATAGGGGATACCAGTGCAGCAGATGGTGGCTTTACCTGCTATGCCATAGAGCTGGCCCCTCTCTTTCATGCTTTTACAGAATCATCTTGCCAATTGCACCCAATACAAATGAAATTAACTCCAGTTTTTTTTTAGTTTTATTTATTTAACTCAATCCCTGAAAGACCTGGCACTTCTGGCATGCTGATACAAGCACCTTCCCAAATCTGCAAATTTGAAGAACAAACTCAGGCCAGACAGACTACCTAGATTATATTACTGTGGTAATTATTTTGCTTCAGAAATTCTAAAGGCTATCTGGGCAAAAAGTCGTAACTTAAGATAACCTTGATATCTTCTGGAAGACACCTCTCAGCACGTTTTTCTTTCAGTCTCTTCAAAATAAGTTCAAGGGTTGCTTCTTTAGATGGCTTCTTCTCTTTCTGAATGATTCTGGATTCATCCTCATTCTCCTCCTCTTCATGGTCTAGAGAAGAACCAAAGCTTTTTGGAAGAGTGTTACTACGTGGACGTGTCTGAGGTACAAATTCTCCATCAGAGCTTTTGTGCTTTGCATCTACGTTTCAGAAACAAGAGGAGACAGCAATAAAGACTGAGGTAAGGTACAATGAGATCCGGTCAAAAAAAAACAAGATATGCTCAGATATTTTAACATTACATAAAATATTTAAATTACATAGACAGCAAAAGAGTCTCTTCATCCTTTCAACTAGTATTCTTAGAAAGCCTGTTATACAGCAGGATGCTCTTTAGAGCACTGGAGCTACAGTAATAAACAAAATACAGACTGTCCTCACGACGTACATATTCAGAGAAGGAAAACCAAGAACCTAGTAATCAGATTACTAAAATAATTTCAAAGGCTACTAACTACTGTATGAAGGTAAACCAAGATGGAGTCAAAGTGCAAAAAAAAGAGTGTGTTTTGTGAAGGAGCAATTACATTATATATGATTGACAAAGAAGCCTTTCTGAATGATGGAGCAAGAAGGAAACCAGCTAGCAGACAGCACTTAAGGAAGAGCATTCGTCCCCAACTGAGGAAAACACCAATGCAAAAGCCCTAAAGTTCGGCATGTTTAAAAAACAAAAAATGAGATGAAAGTGAAGAAATTGGCAATAGGCAGGGTGTGCAAGGCCTTGAAAAATACAGTAAAAGGTTTGGAATTTATTCCAAGTGGAAAGGGAAGCCCATGAAAGACAAACAAGGGGGCAACACGATTCTTCAGAAGATAATTCTGGCTGCTTGGCAGAGGATGAACTATAGGAATATCAAGTAGAAGAAAAATATAGAACTATGAGGCTAATTCTATGTAATTTAATGATGCCAATTAGTAATATAACAAGGTAGTGATCTTCACTGATAGGTAGAAACTGGCATTTAAACAAGGAAATGTTTAACATAATTGTAGGGGGAAATATTCTAAAGAAGAATTATGAAAAATTATTTAACAACAAGAATGTAAACTCCATGACAATATGGACAGTGTCTGTACTTCTCACTGCTATAACTTCAGTTGTCTTCTTGCCTGCAAAGTGCTTTTACCAAACAAATACTAATATTACTGGGGCCCGTGCTGTGGTGCAGCAGGTTAAGCCATTGCCTGCAATGCCAGCATCCCATATGGGCACCTGTTTGAGTCCCAGCTGGTTCACTTCTGATCCAGCTCCTTGCTAATGTGCCTGGGAAAGTAGCAGAAAATGGCCCAAGTCCTTGGGACCCTTTTACCTAAGTGAAGCTCCTGACTTTGGTGTGGCCCAGTCCTAGCCATTGTGGGCATCTGAGGAGTTAACCAGCAGATAAAGGCCTCCCTTTCTTTCTCTCTCTCCGTAACTCTGCCTTTCAAATAAATAAAATAAATTAAAAAAAAAAAAAGAGTATTACTGAATAAATTTAAATGAGTAAAACTAAGATCAAAGACTTGACAAAGATAATTTTTTAAGTATTAAGAAATTAGCACAAAACATTCACAAAGTATATATGCCTTAACTGACACAAGACACACAAAGTCTAGTTTCTGATTCAAGAAGACTTAAAACTTAAGTCTTTGCAGTATTAGCCACTTACTATGATCAGATTTAGTCTTGGACGAAATATCCACCAAAAAATCCTAGTGAAATACCTACCAAAACCTCAAACTGCTTAATGAATGAAATATAGTTCAGATAAATTTTGTGCCATCAGTTCACTTAAGGAATATATGGTATAGGGTATATTTCAAAAGAGTATTACTAATTAAAAATAAAGACGTTTGAAAGGATACAAATAATACTCCAGTTTCTCTTCAGATCATATAAACCTTTCACCTTGTACTAAAGAAAGGATATAATATAGTACTACATATTTCCCATTTTTGTACACAACTTTGACCTTAAGAACTAAAGGAAACTTTTTGCTATAAAGTGCTCAAAATTTTAAATCATCAAAATCATAGCTGTAACTCCTAGAGATATTATAACAGACATTTCAAAACTGCAATTACAAAACTGCACATCTTATACCTTTAATTTGTTTCCGCAGTTTAGTGAGCTCTGTCATCCATTTTAATACCTTTGGATTGGCTGCTATATCACTGTAGGAGGGCTGAAAAATTAAAAAGCAGAATCACTAATAGTTTTAAGGTAAGCAAAGGCTATGCTAATTTATGCCAAACTGTATTTTATAGTTCCTACTTAATTGGATATGGCAGGACATTATATAAAACCCTCCCAGAGCAGGTAACTGGCAGAAGCTAGATGCGAACGAGTCTTCTGACTCCAAGTATGACTCTTCATACACCACATGTTCTTACAATTCAATCAATCTCCCCTCCTCCCACCTTTCCTCTCTCCCTCTTCTCTTAGTACTTATGGTTTTTGACAGAGTGGAAATGACAGCACGACTTATCAACATGAAGTATTTGCACCAGTAGAAATATAAGACAAGTGGTACAACAGCAGGAATATTGGCCTGGAAATCAGTAAGTGAAAGACCTATCTGATCTCAGCTCCATATGATCACTCAGATTCATTCCCTTTGTCAGGACACAGCTGAACTCCTGCTCTCTGATGGCCCTCCTCCCAGTTCTAACACAGAATCCACTCGGGACAACACTATAAATTTACCTTGCTATTTCTTTCCCTTTCAAACTGCTCTTCAAATTGTCTGATTTTTTTCTGCAGTTTCTTGACCAGCTGATAAGGTGTTCTGTCTTCTCTTTTTTCCTCTTTTGAACTAAAGGATGATCTTCGAATCCTGAATTAAAATGAAGGGCCAACTCTTTGTTAGTTGAATTTTTAAGCAGCATTAAACACTATTACCAACAAGTACCTCTTTAAAGTGAAATTAAGTCCCTAATATACAGTTTGGATATACAGTAAAAAGGAGCACAATGGTATGACAGCCCAAAAAATAAGCGAACATTAAATGGATTCACTTAAAACTTGTCTGGACAGAGGCAGAAAAGAAAGGTATGCAGCAACTCAGAGCTCTTTTAAAGTCTTCAAACTTTAAAGGCAAGTTTTTTTTAAAAAAAGCAAATTTTTAACATTCAGAATCAATGTAAAGGTTGGACAAAAAAAAAGAGGAGCTGTTCAGCTGCACTTACTGCTATCCTTTCAAGATTTGTATCTCCATCAAGAATGAATGAATAAGGAAATGTCTATTCATGAGCAAACCCCAGAAACTACACCTCAATAAACTCAGAATTTAACAGTAGGGCCCAACAAATAAGTTAATACAATGTACTTCAGGGGCCTGCGATATAGTGTAGCAGTTGAAGAGGAGCCCACATGGTTCGAGTCCTGGCTGCCCACTTCCCATCCAGCTCCCTGCTAATGACTTGAGAAAGCAGTGGAGGATGGCCAAAGTGCTTGGTTGGGCCCCTGCACCCACATGGGAGACCATGATTAAGTTCCTTATTCCTGGCTTCAGAAAGGCCCAGCTTCAGCCATTGTGGCCATTTCAGGAATGAACCAGCAGATGGAAGATTGATCTCTCTCTCTCTCTCTCTCTCTCTCTCTCTGCCTTTCAAGCAAATAAATAAATCTTCCCCCCACACACAAAAAAGCTTCATGAAACGTGAAAAAACTTTAAACTATAGGCCTGAGTGACTAAATCTCTAAAACAGCAGTCACCTGTCCTAAGTACTTTAAAATCATATATATACCTAGCAAAAGAAAGCGCTTTAGATGAGGAATCCAACGTTTCTGGATCATGTAGGAAACGCTGGCTCTGCCCAAAATCTAAACTGCGGTGTGCTAACACTGGAGGACAGTCCTCTTCCAGAGGATGGTGATTCATTCTTCCAGCCTGGGGAGACAGCTGAGCTTCTCCAGACTCACAGTCTTCCTGCCAAGACTTAAAAGCAGGAAATGGCTCTGTAAAACAAAGACAAGGAGTAGTACCATGGATCTCCTGTTCCATGTACGGAAAAATTCACCAAATATTAGCTACATGTTCTTCAAGTCACATCATTATGTGGTAGTTCACATATCATACGTATGTATATACTTTTTAAATTATGCAAGGATCATCATAAAGCCCACTATAGTTTAAAAGGATCAGAGCTTTTGTTTTAGAAAAGTTTTATTTTCACATAAGGAGTTACACCTTAAGTTTCTGAATCCACTGGCAAAAGGCAAGAAAAGACACTGTCAAGCTCTTTAAAACTATTTAATCTGAAGATTCTAACTTAATATTCCAAAGATATTGCATAGAAAAATGTTACTTTTCAATATGGGAAAAGTCTTTATTTAGAACAGTAAAAATCAACAGTCTTTCAACAGGAATTCAATTTAAAAGCAAAATGTTAGGCCGGCGCCGCAGCTCACTAGGCTAATCCTCCACCTAGCGGCGCCGGCACACCGGGTTCTAGTCCCGGTCAGGGCACCGGATTCTGTCCCGGTTGCCCCTTTTCCAGGCCAGCTCTCTGCTGTGGCCCGGGAGTGCAGCGGAGGATGGCCCAAGTGCTTGGGCCCTGCACCCCATGGGAGACCAGGATAAGCACCTGGCTCCTGGCTTCGGATCAGCGTGGTGCGCCGGCTGCGGTGGCCATTGGAGGGTGAACCAACGGCAAAGGAAGGCCTGTCTCTCTGTCTCTCTCTCTCACTGTCCACTCTGCCTGTCAAAAAAAAAAAAAAAAAAAAGGCAAGCAAAATGTTGTCAGGTTTATGAGTTGTCCCCTCACTGTCCAGTAACTAGTTTAGAATGTGGGAGCTCTTCCCTATTTTACAGAGAACACTAACAGTGCCCTCTGATTTCAGAAATATTCTAACATTCCAAATGAGGCACTAACTCAGCTGATAGCATCTGATCTCTACCATTAAACCGTGATGATTATCTTCTGTTACGGGACTTCCATGTATAACATGTATTATAGTGATTACATAGCCAATAGTATTATCAGGACATAACTTAATAGTACTAGTTCTTTTTAAGAGTATTTATTTTATTGGAATTATTCTGAATATTTTTCACATGAAACCATGTTAATATATTTGATGTCTGCACACAAAAGCTCTGATTACATACAGAATATGGATCATACATATAATCCACAGATACACTCCAAATACAAAACTAACTTTAAGCATCACTGGAGGGAAGGGGGGAGCTTCCACATTCATACACCAGTCTTCTTTATAACTAAAATTTAAAACTTAGATGATATGGCTATTAACATTAGCAAAAATGAAAACAAAGATTGCTTGACAGTGTCAAATTTCCAGTGATTTTTTTTTTTACACAGTGTCTAGGATGACTACTTCAGTGACTTAGTTTAACTTTATACATTAGCAATTTTAAAACATCACCTTCTTTTCACAGTATTAATATAATTTAGTTTGTTTTTAAAGCTCAAATCAATGTGGTAACTAAAAACTGGTTACAAAGCGTGCAATCCCATAATAAATCCAGCAATAAAGTGATTTTTCAAAGCAACCCTTGTACCTGCGTCCCAGCAAACAAGTAACTGGTAATAAGCATTTTATGAAAAAATCTCCTGTTTCATGAAAAGAGGAAAAGTAACAAAAACCACTTTTTCTGGGTATCATTTTTAACCCGGAACAGTTTTCCTAAGATTTGGGGGACAGCAGGAGAAGGGCTAATAAAGACAAACAAAGTGAACCACAAAAAGGCAGAAAACTGAACTATGGTGAACCATACTTACCCTCCCCATCTCTCTGCAGATGCATTGTTTTGAAATCAATGAGGGGGAAAGTGATAGGGCATGACGCTAATAAAATGGAAAAAATGGCAAAAAATACTAAAGTGAACACACGGCACAGTCAGAACAAACCATACACATAACACAAAGCCAAAGATACCAAAAACATTTCCCTAAAATCGGTTAGGCTTTCTGCTCAAAATCTTTTTTCAAAGAAATTACTATGAACCAAACTTTAACACAAACATAGAATTCCATTTCAACAAGTAAAGCAGGAAAAAAAATATCAAAGTAGTGCTGTTTTTTTAACTCACAACTGAAAAAATAGAAACTTTTAATCAAGTACTATTTGAAACTTCAGTATAATTCATTTTGGGGAAAAAAAATCTCCTTTAGTTTGCCTTCTGAAAAGACCCTACTGTATTTCATTCCAGAGTTAGCAGTGAGTTAGCAGGAGAAAATCTGAAGGCAAGACAGTATCTACGTCCACTAAAAGCCAAGACTTTGTGAATAGCTGCTATAAATTCATATTGGAGGCCGGCGCCGCGGCTCACTTGGCTAATCCTCAACCTGTGGCGCCGGTACCCCAGGTTCTAGTTCCAGTTGGGGCACCAGATTCTGTCCTGGTTGCTCCTCTTCCAGTCCAGCTCTCTGCTGTGGCCTGGGAAGGCAGTAGAGGATGGCCCAAGTGCTTGGGCACACGCATGGGAGGCCAGGAGGAAGCACCTGGCTCCTGGCTTCAGATCGGTGCAGCACACCAGATGTAGCGGCCATTTGGGGGGTGAACCAACAGAAGGAAGACCTTTCTCTCTGTCTCTGTCTCTCTCTCTAACTCTGCCTGTCAAAAAAAAAAAAAAAAAAAAAAAAACACAAAACAAGGACTGATGGGAGTCCACAGACTACCTCCCTCCCCTGTAATAAACTGTAGGGTTTAAATTCTTGACAGGATAACAAACAAAACAAAACAACAGCAGCAACAAAAACCAGTCTAGCATGGGATTCTCTTTGGGGAAGCTTCCAGAAAGCTAAAACTAGACAGAGAATTTCTTATCTCCTCAGACAATAAAACAATCTTCCTGTGTGATTAAAATCTAAGATCAGGAACCTCAAGCCAACTATCATAAAAGACTACTTATTTGCATCTTCTAAAAAGAAAGGGCAAAAATGCTTTTTATAAGAATCCCTACTTTGTCTTATGGTTTTATAAGAATCCCTACTTTGTCTTATGGAGGCTCCTTTCCCTCAAGGCTCCAAGGGAAGCTATGGTGACCACAACTCCTTTTCAGTGACTATGCCATAAGAACTAACTAAAAAGGATATTTGATTTTACTTTTCACTAGTACAGTAACACATTCTCTAATTCTGGGAAGCATATTCATAAATTCTAAACATCCTGAATAACTGAGAACAATGCAAATGAAAGTTAAGTTCCTAATTTAGCCTAAGTTAAAAAACACATAAATATGCCAAAAAGCATCCAAACATGTAGCCCTAAGGGGAGAAAGGATAGACAGCAATAAAGATGGGATCATACACATATGACAGGCAAAAAAAACTAAGGCTAAGGACTTAGCCAGAGCTTAAAAAAAAAATGCCTACATCTTGAAAAAAATTTCAACCATGATCAGGTGAGCAGACTTACATTATGGCGACAAAAGGAGCTCATGGCATTAGTATTGCAATTCTTCTTGCTATTGCCACCACATGTCACGAGACAACTTGCCAAAGATCAGACAACCCAAGGATCTTCATTCAAGTAAACAAACATGTAATCCAGATTACAAGGTTTGAGTCCCTTATTCTCTGTTTATCTAGAAAGCTATGTGGGGACCAGTGCCTTGGCATAGCAGGTAAAAGCCACCACCTGTGGTGCTGGCATCCAGATGGGCACTGGTTCAAGTCCCAGCTGCTCCACTTCTAATCCAGCTCTCTGCTATGACCTGGGAAAGCTGTAGAAGGTGGCCCAAGTCCTTAGGTTCCCTCCACCCTCTTGGGAGACCCAGAAGAAGCTCCTGGCTCTGGCTCCTGGCTTCAGATCAGCCTAGTACCGGCCACTGCAGCAATCTAGGGAGCGAATCAGCCGATGAAAGACTTCTCTCTCTCTCTGCCTCTCTGTAACTCTGCCTTTCAAATAAATAAATAAATCTTTAAAAAAAAGAAAGAAAGGTAAGTGATCCAGGTCTCCTGGATCCAATTTTGGTGCTTCTTTCCCCTTTCCTCCAATATTTTATTTCAAAGTTTACAAATATACCATTAATAATTTATTATATTTGCTTTGTAACATTTATTTACCCCATTAATATATTTTTTTCCTGCAGATACTGGTTTATTTCCCCCATAAACACTCCAACATATATCAGTCACTGAAGTTAAATGTTTGTTCAGTTTTTGATTCTCTTAATATAAAAAAGAAACTTGAGGGGCTAACACTGTGGGGCAGCAGGTTAAGATGCCGTATGCAGGGCTGGCATCCTATATGGGCACCAGTTCAGGTCCCGGCTGCTCTGCTTCCAATCCAACTCCCTGCTAATATACTTGAGAAAGCAACTAAAGATGGCTAAAGGCCTTTGGGCCCCTGCATGTGAACCTGCATGGGAGACCAAAAAGAAGCTCCTGTCTCCTGGCTTCAGATCGGCCCAGATCTGGCTGCTGTAGCCATCCGGGGAGCAAACCAGCAGATGGAAGATCTGCTGCCTCTCCTCTCTCTCTGTAACTCTTTCAAATAAATAAATAAATCTTAAAAAAAAAAAAAAAAAGAGGGGTCAGCACTATGGGGAAGCAGGTAAAGCTGCTGCCTTCAGTGCCAGCATCCCATATGGGCGCCGGTTCAAGTCCCAGCTACTCCACTTCCGATCCAGCTCTTTGCTATGGCTTTGGAAAGTAGCAAAAGATGGCCCAAGTCCTTGGGCCACTGCATCCGCGTAGGAGACCCGGAAGAAGTTCCTGGCTTCAAATCAGCACAGCTCTGGCTGTTGCAGCCAATCGGGGAGTGAACCAGTGGATGGAAGACCTCTCTTTCTGCCTCTGCTTCTCTCTCTGTTTAACTCTGACTTCAATTAAATAACGATATATAATGAAATGCAAAAATGTTAAGTGTACATTTGCTAAGTTTTGAGAAGCATATAGGGGCCAGCACTGTGGCGCAGCGGGTTAACGCCCTGGCCTGAAGCACCGGCATCTCATATGGGCACCAGTTCGAGACCCCATATGGGCACCAGTTCAAGACCCGACTGCTCCTCTTCCAATCTAGCTCTCTGCTGTGGCCTAGGAAAGCAGTAAGAGATGGTCCAACTGCTTGGGTCCCTGCACCCACGTGGGAGACCTAGAGGAGGTTCCTGGCCCCTGGCTTCAGATGGGCGCAGTTCCGGCCATTGCAGCCAACTGAGGAGTGAACCATCAAATGGAAGACTTCTCTCTATCTCTCTGCCTCTCCTCTCTCTGTGTAACTCTAACTTTCAAATAAATAAATAAATCTTTAAAAAAAAAGAGAGAGAGAATGCATATATCCCTAATCCATGTTGCTTGCTTGTTAAATTTCTCTCCTTTGTGCAAATTCTTAGGGCTCTCCTTTCATACTTCAATAACTAATACAGAGATACAGGAGTATGCCACAACATTTGCTTAAAAGTGCCCTTTGTGGGGCCAACACTGTGGCATAGCAGGTAAAACCACCATCTGCAGTGCTAGCATCATGTATGGGCACCGGTTCGAGTCCCAGCTGCTCCACTTTCAATCCAGCTCTCTGCTAAGGCCTGGGAAAGCAGTAGAAGATGGCCAAAGTCCTTGAGCCCCTGCAGCCCTGCAGGAGACTTGGGAGAAGCTCCTGGCTCCTGGCTTCCGATCAGCCCAGCTCCAGCCGTTGCAGCCAACTGGGGAGTGAACCAGCAGATGGAAGACCTCTCTCTTGCTGCCTCTCCTTCTCTGTTTTTTTTTTTTTTTTAAAGACTTACCTTTATTTATTTGAAAGACGGAGTTACAGAGAGAGGTAGAGACAGAGAGAGAGGTCTTCCATCTGATGGTTCACTCCCCAGATGGCCTCAATGGCCAGAGCTGCGCCAATCCGCAGCCAGGAGCCAGGAGCTTCTACCAAGTCTCCCATGTGGGTGCAGGGGCCCAAAGACTTGGGCCATCTTCTACTGCTATTCCAGACCATAGCAGAGACCTGGATCAGAAGTAAAGCAGCCGAGACTAGAACCGGCGCACATATGGGATGCCAGCGCTTCAGGCCAGGGCATTAACCCGCTGTGCCACAGCGCCGGCCCCTGTGTAATTCTTTCAAATAAATAAATAAATCTTTAAAAAAAAAAAAAGTGCCCTTGAAGATAATCTTTTTTTTTTTTTTTTTTTGACAAGCAGAGTGGACAGTGAGAGAGAGAGACAGAGAGAAGATAATCTTTTAAAAAGGTGCTGATGATCAAAATGAAAAGGTAGCTAAATGTTCTTAGTTTAAACTGGTAAGACGACCAAGCCCAACACACTGGACGTTCAAAGACTGGGAGATTAACACTTGGTTTAAAAATTAACAAAGTCTATTCTGTGTATGCGCGTGTGTGTGTGTGTGTATGTGTATGTGTATGTGTGTGTGTGTGTGTGTTAATCCATTCTAACACCCATTTTCAAAACAACTGGATAAGATGAAAACTTTTAGTTCATACGCAATAGTTTTCCCACAATTTCCCCAGAGTATCTGAATAAAAACACTCAGAAGCTCATCTTATTTGAAAGAGAGAACAAAAGATCAGTAAGAATATGGCTATCCAGAAAAGGGCAGTCAGCATATTACTGCTTTGAGCAACTTGTTACAAATAACATTATCAGGAAAATAATGTGTGTGGGTAAAATTACCTTCCCATTTATCATCATCAGAAACATTCTTCAGATCTAAGCGTGGAATCTGGACACAGTCTGCTTCCTCTTGAGCATCAATACTTTGACTTCCACATACTTCGGATGCGGTATTGGCATTCAAATCACAGATCGTGCTACTAGAATCCTGTATTTTAAAATAAAGAATACATTTCACAGCCACGAAGCTTCTCACACCCAGGTTAAAAACAATCATCACATACCCATGTGTTTCATTAGTATACTGTGCCTATCCAGCCAGCTGACCCACTCCCATCTTGCAAACTATTTTCCAATATAAAGCTACAGTTTTATAACATGTTACTGAGAGACAAAGTATTGATCTTAAATTCAGGACAAGGTATTCATAACCAAAACTCTTTTAACCAAAAGTAGCAAACCAAGTTGTTGCTTAACTATAAAAAAATTGATAATTTTCATTTAAATTTCCTTTGAACCTAGGGCTGGCATTATGATACAGGTTAAGCGGCTGCTTGCAACACCAGCATCCCACAGTGGAGCAACAGAAAGGTTAGAGTCCCAACTGCTCTACTTCCGATCCCTGCTAATGTGCCTAGGAAGGCAATGGAGGATGACCCAAGTTCTTGGGCCCCTACCACACAAAAGGCAGACTCAGATGGAGTCCCAAACATTGAAGCCATCTGGGGAGCGAATCAGTGTCTCTCTCACTCACTCTGTTAATCTGCCTTTGAAATAAATAAACCTTAAATAAATAAATTTCCTTGAAACTTATCCACCCAAAAGTTATAGGGCAGATATAATAGATAGATTAAACCTATGCTACTGTAATAATAATAATAGTTCTTACCAGAATCAAGTGTGACCATTTATCACTGTCAAATAACAAATATTCTTTCCTAAAAATGTAAGTAAAGTTATTAGTATATTAAGAATTAAAAGGTTACTATCATTACATAATTCTTACCCAGATTCCTCTCTTGCCCAAAGCAATTAGCATTCACAATGAGAGAGGAGAAAATGACAGCTACATATAAGCCCATTCTTTGGAGCCCTATATCTGAAAATCACAATACTGAAAAGATCCACAGAATCACTTTAAGTTTAGAAAAATTAACTAACGTTTCCTACCACCCCACCCCTACAAAGCAACCCTCCAAAAAGAAAAGCCTCTATAAAAAAAGAAAAACGCATGCCCACAATATCTAAAACCAAAAAGAATGAGTATGTAATGGAAAAGATTGTGTAAAATAAAGTTTAGTTTTAAACAAATAAACAGCTTAATCTTCCCCATTCTGAGAGGTTTTTTTCTTTTTAAAGATTTTTAAAGCATAACTAGCTATGTCTTTTACTTTAAATCTGTGTTCTATCACAAGACGGTAACTACTTTTATACTTCTCTCCTCCAAATAAGAGTAACAGACAAAAAGCAAATTTTTAAAACTTCCTGTTCACATTTTATTCCCCCTGAAAAACAAACTCCTTCCTATTAAGAACAAGTGTTACAAGAAACCGTCCCAGACGATCTCTTCCTATTTTACCAATCAACAGAGCTTCAGCTACTTTAGAGTAAGTTATCAATACGCCAACTGTGGGAACATTCTTTCTCCAAAGACACTGTGGCAATTTACAGTAACACACACAGACGCTGCATCTAAATAGCAGAAACAGAATGTACACTTAGGAGATAGGCCTTGATATGAAAAGTCATCTTTTACAGATAAAATTACCCTAATGTTGCAGGGCATAAAAATGAACTAAATTCTCTGACAAGCTCAAATGCCTTCCTTTGCATTTGTGCAAGCATATAGCACGATGAATACATTTTACCCTAGCTGACTAAAAGGCCTAATCACCTAAATTTCAGAAACATGAGTGTTTAAACATGCAAAACATAATCCACCTAACCAAAGTGTTCTTGGGATCTAAAAACAAGTTTGCTAACCGATATACAAGTTGAAGAGGAAAGAGCTTTTTCCAAAAAGATTGAGTCCTCACTAAATGGATCCTTTATTGTTCTACCAACTCCAGATGTCATCATTCTGGGGATGCCTGTTAATGTTGTTAATCTTATATCTTCAGCCCATAGCTCCAAAACTCCCTGGGCTGGAAGAGGATCATGCCTGCCTCCTGAAAGGAAGCACAAGGAACTGCTGTAAGCAGAAAATCTGTGGACCTTCAGAGTATGGGACACTCCAGAGACACGGCTCCAAAGAATTTACTTACCCTCAGAGAACAGGATTCCTAATCACAATTAAGAGAGACAATGATGTTAACACAAATTTACAACCTGGCCAAAATCTTCAATCTAGCCTGCAACTTCACTACTAACGTGTTCTCAAAATAAAAATCACCTTTTCTAAAAAAAATTACATTTCCTAGCAGCATCTGAAACAATGATACAAGGGCAAAATTCCCAAATTCTACCCAGTACATAAAATACTCCAGAAGGCTTCTACTCAGAGATTCCATCAAGATTTTACATTTGGCTAAAAACACTCATAGCCTCAGGTATCTCTATCTGATTACAACTGGCCAAGGAAGACTGAAATATCAACTACTTAAGATTGCACTGGGATACCCCAGAGTGAATTCAACTGAGGAATAGACATATCCTGTGCTGAAGCAAATATATTGTAATCTTTGAGTTACTTATCCACACACAGTTCCCAGACAATGAATTAAATCACTGAGGGTACTCAGAATATCAATAAATTCCCAACTACTCTACAATTAACTGAAAGTGTTAAGTGTCTTAAAAGAAGGCTGTGTTTTTCCCTCTGAATATTTTTCAGGTTATAATGTCTGTCTAAATCTGCACAACTCCAAATATCTGTGGACATTTAATATGCTTTATGCCTACCATTAGAACAAGAAGTTTGATTTCTTTTTGTAGATTATTTAAACTATGTAAAAGGTTCATCTAAAAATTTTACTCCAATGTCTATGAAGAAATGATTTACTAACTAATAGCAACAGAAATGCTTACCTATCAAGACAGCCATCTTCACTCTCACTGTGGTCACTGCATGGCTCTAACAGTATACCTACAGACTAACGAGAAGAACATAACCACCATATTAATGGAGGTGCCAACACTCATACAAGAAAGGAATTTGCTGATCCAAATTAGGCTATAAGATTATAGGTTAATCTAACACTCCTCATTAGCTATCTTTTTTTTTTTTTTTTTTTTTTTTTTTGGACAGGCAGAGTGGACAGTGAGAGAGAGAGAGAAAGGTCTTCCTTTTTCTGTTGGTTCACCCCTCAATGGCCGCTGCGGCCGGTGCACCGGCACTGATCCGAAGCCAGGAGCCAAGTGCTTCTCCTGGTCTCCTATGCGGGTGCAGGGCCCAAGGACCTGGGCCATCCTCCACTGCACTCCCAGTGCCATAGCAGAGAGCTGGCCTGGAAGAGGGGCAACCGGGACAGAATCCGGTGCCCCAATGGGGACTAGAACCCAGGGTGCTGGCGCAGCAGGCAGAGGATTAGCTTAATGAGCCACGGCACTGGCCTCATTAGCTATCATTTGTAACAGTCTATAGGAATTAATGTCTTTACCACGTAGAAACTTTATCTTCCCTCAAAACCTACATCATATGAGTACAGCAAGGATCCTGCATTTCCTTCTACCCTACCAAGTAATAGGTACCACCACCACTATCCTTCTTCCTCGAAATTCTCTCTTCTGAAAACGAGTCTTCTCTTTGACCCTGCTGGTCAACTGTTGCTTCCTTTGTCTCTTCAGCCACATACATGTAAGTTGGTGACTTCCTAGCAGGAAGCAGAAGAGTCCTGGACAAGTTCACCATATCCCTTTAAAATGTGTATATGTGGGGATGGCATTGTGGAGTTTTGGGTAAAAACTGCTGCCTGTGTATAAGATGGCCCAAGTCCTTGGGGCCCTGCACCTGCGTGGGAGAGTGCAGGAGACCTGGAGGAGGCTCCTGGCTCCTGGCTTCAGATCAGCACAGATCCAAGCTGTCGCGGCCAGCTGGGGAGTGAACCAGAGGATAGGAGACCTCTCTCTCACTCTCTCACTCTCTCTCTCTCTCTCTGCCTCTCCTCTCTCTGTTTAACTCTCTTTCAAATAAATAAATAAATCGTAAAAAAAAACACACTGCTGCCTGTAATGCCAGCTTTCCATATGGGCTGTTCATGTCCCAGTTCACGACCCAGTTTGTATCCCAGCTGCTTTACTTCCAATCTAGCTCCTTGCTAATGGCCTGGGAAAAGCAGGGGAAGATGGTCCAAGTGCTTGGGCCCCTCCCACCCATGTGGGGAACCTTGAAGAAACTCCTAGTTCCTAGCTCTGGCCTGGCCCAGCCCTGGTTGTTGCAGCCATTTGGGGAGTGAACCAGTGCATGGAAGATCTCTTTCAAATAACTGAATCTTTAAAAATAAATTTAAAAATAAATAAAATGTATATTTAAAATAACAACTGCTCTTAACACAGAGATGCAAGCTTGCTTTTTCATTTTCCAATGAGCTTAATGACAACACCTCACCTCAACTACCCCTCAAGTTAAAAAAACTCCCAGATCTGGGGCAGTCATCGCTGGCATCCCATTATCAGAACATTTGTTTAAGTCCTGGATGCTCCAATTCCAATCCAGCTACCAACTGCTAATGTTCCTGGGAAAGCAGTGGAAAATGGGCCATGTGGGAGATCCAGAAAGAGTTCCAGGCTCCTGGGTTTGGCCTAGCCCAGTCCTAGCCATTGTGGCTATTTCGGGAAGATTAATCAGCAGATGGAAGATACCTTTCTCTCTCTACCTCTCCCTCTCTGTAGTTCTCTTTCAAATAAAACAAACCACTTAAAAAAAGAAAAGGAAGAAAACTGAGACCGGCATGGTAGCATACAGGTAAAACCACTGTCTACAGTGCCTGGGCACTGGTTTAAGTCCCAGCTGTTCCACTTCCAATCCAGCTTCCTACTAATGCATGTATCTACGAAGGCAGTGGAGGATGGCCCAAATGTTTGGACTCCCAGCACCCACTAGAACACTGAGATGGAATTCCAGGCTCCTGGCTTCCACCTGGAGAGACTCAACTGCTAACATCCATTTGGAGAGTAAACCTATGAATGAAGATCTTGATCTCAATCTCTTTCTCTCTCTCTCCCTTCCCCCATATCACTCTGCCTCTCAAATACATACATGAATATTATGAATATTTTTTGAAAACTTTAGAGAAAATACCTATTATAAAAAAATTTGCACCAAACTAATCTTTTAATTCCATTTTCCACAAACACTTAAGTTCTCTCATATTCCAGTAGAAATGTTAGATGGAATAGCTGGATATAGGAATCTACATTTCAAGACAGAAGGGTGGACTGGATATAGAAATCTGGGAAACCACAGCACATAGATGGCATTTAAAGTCATTAGACTAAATGAGATTACCAAGAAAATAAGTAATCTACAAACTGGCAAGATGCCAAATTTAGGAGACCCAGATGAAAATAATCATCAAAGAGGACTGAGATACCACAGGTAGTAAGTAAGGAAACAACCAGAGTAAGATATCCTGAGAGTCACCTAGACAGTCTATCAAGGCAATGGGAGTATTGTTATAACTCAATCAAAACTGGCTATTAGGATCAGTAAATGTTCAACAGACACCACCAAATTTGCAAGAAGAGTTTCATCTGGGGACTGAACCAAAGGATGCAAGCTTGCTCACTCTCCCTCTTCTCTCTCTCTGAAATAGGTAATTTTTGGTTTTTAAAAAGGTAATGGGAAGAGAGGATTTGAAGAAAAGAGACACAATTCCTTCTAGCAGTTTTATTACAAAGGGAACAGAGAAATTTGAATGTCAATAGACAGGGATAAAGGGTCAAAAAAAGGTGTTTTTCCCTAGACATGGGTGAAGTAAGTGTCTACTGATGGGAATGATTCAGTAAATAGGCAGTACAGAAGCAATAATCTTGAATAGGTGAAAAAAAATCAATCAAATATACACAAGTCTAAAAGCAACTGTAGCAGCTTAACATCCATGAAAAGCTTCCTTGTTTACTTTTTCATTGCTATTTTTATTATTATGTCTAATTTCTTGTTATTTTACACAATATTTTTACCTCTTTTCATCTTTATAATAATCTCCCAATGTAGGTATTACCCCTACTTATTCATAGGAAAGCAAGAAGTAGCTCAGAAGTCAGATAACTTGGCCGAAGTCACACTGCTATTAAGAAACAAACACACGGTGCAGGTGCTGTGGCATAGTGGGTTAAGCTGCCACATCTATATGGGAGCTGTCAATCTAGCCCCCTGCTAACGCACCTGGGAAAGCAGCAGAGGAAGGCTCAAGTGCTTGGGCACCTGCACCACTGTGGGAGACCAGAAGATCCTGGCTCCTGGCCACTTTGGGGAGTGAACCAGCAAATGGAAGATTTTTCTATTTCTTTTTCTCTGTAACTGCCTTTGAAATAAATAAACCTTATTAAAAAAAAAAAAAAAGCAACAGCAAAGACAGTCTACAAACCTAAGTGTGCTCCCTTCAAATTCCTTATTATACCTACTTTAGTGTATGGTTTAAAATGGAAACAGACTGATGGAAAACCTTCTATATCAATTGACTTAATGTTTTTACATTTTTTAGCAAAACTAGACTTTGAAATATGTCTTACAACGATGCTGCTTTGTACATCTAATTTCATTTAATTACCTTAAAAACAATGTTACCAGGGCTACCACTGTGGTGCAACAAGTTAAACTTCTGCCTTCAGCACTGACATCCCAGATGGGCACTGGTTCAAAGTCCTGGCTGCTCCGCTTCTGATCCACCTTCCTGCTAATGCACCTGGGAAAGCAGCAGGAGATGGCCCAAGTCCTTGGCCCCCTGCACCCACATGGGAGAACCAGATGAAGCTCCTGGCTCCTAGCTTGAGTTTGGCCCAGGCCCTGGCCGATGTGGCCACTTGGGTAGTGAAAAAGCAGATGGAAGATCTAACTCTTGACTTTCAAATCAATAAATAAATCTTTTAAACAACAACAATAACAACTGTCTCCAGTTTTTCTCTATGAGAAGATCCCAATGGGGAAGTTTAGAACATGTCAATGTAAAATATTCCTCTTTGGCATTAGATATTAATTACTTACTTATTTTTAAAGATTTATTTATTTATTTGAAAGGGAGAGTGAACCATCTGCTGGTTCACTCCCTAGTTTCAACAGCCAGAATTGTCTGGGTCGAAGCCAGGAGCCTGTAACTCCACCCAGGTCAGAGGACCAAGGACTTGATCCATCTTCTGCTGCTTTTCCAGGCACATTAGCAGGGAGCTGGATCAGAAGTGGAGCAGTCAGGACGAGAACTGGTGCCCATATGGATGCTAGCATTGCAGGCAACAGCTTAACCTGCCATGCCATTGTGCCAGTCTCTATTTTAATCTTATTTTATCTGAAAGCCAGAGAAAGAGACAAATAGAAATCTTCCATCTCCTGGTTTACTTCCCCAAAGTCCTCAACGGCTGGAATTAGACCAGGCTGAAGCCAAGAGCCAGGAATTCAATCCAGGTCCCCCATGTGCGTTAGCAGGAACCCAAGTACTTAGGCCATATGTGCTGCCTCCCAGGGTGCACACTAGCAGGAAGCTGGAGTCAGCAGAGCAGGAATTAACCCAGGCACTCGGATATGGGATGTAGGGGTCCCAAGGACTTAACCAAACACTACCCTGAAAGAAGCTGATTATATGGGGGAAACAGCATATAAAAGAGAAAACACAGAACCCCTTTTGTAAGGGAAAAGTGCATCTGTAACGGAAATTGTTATTTTTTTTTTAAGAGTTTTATTTTATTCACTTGAAATGCAGAGTAACAGAGAGAGAGGGAGACAGAAAGAAAGAGATCGTCATCCATTTGCTGATTTGCTCCCCAAATGGCCACAAAAACCAGCAGGGTCCCAAGGACTTGGGCCACCTTCCACTTTTTGCCAGGCAAATTTAGAAGCACAGCAGCTGGGACTCGAACCAGCATACATATACAGGACACCGGTATTGCAGGCAGCAGCTTAAACTGCTGTGCCACAATGCCACCAATGTGAACCCCAAAAATCTCCACATCTCAGACTGTCTACTTCCCTGACCAGGGAGACAAGGATGACTTTAAATCAATCTGCATAACAAACATCATCCTGTGTTTAGGGCACTTTTCCTTGCCATCTCATCATAACTGGGTCTCCCCCACACTTCTTTGTTTCAGAGGACACTGATATTTAAACTCATTTTCAGAGATTTACACACTTTCCCCTGGGCATCTCTCATAGGCACATGAGGTAAACATGTTATTAAACTTCTGTTCTTCTCTTGTTAATTTGTCTTTTGTTACAGAGGTCCAAGTCAACTAAGAGCAATGAAGAAGAGAGATAAAATTATTCTTCCTCAAGTTCTTCCAAAGGTCACTGGGAAGTAAAGAAAGGCTTTTAAAAATAATAAAATTCAACCTAACCACCTCAACTAATATCATAATTTGCTTCCCTCCAGGGAAATATTCTAAAATAAGGTGTTGGGGCTGGTGCTGTGGCATAGCAGAAGCCTCTGCCTACAGCAACAGTATCCCACATGGGTCCATGTTCGAGTTCTGGCTGCTCCACTTCCGATCCAGCTCTCTGCTGATGCCCTGGAAAAACAGTGGAAGATGACTCAAGTCCTTGGGCCCCTGCAGCCACATGGGAGACCTGGAAGAAGTTCCTGGCTCCTGGTTTCAGATCAGCCCAGCTCCAGCCACTGCAGCCATGTGGGGAGTGAACCAGTAAATGAAATACCTCTCTTTCTCTGTCTCTCCTTTTGTCTCTCTGTAACTCTGCCTCTCAAATAAATAAATACATCTTTAAAAAATAAATAAATAAAAATAAGGTGTTTTATACATACTTCTCTACCCAGTGTTGGTCTCAAACTCCACTAAGAGAATGTATATTCTTGGGAACTTATATTAAAGACAAGAAAGTATATCAGCAGAGATAATCAACTATAAATTTTGGTATCAAAGAAACATGGGAGGTAATCAGAGTTGTATACTCAGCAAATCTTCATAGACTTTTTTTTACATTTCTTACCTGGTTATTTTCTTCATCCTCAAATACACAATCTTGCTGCATAACTTCATTGTCTAGATTAGTGCTAGCCACAGGTTTTGAACAGCCTCTGTCACCTTTACTGGCATTAAAAATATCGACAGTGATATCAACCCTAGTAATGAAAGCAAAAATAAAATCACATCAAGTCAACTGCTGAATAAATAATGCCTTTAAAATAAGTAAATAAGTAATAATGCCTTTAAAATAACTAAAATAAGTAAATATCAGTAACGATCTCTTTTATCCTTTAAAAAAAAAAAAAAAAAAAAAACATTTCGGGGCCACTTTTATGTTACAGCAGGTTAAGCCACCACTTATGACGCTGGTTTCCCATTTGCATGCTGGTTCAAGACTCGGCTATTCTACTTCCAATCCAGCTGCCTGTTAATCTGCCTGGGAGGAGATGGCCCAAGTCCTTGGGCCCAAGTTCTCTCTCCCTGGGAGACCTGGATAGATTTCCAAACTCCTGGCTTCAGCCTGGCCCAGCCATGGCCATTGAAACCATGCAGGAAATCATTCAGCAAATGAAAGATCTTTCTCTGCCTGATCCTTTCTCTATCACTCTGCCTTTCAAATAAATAATCTTTAATGTGTGTGTGTGTGTGTGTGTGTGGGTATATATATATATATATATATATATATAATACCTCTCATATGAAATCATTGCATTGTCTCTAAGGGACGCCCATTCATATCCTATACACCAGGGAAGAGGTAATAGGAAAGAAGGTGAGGCTTTCCTGTATTTAAAGGTAAAAGGTCAGGGACTGGCACTGTGGCATAGCAGGTAAGGCTGCTGCCTGAAGCTCTAGTATCCCATTTGAGCACGGGTTCAAGACCTGGCTGCTCCACTTCTGATCCAGCTTGCTGCTAATCTGCCTGAGAAAGCAGAAGATGGCCCAAGTGTTTGGGCTACTACACCCACCTGGGAAGACCAGCATGAAGCTCCTGGCTTTGATCTGGCCCAGCCCTGGCCATTATAGTCATTTGGGGAGTAAGGCAGCAAATATAGGATCTTTATCTCTCTTCCTATCTCTGTCTCTGCCTCTCCCTCCCTGTAACTCTGTCTTTCAAATAAATAAACCTTTAAAAAAAATTACACCACACATTACAAGTACTTTTAACAAATAAATTCATCTATTAACAGCTAACCTAACAAAAGTAAGCAGAACGGGGAGAAGCAGGTGGCAAAGGATAATAATTTAAATATCAAGTGATAATTCTGTCTACAAATTGCCCCAATGACATGCACTAGAGTGATGTCAATCTATTGTCCACTATCTGTATTATTACATACCTCTACAAGTGTCTAAGTTTAATTTTTTTAAAGATTTCTTTATTTATTCAAAAGGCAGACTCACAGAGAGAGAAGAGAGACAGAGATATCGATCTTCAATATGCTGGTTCACTCCCCAAATGGCAGCAAGGACCAGGGCTAGGCCAGGCCAAAGTAAGGAGCCAGGAGCAAGCCCCAACCTGAGTCTCCCACATGAGTGCAATGGCCCAAGGACTTGAGTCATCTTCTGCTGCTTTCCCAGGCACATAAGCAGGAAGCTAGATCAGAAGTGGAGCAGCCAGGATCCAAACCGGTGCCCGTATGGGATAACAACACCAAAGGCCATGGCTTTAAACCACTGTGCCATGGCTCTAGCCCTTAATTTTTTTAAATTATTCTTCATACAACCTGTTTCCTAAAGGTAAGTTCATTATTTCATCCAGTATTCAAAGAGGAAAACTTAACTATGCTGGACTTATTAAAAGATACTTTATGGGGGCCAGTGCTATAGTGTAACGGGTATAGCAGCCTCCTGTGGCACCAGCACCCCATACTGGTACCAGTTAGAGTAACAGCTGCTTCACTTCCAGTCCACCTCCCTGCTAATGCACCTAGGAAAGGAGCAGAGGACGGCTCAAGTGCCTGGGCCCCTGCACAGACATGGGAGGCCCGGAAGAAGCTCTCTGCAATTCTGCCTTTCAAGTAAATAAATAAATCTTAAAAAAAATATATATTTTATGTGTTACAAGACTTTCAATGCTCATTAAATATGTATAATTTATACACAAGTATATACAATATCACTTTTCATATTGATTTCCCAAAATCCCAGTAGGGCAAACATTATCATTTAAGTAAAAATAGTTTTTAAAATAATAAAGCAATTTTATAATTCTTAATAACAGCAAAATATTTCTTACTGGTTATTAGATCCTTTCCCATCACAATTAATACTTCCTGCTTCATTATTACACATCAAACTCTGCTGCTGGATATTCTTAAAATCATGATCTATGCTGCTCTGCAGATCAAAAAGGTGCTGTTCCACAGCTGCTCTAATTGTTCTTTCTAAAATGCTACCAAAAAAACACATGTTAGTGAGAAGCAGTCACCCTCACTGGAACTCTAATCATATAAACATGAACCCTATTAACATGTAAAACCAACTATTATGGTATTTAAAAAGGGTAAAACAAAATGGAAAAAGAAATACATGAAAGGTATACATGATACTTGCTTAAATTTAAAAGTAGAATGTGCACAATTAGATGACCCTATACAAGTAAACCATAATGTCACTATTATTACTGGAATTAGAAGAATCAGTTGTCCAAATATTCATTCCCCACTAATAAGGAAACCATTTCAACTGGTAAACTTTTCAAATCCACATTTAAGAGTACTGCCAGGCCGGCGCCCCGGCTCAATAGGCTAATCCTCCACCTGCGGCACCGGCACACCGGGTTCTAGTCCCGGTTGGGGCACCGGATTCTGTCCTGGTTGCCCCTCTTCCAGTCCAGCTCTCTGCTATGGCCCAGTGCAGTGGAGGATGGCCCAAGTTCTTGGGCCCTGCAGCCGCATGGGAGACCAGGAGAAGCACCTGGCTCCTGGCTTCAGATTGGTGCGGTGCGCCGGGCGCAGCGCGCCACCAGAGCGGCCATTGAGGGGTGAACCAACGGAAAAGGAAGACCTTTCTCTCTGTCTCTCTCTCCTTGTCCACTCTGCCTGTCAAAAAAAAAAAAAAAAAGAGTACTGCCAATACTTTTTATATGCAGTCTACTCCTTAAGGAAAACTTAAAAGTTCTTTCTCTATTTTGTCGGTTATCTTAGAGGATCAAAACAGGGGCCTGATTGTGGTGTAATAGGTTAAGCCTCCGTCTACAGCTCCAGCTTCCCATGTGGGCGCCTGTTCATGTTCCAGCTGCTCCTCTTCCAATCCAGCTCTCTGCTAATGGCCTGGGAAAGCAGTGGAGGATGTGCTTAGGCCCCTGTACCCATGTGGGAGACCCAGAGGAAGCTCCTGGCTCCAGCCATTAGGGGGGTGAACCAGAGGATGAACGATCTCTCTCTGCGTCTCTTCCTCTGTCTATAATTCTGCCTCTCAAATAAATAAATCTTAAAAAAATAAAAATAATCTGAAGAAAGCCTATCCTTATTAGTGCAATGGGTTTCTCTGTTTGCATCCACTACAATACAAAAACAGCTACCTTGTTTACTGTCTGTGTACCATCTTTCCTCTAAAGTAAGCCTAGGGGAAGGCACTGAGCAGAGCACTCAGGCCACCACCAAATCCCTTATCAGCATGACTGGTTAAAGTGCTGGCTCCGTTCTTCATTCCAGCTTCCTGCCACTGTACATCTTTGGAGGCAGCAGATGATGACTCGTGTACCTGGGTTCCTGTCACACACATGGGAGACCTAAAATGAGCCCCCAGCTTCTGGCTTTGGCCTGCCTCAGCCCCAGCTCATATGGGCATTTGGGGACTGTATCAGAGAATAAGAGATAACTCTGTCTATGCCTTTCAAAAAATATATCTAAAAAAATCAATAAAATGAGTACAGTACAAATATGATTTTCACTTTTACAGCTTAGTAATAAAATTTTACATCTTGAAAATTTCTCTTCTGTAAATACACTACTTACTCTGCAGAGGCTGGTAAGATGCTGGTGGAAGATATATGGGCACTGTAATCAAAGAAAGAAATTGGCTATGAAAATTTTCAAATATTAAATGTCTACTAGAAGATATGCTGGAAAATGACATATATGCATTATCTTGACATACCAGGAGGTCATGCTCATAGCTTCACGGTTTCAATTACATACCAGGTTGTAAATATTTTCTAAATCTGCTTGGTAAAGATTTCAAATATTAACCAAAGGAAATAAATTTGAGATAATATATTACTAGCAAGATTAAAATTTAAAAAATTAACATTCACAGAATATTTATTTTGAGCTTAGGGCTGGACATAAACTTACCGCATTTAGCAGCTTTCAATACCATAAGAGTAACAGTTATAACCCACTTTACACAAAACTGAAGTTCAGAGACGTTAACATGCCCAAATATACACAGCCTTGGGTTGAGAATCTCAGAGACCCTGCTGTTAACACTTTTAAAACCAAATGAGTGATTAAAAACAGTAACACCTGGCAACACAGCATATCACTAGCAGAGTATGTCTCTGATTTTTCTAAAGGAGATATTTCTCAAACAAAAAGACCTTAGGGGCTGACACTGTGGTACATTGTGCTACCTGTGATACTAGCATCCCATACGTATACCAGTTTGAGTCCCAGCTACTTCACTTCTGATCCAGCTCCCAGCTAAATGGTCTAGGAAAAGCAGCAGAAGATGGATGGCCCCTGCTGGGCCGAGCCCAGTCTCAGGCTGTTGCAGCCATCTATGGAGTGTACCAAAGGATGGAAGACAGTGCGTGCATGCGCGCTTGTACTCTCTCTTTGTAACTCTGACTTTTAAATAAATAAATCTTAAAAAAAAAAAAAAAAAAACCTTAAAGATATATAATTGCATGTGAGGGCAACTACTTCATCTAGCACTTACTTGGAGAAACACTGACTTATTGCAAGGCTGGAGGAAAAACTAGTAGCATTGGATATAAACGAATAATAACACTAGTTATTCAGGAATAAGTTTAAATTTTTAAAAAATCATCTATAAGATAAAGGTAAATTATTTTAAAATGGCATTGTATTCCTAAGCAGATTTAACATCAGAACCACCATTCAGACATAAGGAATGACTATGGCACCACACACCTTATTAACCTGTATGCATTACCTGAAGCCACCTCACCAATTTTTAAATGTAAATTTAATTTAGCTTTATGAAGTCCTCTATATATGTGACACCAAATTTCTGGCTGACACTCAGAAGAGCCTATTAAGTTAGTATTCTCAGGAGTCACCACAGGAAACCAAATGAGGATCATTTACCATTCATCCAGTAAACTTCAGGTCTCCCTTAGAAAAGTACCCAGGTGGGGCTGGCACTGTGGCACAGTGGGTAAAGCCGCCACCTGCAGGGCCGGCATCCCAAATGGGCACTGATTCAAGTCCTAGCTGCTCCACTTTCAAGCCAGCTCTCTGCTAAGGCCTGGGAAAGCAGAAGATGGCCCAAGTCCTTGGGCCCCTGTACCTGCATGGGACACACAGAAGAAGCTCCTGGCTCCTGGCTTAGATCAGTACAGCTCCGGCTGTTGCAGTCAACTGGGGAGTTAACCAGTGGATGGAAGAACTCTCTCTCTCTCTCTTCTCTCTGCCTCTCCTTCCTTCTCTGTAACTCTGACTTTCAAGTAAATAAATAAATCTTTAAAAAAAAAAAAGTACATAGGTAGCAAACTGCAGAAACACGTTATCAGACAATAGCGTACTACCTTGGCTTGGCACACATATCCCCTTCAAATGGTAAAAACTTTTTAACTGTCAATATTATGCATGTACAACTGTGAATATATGCGCTGTACTTCCATGAACTAAAGTTTATTTAGAGATCTCTGGGGCCAGTATTATGGCACAGTAGGTAAAGCCACTGCCTACAATGCCAGCATCCTATATGGGCACAATTTGAGTCCCAGTTGCTCTACTTCCAATCCAGCTCCCTGCTAATGTGCTGGGATAGCAGTGGAAGATGGCCCTGCACCTCCGTGGGAGATCTGGAAGAAGCTCTTGGCTCCTGGCTTTGGATCAGCGCAGCTCTGGCCAATGCGGCCATCTGGGGAGTGAACCAGCAGATGGAAGACCTCTCTCTGTCTCTACCTCTCTCAGTAACTCTTTCAAATAAATAAAATAAATCTTTAAAAAAAAAAAATGAGGTTTCCCATGAAGCATCTTATTGTCAACTCTGATTTTTCTGATATTTTATGCAACAATTACTTAAATTTTACATTTCAATTCTGAGCTGGTAATTAATAAAAGTTTTTATATGCCTATCTGTTATATTTCCCTTGATAATGTAATTAGATGATGTCTCACCTATTCATCTTATTTTTCAACTTATTTTTAATATTAACTATAATCCACTGACAATGTAATATGCTGAAAACAGTAAGGAGAATTTATAAATTCAATATCCTTCTTGTCACCATTCAATTTGTGGTTCCTGGTAAGCTTTTGCCTTAAATCAAATTCTGAGAAATCCTGGTTTCCAACTACTTACTGCATCAGCCTGTTACTAAACTCTTATTATCACATTTTAATTTTCTTCCTCAAGTTTGCCATTTGTTGGTCATCTGCTTCTCCTCACAGAGGAATTTTCTCTTTTTTTTTTTTGTTAGATTAAATCACTACTAAAACGTTAGGATATACTGCTGGACAAAAGACATTTCATGTGGCTGTGCTGTAAGCATAGTGGGTTAAGCCATCACCTTCAATGCAGGCAAACTCCATATGGGTATGGGTTCAAATTTTTGCTGATCCAGCTGCCTGCAATGTTCCTGGGAAAGCAGCAGCAGATAACCGAACTCCTTGAGCCCACAAACCCACATGAGACCTGGATGGAACTCCTAGCTCCTGGCTCTTGCTTCAGCCTGGCCCAGCCCCGACCACTGTGGCCATCTGGGGAGTAAACTAACAAATAGAAGACAGATCTTTCTCTTTCTATCTCTGTCTCCCTCTCTAACTGTTTTTCAAATAAAGCAATCTTTAAAAAAACAAATATTTCAAAAAGAATCAAAAAGAGCAATAACCCAACTAAAACTGTAAATTTAAGGATTAAAATACAAATTTATTTTTTTGACGTTAATATATAATGCTGGCCGGCGCCACGGCTCACTAGGCTAATCCTCCGCTTTGCGGCGCCGGCACACCGGGTTCTAGTCCCGGTTGGGGCGCTGGATTCTATCCCGGTTGCCCCTCTTCCAGGCCAGCTTTCTGCTGTGGCCAGGGAGTGCAGTGGAGGATGGCCCAAGTGCTTGGGCCCTGCACCCCATGGGAGACCAGGATAAGTACCTGGCTCCTGCCATCGGATCAGCGCGGTGCACCGGCCGCAGCGCGCAGGCCGCGGCGGCCATTGGAGGGTGAACCAACGGCAAAGGAAGACCTTTCTCTGTCTCTCTCTCTCTCACTGTCCACTCTGCCTGTCAAAAAAAAAAAAAAAAAAATATATATATATATATATACACACACACAATGCTGATAAAAGCTATGAAATTAACACTCATGTTACTAGTGGGAAGGTTAACAAGTAAAATTCAGTAACAAAATCAAATAATACAGTTAAAATGGGCAAATAATATGAATGATCACTTTTCAAAAAGAAACTAAAATAGACAACAAATTTGTAAAAAAAAAAAAAATGCTCAGTATCAGTAGCTCACAGGGAAATACAAAACACCACCACAGAGATATCACCTTATCCCAGTTGGAATGGCTATTATAAAAAATAAATATAGGCGCGGCTCACTAGGCTAATCCTCCGCCTTGCGGCGCCGGCACACCGGGTTCTAGTCCCGGTCAGGGCACCGGATTCTGTCCCGGTTGCCCCTCTTCCAGGCCAGCTCTCTGCTGTGGCCAGGGAGTGCAGCGGAGGATGGCCCAGATGCTTGGGCCCTGCACCCTATGGGAGACCAGGAAAAGCACCTGGCTCCTGGCTCCTGCCATCGGATCAGCGCGGTGCGCCGGCCGCAGCACGCCGGCCGCGGCGGCCATTGGAGGGTCTCTCTGTCTCTCTCTCTCACTGTCCACTCTGCCTGTCAAAAAAATAAATAAATAAATAAATAAATAAATGATAAATATTGGCAAGAATATGGGCAAAAGAGAATTCTGTCAGTGGGAATGTAAATTAGTACAGCCACTACAGAGGAACAGTATGTAGCTTCTTCAAAACACAGAAACAGATATACCATATGACCCAACTATCTATCCTAATTTAGGATATATATCCAAAGGAAGTAAAATCATATCAAAGAGAAAACTGTTTACTGCTGCACTATTCACAATAGCTAAGATACAGAATCAATCTGGATGCCCATCAATGGATGAATAAAGAAAATACAGTCATATATATAATGAAATATTATTGAGCCATTCAAAAGAATAAAATCCTATCATTTGCAGTAAATGGATGGAATTATAGGATATATTAAACGAAATAAAAATGGCACAGCCCTGTCCCCTGCAGCCATTTGGGGAATGAACTGGCACACTGAACATCTCTCTCCACACCACACCCTTGTTAACTCTTTCCAATAATTAAGTAAATCTTTAAAAAGAAAAGAATAAGAAGTTCTAGTGTTCTACAGCACAGTAGGATAACTATAGTTCACAAGAACCCACTACAGATCTTATAAACAAACAGGAGAGAAGTTTAAAAGCTTCAAACATAATGTAAAGATAAGGAGATCAAGGGCCCGCACTGTGGCACAGCAGGCAAACCACTGCCTGCAGTGCCGACATCCCATATGGCTGCTAGTTCAAGACCCAGCTGCTCCACTTCCCATCCAGCTCCTGCTAATGAGCCTGGGAAAGGAGCAGAAGATGGCCCAAGTGTTTGGGCCCCTGCACCCACGTGGAGACCCAGAAGAAGCTCCTGGCTCCTGCTCCTGGCTTCAGGTTGGCCCAGCTCTGGCTGTTATAGCCATTTGGGGAATAAGCCATGGGATGGAAGATAGCTCTCTCTCTCTCTCTCTCTCTCTGCCTCTGCCTCTCTGTAACTCCACCTT